GGCCTTTTTTTTTTTTTTTTTTTTTTTTTTTACGCATTTTTATCGTTGTAAATATCGGGTTCCGTATACACAATATAATATCGTGTGTGTGTGTGTGTGTGTGTGTGTGATTTATAATAAACGCGTTTCCGGTGACTTAGATATTATTATTATTATTATTATTATTATTATTATACGATCTCCTCTTCGTTCTTCTCGTTCTCGCCGCCCACAACACCCGATATCGTGAATGGGCCCGGCGAGAGAGAGCGGCGGCGGCGGCGGAGGCCGCGGGGGCCGCGGGACCGGCTAATAATCTCGGCCCCGCGCAACACGCGATAAGATCGTATTAATATAATAAATGATCGCGTATACATTATTATAATAATATTATTATTATTATTATTATTATACCCGTTTTCGATATCTGGAAGTCCATCGTGTGTATTATACCAATACCACACACGATCATTATTATCATTATTATTATTATTATTATGACCAGACGTTTTATACGTCCCGATCGCACAATATCACTACACCTGTATAACGAAAGGTAGACGAGGAGGATAAAAAAAAAAAAAAAACAACGAAACCACCGCTCGCGCCCGGCGTTGTTTTCGTCGTGAAGAGCGCATTGTGTTAATATAAAGCGACGCGTATTGTTACGGTGGCGCGTACGCGGACGGACGGACGGACGGACGGACGGCGAATAGTCGAAACGTACCCGCGCGCGCAGAGGCGCCCGGCCGGCGCGGTAACGTCGCGCGGGGCGGTTCGGCCGAAACCGCGACGGCGATAATGTTCGGCAGTCGAATTCGCCCGTAAGGCCGCCGTCCTTAGGGGATCCGGGAATCCGATCGTTACGGCCGGACTTCGGTCACGTCCGAATCGTTGAAAAAGCGACTCGGTTTTTTTTTTTTTGTAAAAGTTGATTTATCAAAATATTTTTAACGTTCAAGGTATTTATCGTTTTCCATACAGGTACAGGTGTATTGTGCACAGTACGCGTTTACGATTTGTACGAAAAATAAATCTATTTTAGCGGTTTGTTTTTAATTCGAATAAGATTTTTTTTTTTTTTAACGAAATTAGAAATATTGTTTGATGCCGTTGATACGTCTGGCGTACAGTATGTACTTACATTGCTGTTTATCGAAACACAAGTGCGCACCCGATCAATATGAAAATACATTTCCGATGTGGACGGGGTACTTTAATTCGATTTCTTCGCTCTCTTCGTCAGCTCGTTCACTTCCGTCATCATTTGCGTTCAAAATAGACTTGATGACAATTTTTTTATCGGTCGGTCGAAAAAAATCGTCGGTTTATACCGAAATTTGTTTCATAACCCAACGGATGCTGTATACGAAATTTTATTTCGCCCATTGTTGCGTATCGCGGCGTTTTTTTCGCATTTTCGGGGCATCTTTCGCGGTGTCCGGTACGTTTCCGCAGTATATTTCGAATCTTTAAACACTCCGCGAATCACAAAATAAAATATGTTTAAAAGCGCCGAGTCGTATTTTTTTTGTTTAAAACCGAGGCTTCGCGTACGCTTTCGTTGCCTCCAACGCCTACAATAACAAAATGGGGTACATGGATTTATGCTTCGATGTATTACTGCGAACACATACAAGTCAATTCGAAATGCGTTACGGAAGTCGAACCCCGATAACGCCGTTTCAATAGATTTAGTTCAAATATTAATTTCTATAGATAGAACTTTTGAAGTAAATTTAACTTTTATTCATTCAAACTATGGATTTTTATCGAATGCCATAACATCTTTAGAAGGCCAGAATTTTTTACTAGCAGACACAATAAAAAAATTAATAGAAACTGCGCGAAGTCAAATATGTGAAACTGGTGGTACAAATGGCACTGATGTCAACAAAAAATGTGAAGATGTTTTCAACATTAGCACCCGGACGCCAAATTTCTGAATGCGTCTCTGCCATCACCATATCACCATCACGCTAATTACCATAGAGTAAAAAGTCTATGAATAACACAGATTATGTGAACATGATCGTAGTGGTTATAAGAATAACGCGAATGCCCGTCTGATAAACGAATGATAATTCTGTGAAGTGTGACCGAATAAAATAAAAAATATAATTTCTCTATAAGAAAATGTGATTTCGGTGATGAGCATTCCTGAATAAATAATCGCAAAATGTGTTAATACTTTTAAATACATATATATGTATATGTATAATAGCGCAGTCATTGATTTTGAACTTGAAGGTTCCCCTAATTTTTTATTAAACGCCTTATGAAAGTAATTTTTGTTAAATCTGACGATAATGTCACAACCGTTTTTGGTGCTAAATGAGCGTTGAAAAATCGCTAAAATTGGTAGTTTTATGATTTTTTTTTTTAAATATAAATCAAAAAAATAATGTACCGGACACAAAAATCTATTTCAACCGTATCGTATAACATATCATAATCGTCTACAAAAAAGATACACTATTACACTATTTCCCGAAAATATTCTATTTATTTAGCAAAATTGATATTTTACGATTATTTTAATGATTTTAATGAACGGTTTCAGGCAAGGTAAAATTTAATTTCAATAAACTCATGTTAATAGCATTTATTTCTCTTTAAAAAAAAAAAAGTGTTTTATCGGTTATATCGGTACCACGTATGGAATTATGCGCTCCGGTGTTCCTAGCGAGACTGGCAAGTACAATCATACCAAAATAACACTTGGACGGCGGAAGACAATTTTGTTGGTCCGATTCGAATATCGTATTAGCTAAGATATCGTCCCGGATGACAAAATGGCGTACATTTGTGGCTATTGCGTGGGAGAGACATGGGAAAGAACATCAGTGTCCGCGATTGGTCGCACGTGGATACTAAAAATAACTCTGCGGACATTATTTCACGAGGTTGTTGCCCGTCGAGATTATCCGACATGGCACTGTGGTGATAAGGGGCCCCAGTTGGCTAGTCGAACACAGAGAGAATCGGCCAAAATCTAATGAACACGAAAGTATGCCAAATACAGAAATACCGGAAAGTTGTGAAGTTTCGTTAGCGGTGCCGTGCGTCGTGAACTCTGTTATCTGTCGTTGATAAATAGATATTCGCCTTTAAATAATCTATTACGAATTGTAGCGTTTGTGTTTTCAGCACAATATCGCACTTATAGAGGCCTGAATAGCGTCGGCGCACTCGGTACTGAAGAAATTAACCGAACAGTTATTATATAAAAATATTCAGAAGAATCGAAGGGCCAACATTGGCATTCGTCGTCGTGCGTCCGATGGGTTCGTTTTTAAGCTAGTTGGTGATGGTAAAGGGAACATAATAAGGAGCAAAAGATCGGGAGGAACGTCGAGGTACTCTGAAGCAGACTAAAGAAAGCGATTCGGGAGAGTCGATATTATCTCGTAACAAACCATCAAATAACTTAGTGCCAGAGACACGCAAACGTTCAGCCAAAGAAACCAATCCGAGACGCGAAGCAACGGGTCCGTGGTTATGGGGTACACGAGGGATATTCAATTTAAAGCGTTCGTGCCTCAAGAATTTCCGTCGAACCCTCTCTGGCTTCAAGGAGTCATTGGTGGCGCGAGGATCCCGAATAACGAGGCCATACTCCGGAATCGGGCCGCGTACAAGTGCACGGTATAGCACCTTTAACGGATAAGCCTGACCGAAAGCGCCTTACAACAAATATGTCCGATGTGGTGACTCGGATCAAGATTACTACTTGGAATAAACTCTAGACGTGTAATAACGCCATTAGAACACGAGAGAATGGTATACGGAATATAATTGTATACAATAGTAAATCTTATTTAATATAAATCTATTATATTTTTACGCGTCCTTGGTAATAGGGTATATCTATATACATATATATGCGTTTTTGTTGTTGGCTTTCCGACGAAACCCGTGCGTATTGAATTAGCATGGGACCTGACTGAGTGAGTACGGGGGCATTCGTCAACGCTTTAAATCGCTGTTTCGGTCGAAGAAGAAGGAGCGTCGCCATTTATACCGGTAACGCGATCAATCTTACCGGAGCAAATCGTAAACGAAAATAACTTTTTCACTCGGAGCAGCATACAAATTAAAATTCAAAAAGTTCTAACCGACGTTGGGGTGCAATGGCATGTCATCGCCCCCTCGCTCTTTGGTGAATTATGATGGGGGGCAGCGGTCAAGTCTCTGAACAATTTGCTACAAAACACGTTAGGAGACGCGCATTTCCGCTACGAATAACTTAGTACTGTGTTTACCCACGCCGGAACTTGCTGAAATTCCCGACTCATCACGTCTACCTACGTCATCCGATACGAACTACACGTCCGTTTTCACTCCGGATCGTTTCCTTACAGGTGATTCTCCGTTGTCAATATCTGAACCCGATTTGTCAAACATTTCTACAAGCCAGATAGCGAGTTGGCGCAGCATAACTCAATAGGTATTCGCAAGTTATTCGGCAAAAGTGGAGCCATGGCTATTTAAATCGGCTCCAAGAAACAGAACGATGTTCAGATGCCAAAGAATCCAAATTGAAAGTAGGTACCTACCGTAATAGTGATAGAAAAAGACAACCTTCCCCTCTTAAAATGGCGATTAGAACTAGTTTCAAGGGTCACGTGTAGTGATGACGGCGTATTGCGGATCACTGAAGTTCGTACATCAATTGGTGTTAGATTCCGAGCGTAGCTACGGAGCTATTGGTTTTACGATGCTGTTAATTTCTTTCTTCTTTATTTTCTTCAAGTTTGTGGACACGTTTTTATCCTAGTAAACTTGCTCCGGTATTTACTTGAAGCAACTCTTTTGAAAGCTCGAGTTATTTAGATGATACTTTAAGATGTAATTTTTTGATTTTTGACACTGTTTTTAAATAAATCACTTAAATGGAAAAAAAACGTAGGAAAACCTTAATTCCATCAAAAAATATAACGGAATCAATTTTTTACCTTCAGAATTTATAAATGCTGGACGCTATTTTGAGGCACTAAAGGCAATTCAAAATAAATAGAATGAAATGCTGCAGCAGGGAGTTTTACTTCCTTTAACTGTATGATGTACCTATACTTTAACAAAATATTTGTAAATTGGTTTCAAAAATATAAACAGTTTGAAAAAAGAAAACTGTGTGTGTGCATGCACACAACATATTAAATCTTCTCTAGTTAAACACAACATGCAAAATAGCATACACTTCTAAGTCACAGAAACTTATAGAGTTTATTTTGTCCACGAATCTCGTAGGAAAAGCAATAAACATAGCACAAGTCTTAATTTACATTGTTATTATGACTATTAATAATAAATTGAAAATAAAAATTAAGTTATTAAACAGCTTAAATATAATATGTCATAAATATAGTGTTTAAAAATATATCACAAGGTAAGTTTTACTAAATTATATAATAATTTGTTCATTAGCATATTCTTTAGGTACCTAAATCAAAGTAAAAGTGGACAACAAAAATAACATTTTATGAGAATCAATAAACAAAAAAAATAATTTCGAATCATTTTTAAAATATTACTTACACAATTTTCTTATAAAGTACATAAATTATTGAACACAAAATTCAGGCGAAAAAATTATCATATATCAAAATAACAACATTGATTATTTATAATATCATTATTATATACATTTATAAAAATTACAACAAACATAACAGGATTTCTTATTGTATAACTATTAATAATATTGCTACTGAATTGGAAATGACAAAAGTATACAATTAAATACAATAATTTTAACGTAAAACATAATCCTAAATAACTACACACACTGGTAAATTGTGTTGTCTTACATTAAAATATATATATATATAAAAAAAATAAAAATAAAGATCTCATTTTGTAAATTACAAACTATAAAGAATTCAGTTACAAATGTTACACATCATGATGTCTTTCCACAAACACTAAGGCTAAATTCGATGACAAGAATAGTTTATTAAAGAGTTTATACTTTTCCATTACTAGAAAGCAAACCATAATGTCATGTATTCTTCTTACTATAGACACTCGGGCTGTAAACACGTTCAAAGAGAGCTCTCAGTATATTGCCGGGTACCTTTTGATGCTGACATATTAATTCTTCAATTGCACTAGCCACCTAAAACAAAGATTAACAAAAATAAAATACAATTATTATACGACGTATTTAAAAATAAAAAAAATATAAAATAATATTATATTATATTTTTTATTTTGATATTTTACAAATTAATAATAGGTTTTTGTTTTTAAATTACTTTTTTCTGTAAATCTTCGGCCGATAACGCTGGATCATATGGGATTGGTTTACCAATATGTGTTCTAAGTTTAACAGGAAACCCACCATATATGGGTACTATTGGTAACCTTGTCCATAAATATATTCGCAACCAGAATCTACGGCCAATACCTATACAACGAAATGCTTCGCGAATATTTTGTGTAAAAACTGGTATGATAGGCTATAAAACATTACACAAAATAAATTAATTAAAAATATACACATCCAAACAAAGGTATGTCAATTTACCACTTTAGCATCAATAGCTACTTTAGCAAAACCAAATCTCTTTTTCCACATGAGCCTATAATACCTATCTCCGAATTGAGCTTCATAAACACCGCCTGGAGAGATTGCTAAAAGATTATTCTCTTTCAATATGTCGGAACATGTCTGTACAGTTCCAGGTATCACTTTTAATGGTTCAGATATTATTGTCCAACCTAAAGAAACATTGACCATGAATTCAACATAAATTGTAATTAATTATAATACTTGCCAGGTAATTTGAACAAAAAATGATCAGCTACAGTATGAACTAGTTTAGCTTTAAGCAAATATATTCTGGAAATCATGTAATACAAATCAATAGGTATAGCACCATGATAATAGACCAGCAAAGCTGGACTGTCGATCGGTACATTTTCTAGGCCATTTATTTCATATCCTGTAACAAAAATACAAATTTAAAAAAAACCTATATACTTTTTAAAAATATTCAATACATTACCATGCCAGATCCATCCATGAGCATCCCATAATGCAGATACAGTTTTCAAAGCACCATCCCAAAAATTATTTTCATATGCATTAATTAATCTCTCCCTGCAATATAACATAATTATTAAAGCAGACAAAAAAAAATCATTATTGATAAGAATATCTGATGTGATTATCATAATATATAATACAAATAATAAGGATAAATACACATTTTTAAGATGAGTACACAATAATACAATAATATCAATAATTTTATATCTTCTTAAATTAAGAAACTTCTAAATTTTGGTTTTCACATATGACACAAATTTCAAAAATACTCAAAAACATAATATATTTTTTACATGAAAAATGTTACCGTAGTATGTGATTAAGCTTTGGTATTAAATATAAATATATGAACATTGTGCATGATCTAATATAAAAAAAAACACTGAAAACTATAAATGTCAAAAAACATTAAAATCTATATCAGTGTTATAATACCCATTCACTTTGTCACATAGTTTTATGAAAATATCTTCCTCTTTTTCTCTTTACATTTATCCTAACTATTTGGAGTCGGTCAACCTTGTCCTAAACACTTCCATTTGACCAGATCCACCACATAGTCCTGGCATATACCAACTATTCTTATATCATTCTCAGTCACACCCAACTACTTCTTTTTTGGTCTTCCTCTTTTATCTTATGTTTATTTTCATTACACCATTTTTACTACTTCTGATTCTTTTTTCCTCCATTAATAAAGCCACCTCTTATTAAAATTTTACTTGTTCCTTATTCTATTTTCTCTTATAACTCTACTCATCCCCCAAAACATTCTCTTCTCTGCTACACAAATTCTTAGTTTTATTTTTCTGTCTACCACCCACATTCTGAACCATACAATATAGCCAGTCTCACCACATTCTTATAGAACTTACCTTAACGTCTCATTAGAATTCTCTTGTCACATAAAATTCTTGATGCTTCTCTCCGCTTCACCCAATCATGCTTAATCATATGGCCAACATCCTTGTCAAAGCCACCATTATTTTGTACAGGATCCAAGGTACTTTAAATTCTCAACCTCGCCTATTATGTCACCACTTAATGTCATTACTGTCTTGTCCTGTCAACATCATAGCCTGTTCCTCCAAGATTGTACTCTAAATAATCTGTTTTACTTCTACTTATAATTGGTCTCTTTCCTTTTAGTGCTACTTACTTCTCACTAATTTCTCAAGCCTATTGTTAACTTTTAGATTTTCTCTTTAACTATATCATCTGCAAACATCATGCATCATGGTACCTTACCTTGTATTTTCTAATTTCATCTATAATAAAAGAAAACAGATAAGGGCTCAAATTCAAACCTTGATACACACCTAATCCTTAAAAACTTAATTGGTATCCTTCAGAACAATTCATTTTTTTGATCATATTAATAATTTGTTGTAACTTTCAAAATTAAAGCTAAAATGTTTGTTTCTTATGTGAAAAAGTAAATAACTAAGAAATGACAGTTAATTATAGTATAATAAATATAAAGTCACTCAAATTCAATTGGTTATAAAAATTTATTATATAGATATTATAAAAATCATTTTGTTATAAAATGGCATGAAACACTTAGTAAAATAGTAAAATAAATATTAATTATGTAACAGTAATATAAACAATATATTTTACCTAGCACTCCTAAATAACAAGTATACTTATGTAAACTACAGATTTTTTAAAATGATATGAAAATGCCAAAGACAAATCGTCGATATCGAGAGTCTTATACATTAAAACTACCTACAAAATGATGAAAGTGAAGAAAAAAATGAAGAAAAGTATTTATAGTAGGGTCCCATAATTTTTAATTTTTTTTTTTTTTAATTAAATGTTCAAAAATAAATTTTTTTATTTTTCATGCATATTTTAACATTTTAATGTATATATATATATATATGCATATTTAAGATTTTTTAGCGCATGTTTGGTTTGTTTTTAATGCATATAAATTAGCACTCTAATAATAAGTAATTATTGTTTAATATTATTTTAAACAGCTTACTTATCTATAGATAATCATAGTTTAAAGTTTTAAATAATCAACATACCTACATGCCTACTATAAAAAAATAATGTGAAAACTTTATGATGATGGGTACCTAATAATTAAATATAGTACTCAAATTATCTAACAATGATAAATTGTTTTAGGTGCAATCAGGAAACTTTGGAACTAGATACTGTTAAATGTATAAGACACGTGAAAATGTATGATATACCAGTGTTTCTCAACCTGTGGGGAGTGAACTGGGGGGTTGCCAAAAATATAAAATATTAGGTCGCAGTGCATAAAATATATATTTAAGGGTCACTAAAAAATTAAATATTCATTTGGGGGATCATAACAGTAAAAAGGTTGAGAAACACTGTAATAGACCAAAAATAAAATGTGAAAACGCATGATAGACCGTATGTACAACAAGAACACCAAATTTTTAATAGTTATTATTATATTTTGGCAATTCTCTAGACACTTAGTTGTAGTACACCAAGTGATTCATTTAAGTGGGTACACTAATAATCTCAAAAAATATTAACTTTTTCTGGAAGAAATTTTTTAGAACATTTAAGATACAAACAGATCTACAATTTTATATTTATGTTATTTTTTGTCACCCTTTTTTTTTGGCAGCCGGGGGGGGGGGTAAAACCACTACCTACTTTTGATTTTCAAATAGCATTCTATATAAAAAAAAAAAGACTATAAATAGATGAAATATTAGTTAAAATAAATTTAAGTGTTAAAATTTTTGATTTATGTCAAGCCGTTAACAAGATATTCCACTTTTAAGTTTGAGTTGAAAGAGAATAGTGGTGCATTATTAACACACCGCCATCCAAATGATACTTCACTACTCTCTTCCAACCCAAATTTAAAAGTGAAATCAACCTCATCAACAGATTGCCAGAAATCAAAAATTTCAACACTAACATTTATTTTAACTAATACTCCATATATTTAGGGAATTTTTAATGTAGATTACCATTTGCAAATTAAAAATAGGTAGTAGTTTTACCCCCAAAAATAAGGGCGATAAAAAATAACATAAATATAAATTTGTAGAGCTGCTTGTTTCTTAAATGTTCTAGAAAACAAATTCTCAAAAAAGATAATACTTTCTGAGACAATGAATTTACCCAATTAACTGGATCACCTTGTACTTATTTGTTTGTAGAATGAATTATGAAAATTATATCTCTTGAATATATTCAAATATGTTTTAATAAAATTACATGTATTTTTAGATCCAAAATTTTAAGTATGGTTAATTTTAATTACAAGGTGAATAATTTGATGAATCTAACCAGTGCTGTGATCATTATACGTTTTCGGGGAAAAAAATATTAATTTTTCAAACATTTTAACTGTAGTAAGCTTATCATGATTATAATAATTAAAAGTGGATGCCCGACAATATATTTTAAATAATGCATCTAGTGTTGTAACTGGTAACTCAGATTACTACTGCTGTGCAAGGTACAACAATAATATTTTATCGTTATTATTGTTTATACTTAATGTTTATTAGCGGATTCAAAATAATTAAAATAGAAATAATACTTTAAAAGTGTATAAGAATGTTACTAAATGATGAATTAGAGGGAAAAGAACATTTAATGCAAGTACATAATCTAAAAATAGTTGAATTATACTAACTGTATGAAAGCCAAATGAAGTAGCCAATTGTGCACAATTCCATCTTCCTACACTATTTTAACCACATTTCAAAAATACAAAAAATAAATACATTGTGGCTAAACTGAATTATAATAAACAATTGTACAATCAAAACATTAAAATATTGGTCAGGTGTTATATAAATTTAATTTTTATAACTAATTTTGATTGAATGAAGTAAATATAAATGAATTGTTATATTGGCATGGAAAATTGTGTCAATTTAAAAAACAAAAAAAAAAATGTATAGTGCCTTATTTTAAAAAAAGCAATTAATCAATATTTGTAAAATACATTTCCTTGTCAGTAATGTTTTGTATAAAATCAAATTGTATAATTGAAGCTTGCTGATACATTGTAATTTATTGATTTATTTTCATCTTACAATTTACATGAAAAATAAAGTCGGTACACTGTATAAACAACAAATGCTTTGTGAATAAGTAATTAAGCAAAACATTTTTATAATTCTGAAGGAAAATAGGAAATAAATATCCGACTTGCATAAAGAACATTAATGATAATCACGGGAGTTTTTTTAACAAATCAACCGTTACATTTAAGTTGCAGAACGCTTTATTAGTTGCTACAAAAAATCTACAGGACCTAAGTGATATGTTGATTTGAAACAAAAACAAAAATTTTCAATTTATTAGCTTTGAATTTAAATTAGCTTTATTAGCTTTTAACTTAAACACTATTGTTTGTCGTAACTCGTAAAAACAACGGACCTAATATAATAATAACATTTAAATTTAACGTATACGAGGCCACAATGCACAATATTAAAAAATTATATTCATATAAATACTCATTAAACCCAATTACCTGTGAAGTTTGTATATATACAGTATAACGCCGGTTATGTAAAACAACAGAACGATGGTGAGAGGCAACAGGAATGTGACTATGAGCGGCCAGAGTAGCCATGTCATCCACAGCCACAAATCAATATCCACCCCGATGTAATCCACTGTAACAGTTAAACAAATAAATAATAAACCGTTACGGCCGTACACTGAAACACAGACCTGTGATCGAAGCGGTGTAGTTGTAGACATTGCCGAACAGAGTCAACATTGTTGCTCGCTGTGGCCTGGGCGGTGGTCGTCAAAATAATCTGACGTCAATCGTCAATTTTCTTCTGGGCAGTATACGCGCGCAATCGGATATACTACGAGACACACTTCCAACGGTTTCTAGCCAATAACATATTCACGGACGGCGATGCCGGACGACTCGTATTTTGAATAATGCCGGTTCGAAACTATCGCAATATTATATTACGCTGACGTGAGCAGTGCGAAATTGGCAAACCGATTTGTGAAACGGAATCACAAAATGGTGGTGTTTTTCCAACGAAATGATTTTTTTTTTTTTTTTATTTCTTAAAAAATATATTACTAATACAAACAATATATCAACCGTCAACAAAAATTGACGTCGAGTCACGGACAATTGTTATTGTTTACTGCGGCACGGCAGTACGGTAAACTGTACGTCTGTATACAACGTGATGCGTTACTGCGTACGGTATAAAAAAAAAAAAAAATAGAAAAAAAAATCATACACGTACTACCCAGTCGATAAGGAACCGGATAAATTAATTAAATGTACCGAGATGGTGATCCGATTCGGCGAAACGGACGAGTACCGTAACGGTTTACTGTAGTGTGCCCGTACGCTGGTACGTACTGCGTAAACATTCTCGAGGACGCTACACGACGTCACAATAATTATGATATACCGAGTAGTTGTCGATGTTGGTAAATTATTATTATTGTTGTTGTTATTATTATTATTATTATTATTATTGTAATTATTATTATTTATTATTGTTATTTGTTACGCGATCGTAATTATCGGGCGAACGCGAACGGACTGACCTCAGACCGTGTTATCACGGTGTACGAAAACCGGAACACGGAATAGATTACGGAGCGCCGTAATTCGATAACGAGCGGCGCTTATCGTTTCGTGAAAAAAATACACAGGTGCGGTCGCACAGGTTCGTTTTCTCGTCCGATCCAACGCACCACGCCCCGTCACAGTGTTCGGCGGACATACGGATAACATTCAACCGAATAATATAAGAGCAGAACTGGCGCGTGTCGACCGTAATAATTTATGAGTTCAAATAGATCAAATTGATCAAATAGATTGAAATTTAAAAAAAAAAAAAAAACTAATTAATACAGTTCCTATTATTTACATCTGAAAACGTCATCACTACTGTGGTACTGTCTAAAGCGCGTTCTAGCGGATTAGATTATTTCTAATCGTATTTTTATCAACAAACAATAGCTCATTAATTATTAATTTTCTACTTTTATCCCGACTTTCCCGTTCATTATTGTAAATGTTCAACCGAAACACGTTAATTCCCGACGCGTTCATTTTATACTAAAATTTTAATCCTGTATTGGTACAACATAAAACAAACGATAATAATACATTTCAGTTTTCACCATTATATCAACACGATTCACGAGAAGTAGTCTACTATAAAATAATTAATTCATGAAATAAATTATAATAATATGATAATAAACAGCGAGCGAAGCGAACGGTATTTTTTAAATATCTATGTACGTGGACACACTCCAATATACACCGAGTCGCGGCACTGAACCCAACCTAATCATATGAAACTTACTGAAATTTTAGACCGTGTTAGTTTTCCAAAATTATGATGTTTAATTAGTTCGTCATGGGTTCAACTAGAAGCCAAACACTGGGGATGCTAAACTTATTCAGAGGACACGTGCTCGTGTCCCTAAACCCCCAAATACTATATTTCAATTTCATAATTACAAAAACCATTCATAAGTGCACAATAAAAACATAATATTTTTTTATTTTTTTTTTCTAAAGTTACAATTATTTAATCAATACTTACAGTAATATATCTGATAAATATAAAATATATACATTAATAATTAGCAAATATTATATATACACGTAATAATACAACATACAAAATTAAGAATACAACGTATTAATACTATAAAATATAAATTATTGTTTTAATAAATTTACTCGACGAGGGGTAGAAAAGAATTCATTCAATGCTTGATTGATATTCACGTTTATATCACGATGAATACTCAATAACGCCAGTCCATTTGAGCGATCTTCTCCCATCGTTGACCGTAGGTAAGTTTTCGGCCAACGTAATGTTGAAAATGACTACTTTTTATTAGTCGTAGTCGCAGACAAAACTGATATTACACGTAACATTTTATGAACGTTTGGAAACGCATTTGAATTACAAACATCAAGAGCGTTTCGAATATTTTTACCAAAAATTAAAAACACAATTTATACATTTTCGGTAATGAGGGGGGGGGAGGTGAATTCCCTCCCTCTGCGCACGGGCCTGCATAGGTTATATTATGTTATTTAGGTGATAAACATAGTGACTAAGCATAAACAGATGAGAAAACTATTTGAATTGTTTAGCAGTTTCTTGTACGAGGTACATTTTATAATATAATCTATCAAAAATTCAACATAACATGTTTACATTTATAATATAAATTGTATCATATTAATATTATTTTTCTGTTACTGCTGGGACATTTTTTCTGTATTTCTGAAGAAGTAATTTTATTAACTAAATCTCTTTCAATACTGAATATTGATAAGTCTGCAAACCGCTGTTGCTCCATACATGCCCTTGGTCAGTATTTTAGACGACCCATTGACGAGAAGCTTCTCTCGCACTTCAGGTAGGTACGTCACTACCACGGACACAATAGAATATCACGTCTATTACGTCTATTATGTCAACAGTGAATACAAATAAATCAATTCGGAGTTATTTCTTTTTCGTATCAAGCCGTTTTCATCGAGATAATCACATTTTAAATTTAATTTCCGACTAACATACATTCGTAACAATTGTAAAATCGGAAGAGTTTATATACGGAGTAATGTGTCCGATGTAGTGCAATATGATAGTAGCAATTGTAGCAATCCGTCAGTGACCGGCCGCGTTTTCGAAAACGTTTCTAATCAATTCGGACAACTGCTGTTCTCCCGATGAGCCTACTAATAAGGCCGGATGTACACGAAACTAAAAACTTAATAACAATTATTAAAGCCAGGTTTACACGCCTACACGGTCCATGATAGGTCTACTACTCTACAACACGGTCAAATATTTAAATTTCTGTTATTTTTCGTTATCATTTTGCGCTATTATCAAACAACTCGCACACCGGTTTTCTATTGGTTGCCGCCACTAACACGGAACACAATTCGATTACCGTTGTCCATATTCGTCGTTTGGGATTTCCATTGAAATTCAAAAATTGTAGAATAAATTTATGGTGTCGTGCTTAGTGTCCGGTTTATATTATATCTCACTATAATACTGGTAAACATAATAATTAATAGTCACTAATCAGTAAATCTGTCCGACCGTCCGCGTAGTTTTTTTTTTTTTTTTTATCTTTTTTCATTAAATTTGACTTTCAATAATTTTGCAGTAGTCGCGTGTGCCATGGAATTAGAAGAACAGTGCCTATCGTCACTGAAAGATATAGAAGATTGTTTGACACTTATAAAACAAATGCCCATGGCCCCACTTCCCATATATGAAAGTAAGTTCAAGATCCATTTGATTGTATGCTCATTCATGTAGTAGGTACTAGAGATGGGAATTCGGATCAGGTTAACAAGAAGATCCGGTTCAAACATCCGATGGTTCCCACTTCTCAAACGGTTCGCGATTACTACTATACTGTATAGTGACCGCGGTTCAGTCTGTTCAGTGGTTCACAGTCGTTCAATGTGATCCACAATGTAAATTTAGAAATCAGATATTTGGTGATCTGGATCAATTTCATTCGCTACTTTGACCTGTTTGTTGGCAAACGACACATCTCTAATAGGTGCTGATGTTGTAGACCATTCGATGTTACTGTATTCTTCACCATCTTAAATTAACTACTATGCTTAAAAATATATTTCATGTTATAATATAATATTGAATTATATATATATTTTTGTTTTTTGTTAGATACAAATAAAGCTGCTGCGTATATCTGCTACCGTTTGAAAAAATATGACTATGCTGCATATTATCTTTCTGAAGCTCATGGTGGTGGAGTTAGATCCAAATTATCATTGTTAATGAATCCTGAGTAAGATGATTGTTAATTAGGTTGATTAAGACACTTTATGTACAAAAATGTTTAAATAATACAATTCATAATTACATTTATTCATATTATTATTTTATTGTATTACTTATATGCAATATTTGTGCAAACCGTGTGTTATCAGTTAAATTGAGCCTACCTCTGTTTATTTATTAATATGAAATTATTTTTAATATTATAGTAAAACTAGTAATAAAGAACTTGACAAGTGTTTGTCAATGAACTCTGAATATGCCTCTAAAGGATACTCGGGTCTTATAGAACGTTTAAGAGAAATGCCGTCTGAATGGACACTCGTGCAAATTACTAGAAATTATAATCCAAAAGAAATAATCACACCCAGGCCTGCAGATGAACCTATGGATGTTTGTGAACTTTTCATAACTCGATACCAGTGCGGTCAAAACATCAAAAATAAGCAAGTTAAATTTATTGTAATTATAATTTATATCTTTTAAGTTTTTCATTATCATTTATTATCTATTTGTTAATTATAATTTTTAGCATACCTTTGACTGTAAAAATAAATAAACCAAAATGCAGCTTGGGGCAAAAGAATATTTTTCAAGTGTTAAAAACAAGTTTAGAAGATACTAACAATAAAAAAATTAAAGATCATGCAGGTATCCGACGTTTAAGAGATGCAGCTTCTCAGTCTATTAAAGTAAATAAACAACTTTGTTTTTAAATATCCGTTAATGTGAACATGGAAAATATAGGTGTATTTTTAATTTATAATATTGTTGTTTTCAATAGAATATTTCTGAAGAAATCCATACTAGTTGGTTAAAACACTGGATTTGTATGTTATTAGGCAACTATGTAGATGAAAAACTCGCTGCAAATGTTTACAGTATTATTGACAATATCATAGAGTGAGTATTATATTTATTTACATTATGATTTTGTAGCATTAAATTATATTACACTATGATTGTATTTCTTATGTACAAGTTAAATCTTAAAATTATGTAAATGTGTTTCAGAAAAGAAAAAATAACTATAAGTGACCGAACTCGAATGTTGTTGTATCAAATAACAAATGCATCTATTCAACTGACCAATGTTGAAATAAAAAATGTTCTTAGAGAATTGGATTGTTCAATAGATGATAAAATTAAATTTGAAAATGCTATTATTGCATATCAGTCGTCTAGTTCAAATTTAATGTTGAAAAAGAGACATCCTGTTTTGCTTATATTAGATGAGGTGTGATTTAAATTGCATATCAATATTCCAAAGTAATACTATTACTGATTATATTTTTCACAGCATTTAGAATGTCTGCCATGGGAAACTATACCATATTTGAAAAGACATCCTATATCACGTGTATCTTCTGTTCATATAGTACACAGTCTATATACCAAACATAAGGATTCTATTGAAAATGGATTAATGTAAATATAATTTAGAAAAGTGTTAGCAGTATTTTTACTCTTATTATGGTTTGGATGTTTGTAAACTAAAAAATACTTTATGTCTGCATATTCTTTTGAAAATGATTAACAATGTATACTCCTATAGTATATGTGTAATGTATAGAATCAAAACCTAATCTGATAAATTATCAAAATATACATTTAAAAAAAAAGATGGGCAATCTCGGTTGTAGGTGAAACGTTGGGAAGGTAAGATATAGAGGGGAAATTTAATGTATATCTGTACACAACGATTAATTATTGCTAACAAAAATCGATTTTGAATGGAATGTGGTTATACATGTTTTTAAAGGCGGTAATATTTACGATTTTAAAATAATACATTTTATTTCCCGATTTTTTCAATTTATAATGAAAACCCCTTGGAAAATAAAAAAAATAACTTCCCTAAAGTTGAAAAGTGCTACATTTGAAAATTTTAGCAAAATTTCTGATAGAAAAGTTGATCACAAAGAAAAAATAAATAAATGCCATTTTTAATCAATGCAAACACTAAAACACGTATTACAATTTTATCTAAAAGAATAGAATTTCATTCCTTCTGTTTTACTGGAATTCCGGTCTTTAATTTCTAAAAATTAAACTAAAATGTACTATTAATGCTAAAACTGCATTTGTTATCAGAATTAGTATCATATTAATCGATCAAACTAATTGAAGGAAAATTGGCGACTTAATTGTTTTTTGTGTATAAATTAGACAATGAAAAAAAACATACTTGATTCCTCTAATAATTATTAAGGAATAGTCACAATGTTAATATTTTAACAAATTATTATATTAATAAAAGAAATTGAATTGATTGAAAACTACAATTTACTGCCTAAATTTAATTTTGTAGCCAAAAAATGTTAAAACTAATTTTTTTCCAAGATACATTTGAATACCTACAATTTTTGTTTATATTTTGTTTTGAAATTTAAACAGAAAATTGAATGCCAAATTTATAAACATCCAAACTGTAATAATAATGTACTACTAAAAATGTATTGTACTTTTTTAGGAAAATTAAAAATCAAGGATATTACATATTAAACCCTGATAAATCACTATTTAATGCAGAGCAAAGGATATCAAGTTTCTTAAAAGAAAGACAAATAAATTGGCCTGGTATAAAAAGTCAAGAGCCTACTTCAGGACATTTCAGTTCTGTGCTACAAAATAATAACATTATATTGTAAGAATGATAGTAAGCTTATTTTTGGTTATTTTTAAATTTGTTTAGTAATATATTTGATCTTATTTTAGATATTGTGGTCATGGTAATGGAACACAATATTTGCATAGTTTGGATTTAGAAAAATTGGATCTCCGGTGTATACCAATGTTATTTGGGTGTTCAAGTGTTAAACACATTGATAAAGGAGGAAGACCTAATTTTGTGGGTGCTTCATATGGATATTTAAAAGCTGGCTGGTAATTTAATTTTCTATTTAAACATCTTTTACATTGAATAGTTAATAGACAATTGTTTTTTTTTTTTTTTACTGTGATTTGTTTTTTAGCCCTTGTGTCATTGGTATGTTATGGAATGTAATGAGTTTAGATGCAGACAATTTAGCAAGAGCCTTACTTAATGTTTGGTATCCTGGAAATCCTATCAATCTTCAGAGTAAGTTATAAATAATACAATTTAATTCATATCAAAATCAAAATTAATTTTTTTAAATTATTTGAAAGTATATCAAATTATAACAGTACCTGTGCCTCATTATTTAAATCATCTATTTATTTAATAATACATAGTATATCTTATGGGACCACTGGATATATCATTTTAAAAGCTCAACAATATATCCATGGTTTTTTGCCTTGTTACAAAACAAATATCGCTTTTGTGTTGTGTCCATTATTTTCTAATTTGATAAAAAAAAATTGTATGAATAAATCTAGTTTCTTATAGATTTTGGGCAGTTTATATTTTAGTGAGGGGTCAAGGGTTTTACTATGTTTTTTTTTTTTAAATCTTTTCAACCAGAAATCTTCCTCCGATAGAAAAATCACTAGAGATATTTGTTTGTTGCATTTTGGATCTATTTGGTGTTTTGATTTTCCAAGGAATTTTCTAACTAATTGAGAAAAATCAGAAACAAAATTATTGGAAAATCAACAAATATTTATAGCGTGTTGCAGTGTACCGATTATTTTAAAATTTTATGCATATTTTATGTTTTCTACCGGTAATCTTACTTGAGATTTGATTGAAATTTAACATAAGATTCATTTGTAATTGGAAAAAAAAAATTGAGTGTAAAGTAGTTATTTTTTTATGGTTCTTTTAAGATCAAATTTTGATAAAAATCATAAATACGTATAATGCATTTCAAATCATGTATAACTGAAATTCTCTCACGATCGCATTTGATTAGCAATTTAGTTAGCAATCAATCCATACAAATATGACGTGCTTATTTATACAAACAATTATATTGTATTATAGTTGAATTTCAATGAAGTTAATATTTTCAATATATACTTGAAATTTTGTTCTGTATTAACAGTTTTAATCTTATAGAGATTTAATATTTTTTTTTTAACATCTATTTATTTAATGTAATTTATTGGCGACCTGAATAGTTAGAATAAAGGTGAAGTAGAAGAACATCTATTTAATAGTTTTTAATATTTTTTGTATAGCATATATAGATGTAAATAGAACAGTTATCTTTTAATTTTATTTCAGAAATGTGGCCTAAAGAATTTTTGGATGAACAAGATTACAACAAGGAACCAGAACTTTTGCGCACATTATCAATAGCCAGAAAAACCACTAGAAGTTACTTTAACTATGCTGCTTTAGTTGCTCGAGGCATACCAGTTATCATGACTGATGATAAATAATATTGTACTTGATATGAAATTATTTCATATTTCTACTTGAATTATTAAACAATATCAAATCACATATATTTATCATTGGAGTTACCAATATTTTACATATTTCGTTTTAATTTATTAATAAATATTATATACAAATCGAGAATAATTTTAAATATTTTATTGAATTTAATTTGTATATACAGTTTTACATAGTTAGAATCTATTATGCCAAATTTTTAAGTGTTATATTTTAAATTTTATATGCTAAGCAATGAAGCTATTAAGTTTTATAGGTTTTTCTCATAAACTCTTATACCTTTTATAGTCTATTAAACATTAAGTATCATAAATAATTAATTTTATCATCAAATAATGCAGATTCTATAATAATATGTCCTATAATTTTAATTCTTCTACCAACTTTGTTAACTGTAAGATTAACTATTTGTATAAAATAAATTGTGTTTGTATTTTAATTGTGGTATTTTTCATCAACTAATCCAATCAATTTAAAACAAATAAATACCTATATTTAATAAACTTATGGTCTCTGTCTGTAGCAAATGTCTTAGTCTAGTTTTTAGTCCTTATACATACTGTACCTATATCTATATTGGTATAGATACATTATATTGCCAATGATCTGGCTTAAATTTGATATTTATTTAGATATTTGATATTTTATTTAGATATATTAAATGGACTATCTAGTGGAAAATCTTATACTAATTATAATATTTTATATTTTATATATTATCTACTAATTCTTGATTCTTTTTCTCTTCTTTTGTTTACGACCTTTGATATTATTCTGACAAACTCCCCATCTAGCAACCTAATGCTCCTCTTTAAAGCAGGGATGGCCAAACAGTCGATCATGATCGACCAGTAGATTGTGGATGGATTAAATGTCGATTTCTCTTTATTAGAATTTATTTTTATATAATTAATAGATACACCACATGTGTTGATCATTTTTGTCTTAATATATTATTATTTTGTTATCAATTTATCAAGTAATACAATTCTACAGTGTTTATACAGTCAATTGTATTTACAATATCATATCAGTCTTAGTAAAAGTATGATGTGTCTTATTATTTGTTCATGTATATTAGTTATTAATATTAAATAGGTAATTTATAATTAGACATTTTTGTTAGGAAATCAATCTTCAGAAAAAAAATATGGTTTTAGTAGATCTCTACCAAAACAAATTTTGCCGCCCCTGCCCTGCCTTACTGGTTTACAACTTGAATTGACTTTATCATTGATTCTTCTTTCCTCCATAAATGTTTTTCTTATAAACCTACACCCACCTATCCAATTTGTAATACAGTGACTTGCTAAGGAATTTTCAGTAAGAAGAGTGATGTAGTAAATAATAATCATATTCCAAAATGTTTTTTTTTTTGTCATATGCCTAACTTGACAATGAGAGTATAAAAGCCAATTTTTTCTAACTTTATATACTTAATAATTATAAATAATGAATAACAAAATATTTAAATTATAAAGGCATAGTAAAATAAGAGTAACTTTAAAAATGAAAACTACCTATATTATGTATAAAAATAAATAATAATAATTAGTCATTTATAAGATTGGGCACAAAAGACTGATGTACCTATCTACTTATTACATTTATTTGTTGTGTTATACATTTATTGTTTTAATATTATAGGTAGGTAATGTAACTAGATTATTTATGATATTGGACACAAAATGCTGATGTGCCCACATAATTCAAAGAATAAATCAATATAATTATTAAAAGTGTTTAATTTGAAAAATAATAAAGTATACATATATTTTACCACAGTGAATTGTTATTCTGTTGCAATTGAATTTGCCCCATACATTTATCATGGTATATATTGTATTGTCTTAGTTTGCTCCGATTCTATCGTACATTTTGGAGCAAATGTGAAAACGTATATAATAATAGTCGTCACTGTGTAACAGTTATTTCGCAAATCAATTTTTTTTTATTATTATTCAAAAGGCGGCCATTCGCCAATTTTAAATTCGTCAATGTTATTGGCTTATTTTACACGTAATGCCGAGGCCATGTACGTTTTGGCAATATGCCTACTTCTGTGGTGGAACGAAAAGTCATAATAAGTGATACTTAATAACGATTTGTGAAATAACAATACCTTCAATAACCGTTATTTGTCGCTGAAAAAAAAAAGGTCATGGGAAATCTATCTCCAAAATCCCCCCCCCCCGTGAATACGTCTATGTCAGAGACGCAATCAGAAAAAAAAGCCAAAGAAAAAAATCCACAAAATAAAAGCCATGGAATAAAAAGCCACATAAAAAAAAAAACAACATCTATATATTTTGTTTTACCCCGACTCAGAATTAATTTTCCCACTTTAAAAGTTACTGACGCTTTTTTTCCTCTAAATTCGTCGGAGACATAGCGATCGCAGACTGCACAGTGTGCTTGGACGGATAAGCCAATTTTGAAATTTTAAAAAGAGCCTCTTGTCCCTACACGAAAATACTGATTACTTTTTTTTTTTATGTGACCATCGCTACCAAGAAGTAATCCAAAGAAACTACCATCAAGAGGGTTCACCGGGAAATTCGCGGTTTTCCAGTAGGCCTATCCGACCATGACAGTATATACTCGACGGTGGTACATTTTTTTCCAGTCTTTTATTTTTCGCGCAATATTTAACTTCACTTCCACATCGAAGGCTATAAATCGTCATCAAAATCGGACAAGAGGTTTGTCCCGATTAAACCATTGTTACCGAATCGTTAATAAAGAGGGCGTGAAATTACACAGTTAACGGTCTTCTTCATTATTATTAATTCAGTCGATATTTGTAGCCTGTAATAGCTAACAAGTAATGAGTAAAATTTGTTATAAGCACAATAATAGGCTCTTAAAAACATTTATGTAAGCGCATACACATGCACTAAAAATGTTTAAACATGCAAAAATTTGGGAAAAGTTTCAAGCGAAATGAAAATAATACGATAATGGTCGTTCAACAATAAAATCATTTTATTATTAATAGAGAGACCTCCTTATATCCACGGAATTACCGAGCAATGACAACGATCGCGTAATTCGTCGATTTCGTTTTCTTTTATGACAATTACCGAAATATGAACTGATACATTAAAATACAACAATGACGGTAAAGGGGTTTTATAGCGCTAAAACCATCGAAACAGCAAAATAGCGTCGAAACTCAAAAAATATGCAACGAAAAATGTTGTATTCGACTTCCCGGTTATCCGTGAAAAATTCGCGACTTGCACAGGCGTTACTGGGAATTTTCAAAACAAATATGCAAACGCTACGGGGGCCACGAGCCCTGGTAATAACACTGACAATATTCGGCCGAGCACATTACACAGGCAGTGGGCACAAGTGCGCCCACGATTCTTGACGGCTTTGACGGAATTTCGAACGGAAGTCGGCGAGTGGGGTATAGTTTTTTATTCGTCAACGTGATAACCCGCTATAATAAAAACACATATATTACGACGAAATTTCGAACGGAAGTCGGCGAGTGGGTATATTTTTTTATTCGTCAACGTGATAACCCGCCATAATAAAAATACATATATTACGCGCGTTCGTACAAATTCTTCGGCCGTCAACAATGAGGTATTGAGGTACGTTTGGTATGCACGCGTCTACTCGGACCATTGTTCGGACGGCGCGCGGACGAAATATTTTGACAGTGGCCCGTGCCCGCGTACGTTGTTGCCGACGGTTTGGGCCATCCGGCTTTTTGACTTCTTCCCCACTCGCGCGCGCACACACGAGTACAGCGCAGTGTACCTGCTCGGTACGTGATCATTGTAGTAATACGACGTTATTATTATTGTTTTCGAACCTATAGCTCGAACGTGCTCGAATACGCGCGCGCCCGTTTGTTTCTCGTGTCTGTAATATTATCAACGCCCGCCTGTCCATGTGGCCGTACCGCGGACGCGGACACGTATTTTCCGTTTTGAAACACCCCGCGGGTATTTGCGTCCAAGTTTACCCGTCGTCCGAAACGGCGGGCGGAGACGCGACGGCGGACATCGGCCTGTGCTCGACGCTTTTTTTTTTTTTCTTTTTACTCTTAACCACGGCCGAACTGATATGTCGGTTATAGTGATAAAGGCGAAATATGACCACGGCGATTACGGAGCGAATTACAAGGAATATATTGTATGGCGTTTCATTTTAGGGTCGACGCATCGTTATAGGTTATCAAGTGCATACTAAAATTTCAAGTACTCTCTGGTGGATATAACAATAATATTTATAACGACGCGGAGCACACGGAGGGGGATCCTCGCGAGTGATGACGGACAACTCGGCCGAATAACCTTTTGGGCTCTCTGTGGCGCCCGAAAGCCCCGGAACCCCGCGAAACGGAAGGGCCTTTTGTCTGCCGGTGGGCGCTCGTATCCGTCGCTACCCGATACCGACGAGCTAAAATGTTAAAATAATATTATTAATTTGTCGACCGTTGGCCAAAACATTCGAGTGTCTAGGTAGCAGTGGCGTGCGCAGGCGGGGGGGGGGAGGTTAGGGGTTATATCCCTCCCATTAGCTTATAATATAAAAATAAAAATATGAGCGATTTATGTCGAAATACATTTATTTCAGCAAAGTTACGAAGATAAACTTGACATATTGATTAAAGATTGCCCTTTTTGGAATCCGACTTTAAAATTTCCGATTCCCGCAGTCAGGGTACAGAAGACAAATTTATGATTTATTCACGGTTCTTATTTGCTACATCTCTTCCCATTGATGATTCCTGGGCACACCACTGTTAGATAGTACAGTCGTGCAGATGATCAGGTTTTCCCTTCAAGTACCTACAAATCAACAATATTTCATCTACCTGACCAATATTACATAATAACCTTTGGGCGATTTATTTGATATGAAAAACAATCGCACGTAATTCAGTGTCATTGTAATCAAAGTAACCCAGAAATCAACAAAAATATAAAACTAATTTACCCAATGACTATTGTTAACAGTGTTGGATCATTTTACAGAGATATATACTGTCACGCTAAAACTAATACATTTTAGAACATTATGTATTCTACATTTTTCAAAAGAAAAAATTCCAATTAAAGTCACTTTTTGTACTTTATTTTCTGGTATAAATATGATTATTAGGTACCCAATTATATATTAACTATATGTAGGAACTTTACTGGAAATTGACCATTCTGTTTTTATACAATTGATAAAATATTGTCAAAAATAACTATGAAATTAATTGATTTTATAGTTTCATAGAGCGCAGGCAATATTAAAAAATACGGACACTTCATAAGATGTGTGGACCATTGTTATAGGTGAAAAGTTGGGAAAGTAGGATACAGAGGAGAATTTAATTTATATCTGTACACAACGATAACCCATTGTTAACGAAAAACGATTCGGAGCAAAAATCCGATAAATTTTCCCGTTTTTTCCTAACTATTATGAAAACTACTTGAAAAATCAAAAAACGACCTTCTTACCACCACCAAGAAGGCAAAATTTTCTTTCAGAAAAAGTGCTGCACTTGATACCTATATGGGCGCAAAAATTCTGATAGAAAATTTGCTCACAAAAAAAAAAAAAAACATTTTAAAACCGATACATTCCGAGCTATACAACAAATCTAAAGAAATATTTGGCGTACCTATTAATTAATGTTATTGGTATAAGTGCGTATACATACCCTGTTTAGTATTTACGTTGCGCGTCAAGGCATATTGTCATAAGGAAATAAATGTTGTTAAATATTGTATGACGTGCTGCTGTAATAACAGCTTTCAATTCTATAATTTAATTAGGAATTAGCTATTAGGTTTAATAGACGAATAAAGTAAATTTTTTATTTTTTTGAACAATTGTAAGAAATTTAATACGAACACCTATCCATCGTATACAAACATTGGGGTGTTAAACCCCTCAAATATTATATTAGCGACAATGTTTGTAGCGATTACACGATTTAAGGGGCAAAAAATTGTCGTGTACTCATAATATAGATTGAAAATGTAAAGCTGTGTGGATAAATACCTATAACATGTACACGCAATATTATATACTACTAGCTGAATTACCGGGCGTTGCCCGGAAACAAATTCGTGACAAATTAGATAACGTCATGTATTACCATTTACCGTCTTAAATTCATAATTATCGACAATACACACAACAACCCAATATCTATAAATTTATTTTTATCGATAAACTTCTCGGAACAGTTTTATTCTCGGAATCATTATTCTTATCTACACGACGACGACGACGACGAACAAAAAGGATAGGTTGCGGGTAGCTGGAGACCCGCGGGCCGCCGTGCGGCACAATACGTATTGGCGGTGAATAATTATAATTGTTAATTACTCCACGAAAACGCAACATTTTTTTGAAAATCCCTCCTTATTGCGCGGCGAAAATATGAGAAGAACCTATATTCCAAATTTCAAGTCCGTACGTCACGTAGTTTTTGAGATACAGCGATCAGTCAGTCAGTGGTGTTTGGATTTTATATGTATAGATAATATGTATCTCAAACTGATAAAGGGTGGAAGAGAGGTGGTGAAAATCACTATATTCCGAATGTATAGTTTAAATCAAGAATATAATTATTTTTCTTATAGATATATTGTTATCATATTTTGAAAATTTGAAATTTGGCTTACAATATTAAAGTTGAAAAGTATACCAAGTAACTCTGTTATTATTTATTTTTCGTTGGAAATTCAAATTTGATTTGGGTTTTGCCTAGCTAATAGCTATCGTTTAAAAAATAACGGACATGAACAAAATCGACTCAAGAATTATTTGTTATCGTCAAGCATTTGCTAGTGTTAAATGGAACAAAATCAGATTCAGTTAAACTCATTATTTAATATTTAATAAAATGACATGGTTATAATTTATCTATTATGATTTAAAATAAAATTGTATTTTATTTTTGTTGGGAATTATATGAGTAGATATGTGACATGAAGTCTCTCACGTCTTATATGATGGTAGTAAATTTAATTAAAGTATACTTGCATAAAGTAAATCACTGGGCCCTAACACCAAGAAAAAAAAAAAGTTGGAGATTTGTTTGGGCTTGTGTACCAATAAATCGATTTTAGATGGTTAGTGATAAGATCTATTCAAGATGCTCAGGCTCGCAAGTGTTTTTTTCGACTCGGATGAAAATACGATAGATCGTCATCCATTGTATATAGTCATACTATAATGCATATAGACTATTTAATCCGATGGAAAACGTCATGTAAGTCTTAGAAGTTTGAGAAGTCTGCTCAGGTAGCTCAGTGGTAGAGCTATAGCCCGGCAGTCCGCTGTTCTACTAGAGATCTTGCTCCGAAATCAAGTGTAACGTATTTTCTGAAAAAAAATATTGTCTTTATATAGGCATATAGTTGAAGTAATGAAGTATAAAAAAGTTTTTTTTGATTTTCTGTGTCGTTTTCTTAATAATTGGGAAAAGGGACGTAGGAAAGACGAGAAAGTATACGACGCATTACTAGTTTCCTTTTTTTTTTGTTGTACGTCAGTTAGAAATAATCGTAAAAATCTGAAATTTTCAAAGAATATTTATATTAGCTTTTCTTAGACGTGGTCAAAACATTTTTGCGATTTTTGAGCTATTTATAGCAGGTATTTTTAACTGTTTAGGTTTATTTTTATGCTTTTATTTGGAAGTTATTCCTATGGATATTACTGTTCAACCAAGTCAAATTGTTTAAATATTTTACACGAGATTCATTAAAAAAAAAAGTTTAGCGCCCTGTTGTAATTTTTTTCACGTGCATTTTAAATTCAAATGTGTACCTTACGTAGTTCACGGCATTTCAAAACGTGTTCGACCTGACTTTGCTTAGAATCGTATTTCATAACAAGCAACGACTTATCGTCACGTTCATACTGCAGATATAAATTAAATAACTTTATTCGTCTTACCTTACTAACTTTCTATGTACCTAAAACGGCACACCTATCATGCAGTATCAGCCGTTTATTATTATTATTATTTTTTTTTAATACCGCAAACGACACCGTGTGCATACAAAACGATCGGTAACGGAAACGGGTGCCATTATAGAATGTTTGGCGACTGAGTTGAATTTTAAAATTAACGCTTTATAATATAATAATCACTCCTCTGTATATAAAATTACTATTATGTTTAGATTTTTTTTTTTTGTGACAGCGTTCAGTTCTGTTCGGCGTGCGCGCTGCAGCGTTGGTATAACATAATGTACCTTGTAGAAATTTCACCGATTTCGTTTTATAAACGATTCGTATACATTTTATCATACTTGTTAACTGTAAATGCGGATTGATAGTTTTCGTTCGGACGCGTACGAAGTATAATACATCGTTATTGATACGTCCGTCGATACACCGCACACGGCCGGTACACGTCTGAAAACATAGCTGCCACCGCGGTTAAAAGAGGCGATTTTCGCGGGCCGGGAGAGGCAAGATGAGGCAAAGCTGTATATAACCGCAATATATTATTATCTATAATATAAATGCAAAATTAATACGTAACAGCTCTGTATCATCGGGCCACTTCTACCCGTGACACATTTCCGTTTTACAGCGTTTTACACGTCGGACAAGCTATTATTCGTACAAGCGGAATATTACAACTTATAAGTATATCTTTTTTTTTTTTTTATCTGTATTATAAATTTATTCGAAATATAACCGTAAAAATTGGGATATTTATAATTCGCATTCGTACACGTTTAAACAATAATCAAACTAGATACTTGCTATTACGTTATAATAACACTAGGTAAATACCTATAATATTATATAATTGTAATTTTTTTTTTTTTTTTCTTCTGAAGACCGCCTCAATGTTGTCATGGCAATTGTCAATTAAATATTACCGAAAGATTTGACATAATATACTACGCATTTCTCAAAATTAACCGTTTCCAGTAGGCATATTATAGGTGTATTATACTGTACAGCTAGTGTATCTATAGGCGGTATACCAGTGGCGCCGAAATCAGCAGTCCAGAGTGGCGGTTGCCGCCCTTCTTTTAACGGGTGGGTTGTGGCCGCGGATCCACGATAGGCGTCTGAGCCTTTGAACATTGAACAACGAAGTTAATTATAAATTATAACACACATTCATAATTCGTAATATAAAGGTTCTATCTCTCAAGGTAGTATTGTATAACTTTTTACCTGTCCCACCTTCTCAAAGCATACCTAATTCGGCGTTACTGGGTATACCTGCCTATAATATGATTGTATATTGAATATAATAATTGTACCATGGCACATACTTAATATCGAACACACAAACATTCGTTTTTATAACTGTATACGTGTATATTATGTATTTATTTTAAATTATTTCATTGTATTTTTTAAATTTTGGTTTATAATTTGATATATAACATGTGTGTAGGCATGCATTATTTTATCGTGTAAAGCATATTATTTATACCTGTCTATACCTATCTACTTTTTTTTACTATTAAGGTGAATTTATTTGTAGATAATTGTAAAACATAAATAGCTTATTCTCAACAAACACAACACAATTATTGAAACGTTAATTTTTTATATTTCAACGTACCTATTTACTGTTCCTTTTTCATTGAGTTCAATAGTATCATTACAATATCATTTTCGTCATGCGCCTTTTTTTTGTTTAATTATTCAATGTAAATACCTAATTACTATAAGTATTTTATTTTTTTACATTTTATAATCACCTATAACTGAATAAATAAATTAAAAATGTAAGATTTTAATTTTTTTCTAAACTAATTAAAATAACTAATAGTAGTTAATGAAGTTTTTTTTTCATGGAACTTGAGTTTTTGTATACATTTAAAATTTATATTTTTTGACATTTATAGTGTTTTTTATGTGTAGCTAAAGGCCGTGATATTTTTAATATCTACATTTCGTACATTTTCCCGTTTCATCCCATTTATTTAGAAAACTCCTGAACAAATCGAAAAATTACTATTCCAAAGTACCTCCCCAGTCCGATTTTCTTCAGAAGTACTACGCTTAAAAATCGGAGCAAGATTTTTGTAAAAAAGTTTACACAACAAATCTAGGAGTATTTTTCAATTAAAATAGTCCGAGTGAGCGATAGCTGGTTTTCTAGGTACTACCTAAAATGCATTTATTTTTTCCTTGTTTAAGTAAAAAGGAACAAATAAGGGCAATCAATTTTTTTCCAAACACGAGTTTGAACTCATGAACCCAAGGATGACAATGAAAATGTGTAATTATTCGGCTACGGTAAACATATTCTAGAGAAGACAATATAGAGTTATTTAACATAACATATAATATCAGAACTTCAAAAAGCTATAATTTTGAAAATTAGTCAGTCTGCTTAATTCTGACTACACCATCGTTTTTAAATCGGTAATATATATATATTTAAAAAAAAGAAAAAGATGAAAAATTAGATTTGTTCCACATAATTTTTTACTTAAACGATTTTAGTCAAAATTCGATATTAAAATTCCTTTATAAAAAAAAAATAAAACACTACATTACAACAATTTTTTTTTTTTTTTTATCACTCTAACGAAACTCTTGTTAAATTTTGAATCATTTTGGCTATGTCTAACAATTTTACAACAGAGTACCTACCGAATAAAAGAAAAACACAAATTGAATAGCTGAAAAAAAACGGAAGAAAAACGGGAAAATGTATAAAATATATTATTAAAATATTACGATTTTTTTCCTGTACAAATCTATTCAACTAAAAATTTTGCTCCAGTTTATAATGATAGCAATGTTTCTAAAAGGAATGAAATGTATTCTATAATTGTGCATATAAGTGACTACGTATTTCTTTGTCACGATTGTAGAGAAAATGTTTAATTTTAATTGCTAACGAAGAAATTAATATTGTGTACAATTCAGTTCATGGGTGATATACTGATACAAGACATACGTAAAACATATACGATATTATAAGACACACGTACGACGTATATAAACATACATAAAATCAACTTTGATTTTTTAAATATTGCATTGTTGACAGTTATGCCCCCTCCCCTCCCAAACGGAATTCGATTGGCGGAACTGCATCTGAAGCACAAAAGAGACACTATGGGCAACGGGAAGCAAGATTAGAAAAAGAACATAATAGATAAAAAAAAAATTTAAAATTGGCAATATTGTATATCAGTATATTATACAAGCTGTTCTGCCCGGCGTTGCCAGTGGCAATTTTTATTTTATTTTTTTATATGTTACCTGTATAAAAAACAAAGTGCCATTTTGATATCCGGGGTAATCTCTGAAACTACTCATCCAATCGTAATGTGTTTTTTTTTTTTGAAATGATACGCAGTATATCGTGGAGAAGATTTTAAGCTATTAAAAACGTCGGTCCGATCAGTAGAAGTAGTTGACGATCTAACCTGCAGTAGTTTGGGCTGGATACATATAAAAAAAAAATGTATCAGATGTTTTTCATTGCTTAGCAACCATATGGCTAATTTATATAAGTTTGAAAAAAAAAATTAAAAAAATGCATTTTGAAACACTTAAAGGCAACAACGGTTAATTGCAGTAATAGTGACAGAGATTGAAATAAGAAATCTAGGGGAAAACGTTTTTATTACACATTTATTTGACACGGCTAACACCAGGCGGGACAGACAGTATTAAATAAATATAAATTAAATTTCTTTAGACGGAAGTAAAATAATATTTTCTTTGGTCTTTTTTTTCATTTTTCTTTGTTTGTTCTTTTTTTTCTAAACTCTTTATCAAACACTTCCTAACTCTTCCTAAACTCTCTTAATATATAACTCATCAACCCAATTATTTGTTTTGCCCCACTAAAAGGTCGGCTGCATATATAGATAATCAATGATGCTAAATACGTTACATTTTTTTTTTGTTTCCCCTGTTTACCACTATGTAACTCGCGAATCTCGTCTTAAATTTTAGAAAATTTTTTCTGGGCCAAAACAATTTTATCTAAGTAAAATTAAAAAAACAAACATGTTTTTTGTAACAAAATTTTATTTTAAAGCTGCCATTCGTCCCGATTTAGCCGGGACACTATCGGTTTTAAGCACGCTGTCTCGATATTTATCAAGTTCCCGGCCGGGTCGCGTATTGACATTCCAATATAGCCGATCTCAGTCCCTGCTAACCAATTGTGCTTTCTGATTGGTCGACTTGAATTGCCACGCAAAATTACTAAAGTTATCGTGTAGTGTTTCTCGTTATCTATCAAATACAATAATCATTGAACCATAGACCTGATCATATATAAAATATGTTTATAGGTCTATGTAGAGAGCCTAGATAATAATAAGCCTAGGCTCTCTAGGTCTATGCATTGAACTCTATAATATGATAACTGGAATGCTATACGTCCCGTGATATCAGATATAATCTAAAGGTGTATCAATACACCTTGGACCGTGTTTAACTGTGCTTACCCAATTTAAAACCGTGCCCCATAGATACACCCCACCAGATCCAAAAAAATCGAAAAAAAAAAATTTAAAATTTAGGTCCTCCATTATAAAAAAAACCCCTCCCTTGAAAGAATTGGCCAACGTGTATTGTGTATACTATTCTACCCATTTTGTTCATAGCATACCTCCATTTATGTACATTTTTTTTTTATCTGATTACTCTATTATTATTTTTTCTATTATCAACTATAAAAACTAATTATTTGAAATCATAATGTCAACTCATTTGGTTTGTGTCTTGATGATGAAAATACTTTGAAATTTAAGTAATTTTAAGCCAACTTAAAGTACACGGGTATAACTAAAGTATACATATTTAAATTAATCTTTAATGGTAAACATTTAAATAAATAAATACAAAACTTTATTAATATATGTTTCCTACATATTTCTGTTTATTTATTTGTTATTTATTATTTTCAAAAAAAGAGTACAATTTCATGTACTTTAGGAACATAGGACAATGCATCAAAAAAACAGCACTGTACCACGAAAAAGCGTACGTCCCCGGTCACCATACCCATAGAGTGCTTACCCGTCATAAGACCAATGTAAACATGACCGAGACACCGCGTTAGAAAAAAACAACAGATAAGGATGGTGCTGTTGTCTTTTTGTACAAAATACATATTACTCACCAATTAATGATTGATTACTTATTAATTAAGAACCAAACTAAAATAATCTCGAGGTAAATAAATGTAAGACAAAGATGGTAACACCAATAGCACGTGCCATCACGTTCTAACATTCTCTCACGGGTTACACTGCTTGGTGAGCATTCAGCATAGATATAAACTGTATCTATGTATATCTAAGTATATTGCTATGGCATTCGGTTTTTAAATACAAATTGGTGACCATAGGCATGTAGACATGGCGGTAACGCCACGCTGCGACACTCACGGATCCATGATAAAATATGGGTAATATACTCATGAGCATTTCATTGGGTTTGCTACACTGTAGTTTCATAATCCAGGTAGATTTTATCACTAGTATTATTATTGTTGTTGGTTTTGTTTACAAATCGTCAATAGGTCACAGGTACAATAATAATAAATTCCTTTGCCATAATATTTTGTATAATTTGATATTCGACTGTAGTATTGTTCCACCATAGTATTTAATATATTTTAATAATTTCGCGCTCGGTATTTTGCATTAATTACACTTTGGAATGTAAAATAACCTACCTGTTTGACATTCCTTTAAGATAAATTTGGTCGGGCCAAATTAATGATAAACGAGTCTAATGCAAATTGTATAGCTTTTATGTTACTTAATTATTATTAAATCATCGGTAAGTAAAAAGCCCTATGTGAATTATTATTTTAAATTTTTAAACAGTATTCACTTGAAATATTTTATAAGTTATGTTACAATAAATACATAGTGAAAAATATGATTTATATAGTTATATTTTGTATTTGAATTAGTTATTAATAATTCAAGTTAATATTTAATTATTTTATACATTTGTATTGGTTACAAATAAAAGAACCTGATAGAAGTCAATACTTGTTATTTTTTTACAATATTTTTTATAAAAATGCCTAATTTATTGTTTATAATTTTTTTAAATTTTTATATAAACATTTAATTTTGTACTTATAGATATTATAATACAGACGTATACCAATTGTTATTTACCTAACAAAACATCACAATCATCAAAATGTCACTTTATTCAGGTAATTAACAAAATGCATTTTAACACTGTTTTACAATTTAGTATTATTATTTTAAATTACAATTTATTAATATAAATATGTCAATGAATTAATACTTAAAAAAAAGTATTTACCGATCTTTATTTATTAAATCTACATAATTTTTGTTGTTTTCAGATATGTCTTCAGCGTTGTCTATATTAAATGAAATAAAAACTTTAGTCAATGAATCAGGGGATGATAAATTAATATCTAATACGAATAATGATCTTCAACTTCTAATATCCGTTTTTCAAAATCCAATCATAAAAACTATTGCATCCGTTCAAGTAAAACAAATTATCTCAATAATTTGTATAATAAGCTCATTAATTATAATCTAAAATTATAGGACTCTGTATCTGAATTGAGTTGCCAACTTCAAGAACACCCATCATTGTTACCAGTCGATTTTGATATATCTCCTGTTACTGGTCAATTAGTATTGAGTTTGCCATCAGAGTCTACTCCTTATAACAGCGTACCAGAAGATCTGGATAAAAGAGATCAAAGAGTTCCGAAACTTTCAAACAGTTCATCTGCAGAAAGTTCTTCTCCTACATCAAAGGTCTATAATATTTATAATTGATTAAAATAAAATTTAAATAATTATCCAATCATAGGTACAATTAAAATTTGTTTAGTTTGGGTGGATTATTTGGGGCCCCCTAATTATAGAGTTTATAATAATAGTTTTATCAAAGGTTCTAACTTAATTTAAAGGGTAATTAAATATTTATATTATATGTGAAAGATTTACATATTATTTATATTGTATACATTGTGCCAGTTTAAATATGCATTGTATATAATACAACATGTACTTAGATAGTGAATTTAAAAAGCAATAAATATTTATTATGTATTATGTATATGACCAAGATAATCTGTAAACATCATAATAATTAAAATTATGACCAACAAGGAAATAAATAGCTGAATTTAGAAAACCAAATGTTTCATAACCTATGATTTTTTGATAGAAAAAAATGAGTAATAAGTAAACTGATATATATTATTGATTAAATTTATTTATTAATGTTTAACATTTAATTTTACATTACAGAAATTGTTTCAATAATATTCAATGTTTACATTTCAGGAAAGTAAATCCTTAATAAAAGATATATCAACTACTTTAACGCCAATAACAACACCTTCGTATGCAGTTGAATTTCAAAAAGCTGTTCAAGAAGCATCCAGAGGACGTAAAATTCATAATGTACAAGTATGTAATTATTATTTACACATTTTTTTAAAATTAATAATATTTGTAATTGATTTTATATAATTCTATGTTATTAGAAACAAAATTATATTACAAATGTTGTTAAGAGGTTAATACTCAAAAATATAATAATAAAATAAGTGTGCTAACAAAATAAAGGTGCTTTTGTTGCACTATTACCTGATAAAGATTTTTAAAATTGTCATTAGTTATAAATGCAAACAATCTATATCCAGCCAATCCAGGCTTTGTTTTTTCATCTTTTTTTCAAACATTTTATTTGTATTTTATATGTACATATATTTTTAGTATTTGTAAAGAATGCATTCAATTTTTTATGAATGATTTTTAATGAATTCTAATTGAATAATGCTTTTAAGAACGTTAGGTATTCAGTTATAGGAATGTTGACGAATTCTAAATGCTTTTTATATCTTTAAAATAAGTTTAATAAATACATAAAAAAAATAATTTTCCAAGGGCAGCAAGACATTTTTACTACAATGTTAGAATTTTTAAGATGGAACTTAATTGCATTTAATTGTAATATAAATAGATAATTCATAAGTTAAAAATATGTAATTCAAAATATTACTATAGTAAATTTGAATATTTATTAAGTTAGTACATAACTTAGTAATTTATTTTTCCATGATTTATTTAGCAATATCATAATATTGTTTAAAAATTGTTAGTCATTTATAATGCTAGTCTATTTAATCTTAATAGTTTAAAAATGTATGTAATATTGTTTACATTAATTAATCATTAATTATTGAAACTATATGAAATATTCATTTTAAATATTGCATAATAATTTTTGATAATGACTAATTATCATTATTGTTGGTAATATTAATATTATATAACCATATAAATTGGTTTTTATTTAATAAAAAACGCATTCATATATGTTTATTTATTTGGTATATTAAAATAAGTAACATTTAACTATACATCAATAAATTACTACAGCGGGCAAGTTAGAATAATGTACATTTATAATGTTGCATTTTAATATATTTTTAGAACACATTGAAAAAAAAAAACGGTAAAATCACAGTTTTTTGATATGCACACCTTGCTTAAATATTGTTTTACTTCATCTATTATCATAGTTCTTCACTTCTTTCTGGCTAACATTAGCATTGTTCATAGAAGTAGTGGAAAACTACACAAGTTGGATGTGGAAAAGATGTGCATATTGATCAAAAGCATTACATGTTGTGATCATACCTATCTATTTTGTCATGATCCCTTAAAATGTATCTATCATGACAGAGAATAAAACACTAATGAATATTGAATATGCTAGATTCCAGAATACTGTGATTTTTTTTTATTGATTACTGAAATTTACTATAAGGTTACCAACAACTTTTGTAATTACCAAACTCTTATACACTGATTTCTATTAGTGATTTGCATTCTGTACCCTAGTATACTGTATTTAACAACTGTAATTGTATTTTATAATACAACTAAAATATGAAAATTTATTGTCAGTTCATTTCTTAGTGGGTTTTGTAAGATTTAAACATTTTTTAACAATATTTAAAAATACAATGTAACCTCTATAAGGAACAACTAAGGAGAACAATAGCCATTATTCTTATAATTGGAATTTTATATTGACTGCTGTTAAAAGGTTTTGTTCGGTAGAGGAGGGTCCATAAATAAAGTTTTCATTGTATGTATGTATGTATGTATGTATGTATGTATGTATGTATGTATGTATGTATGTGTACACAGAAAAGTAAACACTTTTTATCTTACGTTTTTACATTCTGGAATGCAACCATGTGTTAATGTTGTTTGTATTAATTGATTAAACATAAAGCAAAAAAATAATCAAGTTTTTTCTTTTTTATAGCTCTTTAAACCAGAAGGCAGTAGTTTGGGTTTTAGTGTAGTTGGTTTAAGAAGTGAAGAAAAAGGAGAGCTTGGAATATTTGTTCAAGAAATTCAGCTAAATGGAATTGCTGCACGGTAAGATTTTCTTTGTAAATATGATTTTACTTGGGTGAAATATATAGTTTTAATGTGGCATAGTATATAGTTTTGGTTTAAAACTAAAATGTAGGTTAATTAATTTTAATTAAGACTTGTAGAACTATATATTACTCGTGTAGATGACTAGTTTTACAACTTGGAAATTGGTGATTAATTATATTCTATCCATATTATCCAAGTGTTAAAACAATTAAACTGCAATAGATTTATTTGTGCATATTTAGTCTATTTTAGATCCTATAACTTTTTAGTCTCGCTAATGACTATAATTATGCTTTGATGGTTTAGATATATTTAAAATTATTTATTATTATACTAGGCATACTAATTAAAGTTATCTGAAATTTTAATGTACAATGTACATAAATATTAATAACTTAAAAAATTTAATTAATTTGGTGAAATGAGATATGAAAATAAATTATCTCATTTGTATTATAATAAAGTTATGTATAATATAAGCGCTCTCTTGTATAATAAATTATATACCTACATTTAACATTATTGTTTATTGATAATACAATTTAAGTTTTTGGTTGTTTAGCGAAATGATTTTTCCTATATTTGTTAAATTATAAATTTGTTAGGTTTATTGTGTGAAGAACATTTATATTACTCAACTAAAAAACTATTAGAGCTTAGAAATATTTAACAATAATTTTTATTTTAATAAAATGCTTTAAATTCATCAATCAATCATTATCAAAAGGCATTATGGCACGTATTAGTATTCGTTTACATAACAGATTATTATACAAATATAATTAAGTAAAAACAAAACATGCTATAGAAATTCAACGACATTTTACAGTAGGTATGTAAAATAATACAAACATATATCATTTTACCAATTATATTTTCATCAAAATAATAATAATAATTGAGTTTTCGACAATATGTTAATTTATATATTTTATTTGATTTTTTTTAGAATACAGTATAGAAATACTAGTATTTAATAGTCGAATACAAATTATTTAAATTATAATATCAAATTTGAATGAAAGTTTTGTCTATGAATTATGTATAAATGTATAAATAATAATATTATTTTAATGAAAACAATAATGTTACAAAAAAATATTTACGTATGTAGGTGAGTACTTAAATTTAATTAGGTAGGTTACCTACTATTATTATTGGAGGATAGGGATTTAAACGAACACTTTGCTATAGGGACTAAACAATGTCGAACGTTTGATAAACAATAACAATTTTATCGTAACAAATACTACGACGGTTTATAATTTTTACGGGGTTGGTAGCGCACGGAAAAAAAAAACAAAAAAACAAAAAATAGGAACCACCGGCGCCGGCATATTTATAGATCTCCCGACTAGGCGGTATACCCAGTACCCACAAAAGACACTTCACACGCATGACGCAGGTCCTTGGTCGCGTTCAGTCCCTAGAGGGCGGGCAGGGGAGCCGGAGAGGTCACGGCGGCAAGTCGAGGCGACTGCCAGTCATTCTCATTACGCTTTTGCGCTCGCGTTCGATCCGCTCGCGTTTTATTCCCTTCCATGAGAGCTTTCGATTTTGTTTCCAAATACATAATAATAATAATAATAATAACAATATCATTACGGGTGTTTACATGTTTTAAACAAAATGAGCTTGTACCGTAGATTCAAACGTTCGTAGACGTAAGACCGCACGCGTATTATGCATAACGATATTACATACATTTTATTAAAAATGCTATTCGCGAGTAACGATTTTTGTAATTATTGTTGTGATAATTATTTGTCTACGTTCAAACCAAAACGGTGTACCGCTACAGTTGCAACAGACGAGCTTTTAACACGGCGACAGTCGGTAAGTCGTAGAAAAAGTGCATTGCGAAATAATACCCAGGTATATTAAAAATAATTTTAAGTACTGGGCACTTCGTGTTGGGTTTTGCGTGTATTATATAATCTAGATATTATTAGATTTATGACTGAATAGTAAACCTAACCACCACAGATTTACATATATTTGCTTACTATTAACATTTATAATCAACAAGTTTGGTGGGTATGTAGGTACCTACATAATAATATTTTATACTTATTGTTATCTTGGAAAACAAAAAAAATATCTTTCGAAATATTAATATTATTATGTTATTTGTAAACTTATAGAAGTGTAGTGTAATCTGCAATATAGTATTTTAGAATAGACACCTATTTAGTAAATTTGAGATTTCGGTAATGTATAATTAATGTTTTTAACAAGTATTCTTATCTCATAACATCGAACAACATTGGCATTTAATCAAATGCCAATAATTTTGAATTTCGTCTACGAATTAGAATTATCGTTTATAATATACTAAACTAAAGTGTTAGCCTCAGTATTGTGTCGATTCGATATACTAGGTTTTAAGATAACTGTTCGGTTTTAAACAGTAGAGGTTCATAGGAAGACGCGATTTTTATTTGTTGTAATTTTGTACACACGTTGTTCCCGAATTATATGATTAGCATCGTAGAACTAGGTCAGATTTTAAATTGATTTATATAACAATAATCTTTCTTAATTTCGGAAACTATTCCAATTACGTATTTAATAGTATAATTCATAATGTGATAGTTTATGCGAAATGTAAATAATATAATATAATAGATAACAATATTATAGTACAAATAAATATAAATAAACTTATAATATTAAGTACCTATTTAAAATACCACCAGTCTTTGAAATCTACTTAATTTAGCTACTCCCTAGTGTGTCGAATTTTGGGCTTTTTTTGGGGGGGGGAGGTTTGCCCTTATTCCTGGCAATACTTTTTTTTCGACAAACATTAACGTAGCTTCATCACCAACTCATACCTGATTATAATACACCTTAAAACCTTACAAGTGGTAATTTTCTTGTAAAAAAAAAATCTTAGGATTGCTGCTCAGATTTTCGATTATAATAAAATCCGTAACACCCGTCAGATCCAAACTCTCTCCTCTCGGCTGATTGCAGCCGATCAGCAATTAATCGTCTCTCTTTTAGATGGGTCACTGGATGCTCCTGATATTCTTGGAAAAATTTGTTTTAGAGTTCTCCCTCATACTCTACTCGCAACCAATCTCCGTTATCTATACCTAGCCACTCCACTTCCTTCGGTCATAACCACCCACTCTCACACCGCATGCTCAGAAACTATAATCCTTGATCAACTTGTTTTGTATTTATTTCTTATCAATTGTATTTAGCCCGATTTATATTCTATTATGTTTTCATTACTAATCGTCCATTTGTTATATGCTCCATTTACTTTACTCTACAGTTCTTTTTTTTTTTTATGTTTAGTTTTCTACGTTTATGTTGTTTTTATTGTCAAATAATTTTCGTCATTCCCTTTGTAAAAGTTGTTTGGCGTTAACTTTTAAAAAATAAAATAACGTCAAACGTAAAGTACAAACGATTTGACTGAATAAATTAAAACTAATTTAACATTTAAATTTATTGAGTAATTTCTTTTATCAGTTTAATTAATTTTTTATATTCGTATATTCGCAATGTATTCGTGTTATACACATAAACTTAATTTTATCATTGTATCAGTAGTCTCCAATTAATCCATGAGAGAAATTTTCAAAGCGGTATTAAAATATTTCTTTATTCGTCAACAATATTTTGCGATACTTCAGTAATGAATAGAACTAAAACACATAATGTGGGGTTTACTCGTATTTAAATGGACAAAAAAAAGTCTCAATTTTTTACGAACAACAAAATAAAATAATATCAAAGTTTGTCGTATCCACACTGTATTATGGTTAAATATGAAACATTAACAACAATAATACCCATTTATAACTGTACAAATAATTTGCTAACAAGTTGGTAGGTGCTTGACGCAAGTTTTAGATACATGATTATTTCATTAGAGTTTAAAGCGTACCTATAATAATGATAATAATGTAATAATATAATAAATTGCTACAGTAATTAAATCGAATCTAGGAAATCCATAGGTAGGTACGTCGAAACAAAAAAAAAAAAAAAATCATACAATGATTCGTTTTTGTTTTTTTAAGTGTACTCATTACACAGTGGTGGCTCTTTAAAGGGTTTCATAAAAAAAAAAAGAAAAAAGTTTAATAACTTTATCGCATAAATCTTATTGCGTGTGTGAGAAAAAAAAAAAGGTAATATTATTATATTCGATAGGTAGTAACGGAGATAGATACTGAAGTGTAATTTAGTAAAACCTTGGTAAATACCATTATAATACGTTTCTGGGGGTTCGCGGAAAATCCGAGTAGGTATAGAGAAAATCCGAGCAGCGTAATAATGATTTACTGGTACTGCGGACAATGATAATTCTCAGTCCGTAGAGACAAAAGTAAAATAAAATAATACGAGTACGCGAGATGTCCGTGGATTTCTCCCGACCGGATTGAAAGTAACGGTGTACACGGGATGATAGATATTATTTTTAAAATCACGAATCATCGTCCGTCCGGTATCCGCCGGTTTTATGGCGCTTTTGATACAATTGACACTGGATCAGTGGCGGATCCGGGATTTAAATTACGTGTGAGACGGGGGGGGGGGGAGAGATTTTTAAAATGCACAATGTAAGGCACGCGTTAACGGCGGACGAACTCTCAACGGTGAATCGAGGCGTTTTAGAGTGTGTCGGAGAGTGAACGGGGACGGTGAGCCGTCGCCACTCGCCCCTGGATCCGCCGCCACTGTTCTAAATGTCTCCAGTTATTAATTACGCGGACCCGAACAAATAGCGTACGTATTTGAAACTGCACTGGCCTCCGGGTGAGGGTGTAGGGATCGGCGAACACCCGTCGGTTTGCCGTTTCAAGAAAATCCGAATCGTCAATATATTGCGTTCAAGCGATGCCTAACGGTTTGTACGCGCCTAACATAATAAATACGTTACGCGTCCACTGCCAACTAGAAGACCATTTCGCCGACAGGTGTTTCGTTATTGTCAACTATTTCGGGGTCCGTTTTATTTTTATAAATCCCGCGCGTTACACGTTTGCGCGGTTCGCGCTGAATTCCGGAGAGTCGAGTGGTCTTGTCCACCGATGCGGCGCAATGACGGTTTATCGCGATAACCGCGATTGTAATGTTTTTATCGCGGCCCCATCGACATCGCGACTCCCCGCGCCGACAAAATATTGATTAATCCTACGCAAACACGCGTATTCCGCGCGTTTAAATATTTATTTATAACTTCGAGCGGAGTCCACTGGCAATGGATTTTCGCCAAAGCGCGCGACCGATTCCCGCGGCCGATAATCCGCATTTCCATTTGTTCCCGGCACGATTGATCGGCCGGACCGACCGCCGTGTTTTCGATGCGATGACGCGTCCCCGTGCGGTACGGCCGACGGTTTTCGGTTTTTTTTTTTTTTTCCGTATCTGTCGGTCTACAAACGGCCCAAATCGATAATCGTCAGTAAAAGCTGGTGGTACGTGTCTGGCTCTACAGACCCTACGGAACCCCTAAACCAAAGTGCGAATCCCCGACCAATACCCGTATGACGGCCACAACGAAATGAATACGACGTTTACTTTACGTAGACGTTTTTAGGCTTGGACGCACATGCGAGTCAGTCGCCGCCGCGGTGTCGATTCGAAACGTTTTCCGTTCGTTACGGTAATGTCCGCGAAACGCACGTACCATTAAGCGTGTGTGTTTTCGGGATTTTTTTTTTTTTTTTTCAAACGGTACTCGGTTTTTGTTTCGTACCCCACTAATAATTTTATTGATAAAATCTCAATCATACTCTCGACCGAATGTAATACATGTATGCAGAATAACGTTTTTCGCCCGCATCGTCCCAAATTATGAAAGTCCCGTTTGAAGAATTAGTAAGGTGTACACTGTTGGTTTTAAACGTTTACAAATAAATGGACAAATTGTAGGTTACGTCTTTGAATGATTTTCTACTAAGCCGTCAAAATGACCGATGGACATTTTTAAGTCAACCCTAGTGGCCCTGTTGTTAATCTATACAGCGTGGTGTCCCTTGAAGGTAATCCGCCCGTTGTACCATTTCCGAATACAATAATGACAATCAAGTTTTGTTTTTATGTTTTGATTATTTATTTACCCAAACACTAAATTGGTACGTTAAATCATTTATATGAACACTAAACATAATTACTACGGACATATAGTATACATATTATGTAATTTTAATTAGATATTGAAAGGAACAATAAATCATTATACAATGCGAAATACGATTTCAAACAGAGTTCTGTATTATAATGTATCCTTAGTACAATTGAAAATTAAAAACACACGTGTTGTAATTTCCAACAGTTTTTTTGTGGGCACGCTCTATGAAAATGTTTGAGGAATTGAAAAATGAACTTTTAAAACGGTATTTGTATTCAGGATCGTATGAAACCTGGGTTATTAAAAAAAAAAAAACTACAAATTTTGGTTTTTTGGGTAAAATCTTAAAAAAACCAAAAATACCTAACATTGGTTTTTTTTATAGAATATAATAGGGTTGGATAAATGGGATTTTGTTTTTAAAAAATTCGTTTCGGCTCATAATAATATTCTCAAAAAAAAAAAAAAAAAAAATGAATACTACTTTGTTTATACCTATTTATATTTAGTTACACCAAAACTATTTATCTGCAATTACTTTTTATTTTATAGTTCTAGAGCTTTATTTAAATATTAATCAAAAAAATATGAAATATTTGAATAGAATTTTTTTCAAAAACATTTATGTAATGATTAAAAATGTCCATATAATTGTAGAATGGGTTTTTTTTGGGGTGGTTGGGTTAGTTTTTTTACATGTGTTTAATTGTAGCTGTAAAATCAGTGATAATTGTAAATAATCAGTGTACATAAAAAGAAGATAGTTTTTAGAAAAATATGTTTACTGCATATAATTAAATAAGTATTATTGTACTTGTCTTGAAATTATATAATTTGACTACATAAATTGCATAAAATAAGATGTTTAAAATTTAAAAATCAACGTATTTTAACTCAATCATATCTAACATATTTCTCACTTGTGTTCCACTAAATAATACTTTATACTATTTTGTGCATTGGTGCTGTAGCCAGGAATTTTTTTAAGGGGGTGTTTTTGTTTTGTGTTTAGATGTAAGTTTGTCACTTTATTGTGTGAATCTGATATGTGAAACACATAACATATACTTAATAATTATCTATTAGTAACACAACACATATTGTAAAAATATTATGCATAATTGCATGTAGTTAAAATTATAATTTTGGCATAATTATGGTCAAGGGAGCCGTAACACCAAAATATCTCGCTCGCTAAGTCATTAAATTTGTATCTATGTGTATTTAAGAATATTTTATGATGGAAAAATATTAAAAATATTATAATCTAGTAATTTTATCATTTAAAAAACATTCAATAAAAAAACCAAATTAAATGATATCAGATAATATTTCTATTTTTTTTTTTGTTATTATTATTGAATTAATTTAATTTATATATATATATACATTATATTAATACATATATAATAGATGTAAATTAATTTATTGAACACAATTATTTAAAATTGCTATATAACAGGCATTATTATGACTACCTACTAATTGAAATACAGTGTAGTTATGTGTTAAGTTTTCCTATACAGTTGTCAAAATAAAAAAAAGATGACAAAATTAATAACAACAATTGGATGAACTTTATGTATTTAAGATTTATAAGAAAAATACATTTATATTATATTTTTAAATAATTTATTCAACACAATGATTGTATAGTGTTCATATTGTATTGATTATTAAAAACTGCACATCTACCGGGAACAATATTTATTATATTTGAGTTACATAAACTAATATTGGTTTGTGCCATCTGTTGTCATCCACATTTTTTTTTTACACAAGTATAAGACATTCAACTAGATTCAACTTGGGTGCAATAACTGATAAACCATGTTATCCAATATAATAATTCAGATAATAATTTGTATTGTATTTTTTTTTTTATTCCACTTTGAAAATATATTCATATTAAAAATTTTATAAAATGAATTATAAATTATTAATAATACACTGTGTTTTTGTTACTAAATAATAAGTCACTCTTATAATTAAATCTATATTTTATTTTAAAAACAAATTTGGGTTTGTTGTGTAAAAAAAAAAAAAAAACATTCAAAAGAAGAAAATAAAATTATATTGTTTCTGTTTAACCAATTATTTATTAATAATGATGCACCTGCAGTTTTAATATGAATGAATAATTTTATAGTTGATTCAATATTTAATGACTTGCTTTTATCTAATTTGTGTATTGTAATTTAAATTAAATTTTTGAAAATGTAGAGAAGGAGGGCTTCATGAAGGTGACCAGATTATTGCCATTGATGGCCAACCATTGGACACAAATGTGTCCCACCAGCAAGCTATTGGAATACTGCAACAGGCCCGTGGGCTTGTTCAGTTGGTCGTAGCGCGCCCTCTAACACCACCTCCTTTACCAACATCACAGCCTTCCAGTAACATGGTAAAGTTGTTTTTTTCTTGTTATTACTTATGAAATCAATTTAATTAGTTTATACTTAAACCATTTTAACTTGTTACTAACATATTAAAAATATATATATATACATTTTTTTTTTTGTAACAATAATAATATATTATTTGTTATAGTTGAACACTGAATGGGCTCAAGTTGAAGTAATTGAGCTTCTCAATGATGGATCTGGGTTAGGATTTGGCATAATTGGTGGTCGCAGCACTGGTGTGGTTGTTAAAACTATACTTCCTGGAGGAGTTGCTGATAGAGTATATTAAAATTTAAAAAAATTTAAGATATAATTTAAATATTAAATCTAATTATTACATATAGGATGGAAGATTACAAAGCGGTGACCATATATTACAAATAGGTGAAGTAAATTTAAGAGGTATGGGAAGTGAACAGGTTGCTGCAGTACTTCGACAATCTGGAAGTCAAGTGCGTTTGGTTGTTGCTCGACCAATAGAATCCAGTGCAATTGATATAATTCAAGTATATTGTTTTATATTTATTATGATTGAAGTTTTACAATTGCATTATTTGTTGAATAAAATAATTTAGTTCAATTTACATAAATACATTATATCATTCTTTTATAATAGAGATATATTATTCCTATTTTTTCTTATTAGTCTTGACTATGTGTATACAAAATAACTATGAAATTAATATTTGTTTCTTATAAAAATAAATTTCAAAATAAGGCCAATATAACCAAATTAGTTAATACCTATTATGGTTATTTTAACAGTTAAATAATCATTATTATTTTGTAGAATATGAGTTGTACTGCTCCAATTGTTCCAACAAAAATGTTAGGGGATGCAGAAGAGCTTGATCGTCATTTAGTCCAGCATGGTTATCCTGAAGTTGCAACATATTCTTCTGATTATTTTTTCCAAAATATTTCAAATGTAAATAAATTAAAATAATACATTATTATCATATTATATTTATAAAATTTATTTAATTTTGGTTTAGGAAAACAATTTACTAATTAATGATAATATAATACCGGCTTCGTTGCCTCCTATTACTATGGATATGGTACCTCCAGATAGTATAACAACTTTTCCAGAAACAGATTCATTTACTGTCCAGTTAAAGAAAGATACACATGGTTTAGGAATAACTATAGCAGGATATGTTTGTGAAAAAGGTTAGTTTCCCTTTTTAAGGATTTCATGTTTAAACATTTAACATTTTGATACATTGTTATTAATGTTTTTAAATATTTAGAAGAATTATCTGGAATATTTGTAAAAAGTATCAGTGAGGGTAGTGCTGCTGATTTATGCAAAAAAATTCAAGTGAATGATCGTATTGTTGAAGTTGATGGAACTTCTTTGCAAGGATTCACCAATCATGAAGCAGTTGAAGTTTTGAGATCCACTCAACAAATGGTAACATTACGTTTAGAACGCTATCTTCGTGGTCCTAAGTTTGAGCAGCTACAAGTAGCCATTGCTGCATCTGAAATGAAACCAAGTACAAATAGTGCAACTGCATCACCCTCTATAATGTCTTTACCTAGATTTCCAATTACAGTGAGTTTGACTTATACCAATCATACTAATCATAATTTTATTAAATATTTAAATATATTTAAGGATGGTGAAAGTACCGTGGAAATTGAAAAAGAAGGTGAATCAGGAGCAACAGTAGAGGCTGATGTGCTGGATGAAGAGGAAGATGAATTGGTAGAAGAAACTGATTCTACTGAAAATATTTTATTTGATGAAGAACTAAAACCGGAAGCAATAAAAAAAATTAAAAACAAATGGAATGGAATTGTGGGAAATAATGTTGAAATTATTGTAAGTTGGTTGAATTATTTTTCTAATTAAATTAAAAATGATTTTTTAAATTAAGTTGTGCATTTTTATATTTAGGTTGGTCAGTTAAAAAAATTTAGTGAAGGTGGTGGTCTAGGTATAAGTTTAGAAGGCACTGTAGATGTAGAAAATGGCATGGAAGTAAGACCACATCATTACATACGATCTGTTCTACCCGAAGGGCCTGTGGGAAAAAATGCGAGTCTTCAATCAGGTGATGAGTTACTTGAAGTAAACGGCCACAGATTGTTGGGAAGAAATCATATGGAAGTAGTTGCTATACTGAAAGAGTTGCCTATTAATGTTAGAATGATTTGTGCTCGACGTACAGATGAACAACAATTGCCTCACCATTATCTTACTGATATAACAGAAGATCGTGCTGCTTTTGCAGCTAAAGTAAGAAAAATATATCAATAATTATTTTGAAATGTTAAGTACTATATTTCTTTGTTTTATTTATAGAATGCATTAGGCGGTAGTCTTCAAAATTTAATGCCGGCTACTGATCGCTTAGTGAAGGCAAAGTCAGATGGATCACTAGCTAGTACTGGAACAGCAGGATGTTCAGATTCTAGTAGATTACGTTCTCGATCTCTAGAACCTCTCACAGGATTAGCCATGTGGTCTTCACAGCCTCAACTTATCGAGCTTATGAAAGGAGAACGTGGCCTTGGGTTTTCAATTTTAGATTACCAAGTATGTTCTTTAGTTAGAAAATTAATACATCCTTTCTTTGTATATTATGATGTTTATTATGATTTATAGGATCCTATGAATCCAAGTGAAACAGTTATTGTTATTCGTTCATTGGTACCAGGCGGAGTAGCTCAAAATGATGGGCGTTTAATACCAGGAGATCGTTTACTTCGAGTTAATGATATATGTTTAGAGAACGCATCATTAGATCAAGCTGTACAGGCTTTGAAAGGTGCTCCTAAAGGAGTAGTTCATATTGCTGTTGCCAAGCCACTGCCCATACCAGATAGTAGCAGTCAGGTGAGTTCACCATCAGATCAGGCACGCGCAGATGAATCTTTTACGCAACGTCGTGGCGAATTCTACAATGATGTCGACCAGGAGTCATCTGTACAACAGTTGGCGTCTAATCTGCTCAAATCGGAGAGCTTCTGACTCAATGATATTCCTTAATAGTTGTGGCGATATAAAATTTCTTTATTAAGTTTAGTAAATATATTTCATTTTTTTAAAATTATCCTTTTAAATAAGGAGAACCAAATTATTATTTTAATATAATCATTCCTTTTTCTCATATCGCCACAATTTAACCGTCCATTTTTATTTCATTTAACCATTTAAATGATCATAAATTAGTTGTAGTTAGAAATTTATTGTAGTTAAAAATTGTTTATAGTTAAAATAATATGAAGAAATGCATTGAGCGTTATTCCATTGGGAAGACTAGGAAAGAAAGAAGAATATTCTATTAAATACATCATAATATATTATATTGTTTTATGAATGAATGTGAAAGAGACAGACAGATGGTTAGATGGTAAAGAGAGGTATAATGATTACTGAGATGTGATAAATAAATGATGTGGGAAACAGAGTTGAGTGGAGATTCAAGACTAAAGGGGTAAACCCTAAATAGATGGAAGAAGAGGCGAGGGAGAAGAAAAAAAGATAATATTTATTAATTATTTTTTAAATTTCTATGAGCACTTTTGCATTTCTTCATTCTTCTTCGCATTTCAAAACTATACAAATCACTTAATCAATTTTACTTTTGTTTATTCTCATAAACTTTTAATGTGCCTTATTAATTGATAATAATATAAACAAAGTATTTAAAACATTATTGGAATATTAATATTAAGTTAAACATTTGGGTGTTTGGTTTATTCTTTTGGATAAGATGCATTACATACATAATATTATATTTATATATATATGGATAGAATTTTTTATTTAATATTCCAACACTCATTTGTTTGATAATTTGTTAAGTTTTTGAAGTACACATTTTTAAATTAAGAAATCAATATATCAAATTTTTAGTATTTTTTTACAAGACATTTTTCATTTTAAACCTTTCTTAAGTGACAATTTCTATTTTCAATTTAAAATTAAGTACATTTTGATATTATAATCATTATTGAATATTAAATCAATAGCTTATTAATTTTTATTTGTTAATCTTTGTAAGTTTATTTAAAATAAATGAAGTATTGGAAAATAAATATATATAATACCACTGATTCCCTAAAATATTATAAAATAAATAAAACTATTGAATTTTAATATGTATATTCTAAGATTTGTTAAAAATAAATTTGCTTAAACATATGGAATTCAAAATCGAAATTGGCATTTAAGGAATTTATGAATCCTAAAAAAATGATCTTGGGAAAAAATCATACAAATATATATATATATATATATATATATTGAATGGGTATAGTATTATTTTTTTTTTAGAACTATATAAAAATAGTTACTAAAATTTGTCAAACAAATGAATGAAGGTGTCTTATGGAATATTCCATTTATTTTTATTAATTATATATAGCATATATATTTATATATGTTATAATGTATTGTATATTATATACAAATAAATTATTTTAGTTAAATTGTAGTTGAAGCGAAAAACACAACTGCCAATCCATGTCGCCGCTCGTATACACTTTAGTAAATTTTTTCTTTTTAAGTTTAGTATAATTATTTAGATAAAGATTTCTTTCTTTTGTTATATTGTTTTTTTTTTATTTTTATTAAATGCAACTTTTGGAAGAAAATAAAAATAAGAATGCGTTTTTATTATTTGCACAAGTCGATAAAAACACAAATACTCTAAAACCGTGGTTACATTGCCATAGGTTTTTCAAATATCGTGCGAAAATCATACTTAAATTATTTCCCAAGAGGCAATGTGGCTCATGGATGGCGCATTTGTGTTTTTGTTGCTCTTTCCTATGAATTCTTTCTCCTATAGTAATGATTTATCATTACATCATAATTATATAACTTATACACATCTTAAAATATTTGAATTGGATTATAATAATTTAATAGAAAAATGATGCATAATACAATATTGATAATCAATGAAATGAGAATGGTTCTATGAATTATCTATAGTTAAAGAGTTCCATACTTCAGTTATATGTTTTTCTAGGATGATAGCTCAGATGAAAAAAAATTGAGTATCAATGATGAAGATGATGGAGATAGCTATTCAATGTACAGTTGTCCTGAATCACCTCTTGTATTTGATGATCCAAAGGCAAGTTTTAAATTTGCCTAAGTTTGCTATGTACCATTTGTACTATTAAAAAATAATTATACATTAATTTCATTCAAAATATATGAAAATAAAATCTGAATCAAATCTCACAGACTTGTTATTATAAACAGAAAGCTGACGAGACTTTTAATGAAATAAGTTCAACGACCGAGACAGATAATAACGTAATAGATGTACAAGAGATTAAACTCACCAAAGGCTCATTACCTTTGGGCCTATGTCTGCGTAGATGTTCACTTAGTGATAATATGGGTATGGAAATTGACAATTTGTATGGTGCTGCTGAACAAGATCACAGACTTAAAATTGGCGATGTAATAGTTTCTGTTAATAATGAATCATTGAAGTATGTGTCACCTGCCCAAGTGAAGTCAATTTTATCTAGAGCTAATCTACTAACAGGCCATATACCGTAAGTGAAGCCATATTATTAAAAAACAATAGTTTATAATCTGGTTAATGGTTTAATAAGATTATATTCTAATGAAAATCAATATACCCCCTTTTTTTTATTGTTCCTTATACCATTTCAGTATACGTTATGTACGTGCTGAAGCAGTTCAGAATACCTGTATAATCCGAAGTAAAACTGTACCTAATGTAACTTTGCGTACTCCAAGGTAAGTTTTTACTTTTTACACACTTGTAATATAATGTACTATATATATGTTGGGTAAATTACAATACATTTTATTGTTTGTGGATATTGATTCTATAAATTATTGACTGCATTTAATTATAATGAGTACATAGTTAGAAAGTTATTTTCATTGAACACATTTTAAAATCAAAAAATACTAAATTGTTTAAATACATATTGATTGTCAAATATATCAATACTAGCTGATCCAGCTTTTACCTGTACATAGTATTGAATAAAAAAAAACATATACAAAATAATTAAAACTGTATTCCCTTGACTTCTTAATAATAATCGTTAACAATAAATAATTGTAATCATCATAGTCATTCATTATACGTGAGATGGTTTATTTTTATTTGAAATATCTAGAGTATGTAGATTACTTATTAGATAACCCCCTGATTACCCAATATAAACATTGGGGCAAAAGAAAAAGCTTCATTTTCAATTACTTCAAATGCTCATATCACCTCACCACCTAAATTTACCCTAAACAAACATGGATTTTTTCAATGGAAGATGTTATGTTACACACACACCACCATTAGTGAATTACAGTCAGTGCTTGTGGAAAAAATTAACAGTATACATATACACAAGGTATATTTTTATTAATACATATATTGATAGATGATTCCTAATAAAGGCGATTTTTACTAACTTAGTATTTTTAAGGAAAATTATATAATATTGTAAAGTAGTGAAATACTATACAAGTATATATTATCTACTGAGTTTAATCATTGAATATGTCCTTGGTGTATAATTAGGGTTTCCTGCATATAAATTCAACTTGAGTTTCAAAATTCAAATTTAAATCACTACCCTCTAGGGGATTTTAGTTTTAAAAAAAAAAAAAAATGGTAACTACCTATATGGCTTCCTATAGATATTATACAATACTATATTATTCTTTAAGCATTCTATGAACCCTGTTACAAAAAATAAGGTTAACTTTAGCACATTTGTGTATAGTGTATACCTTAATGTATTTTGATTTTTTGTTAAAACCAAAACAATATCAAATTCTTTTAATTTTAAATAATACTTATATTATTCAATTTAGATTGTAGGTACCAATAAGTATACTAATTTTAATTTATAAATATTAATAAATGTTTTTAGTAAGGTAGCGTTTTAAAATGGTTTCCCTAACAATTAATTAGGTTTATACAAGAATATATTTTACTGTGCAATGAATGATTATTACAAAAAGAAATAATTTGCTTTGTGTAACATTTGAAACCTATTATTTATAACAACTAAAATATTTACGAATATACAATGTCTTCCTCATTTTCTATTATGTTCTTTCAATTACCTTGTACTTCAATAATTATTTTAGTTTTAAATGAAATTGGCTGATTTGTATTCGTGCTTAGTTTATACATAATTTTTATTTTTGATCAATGCTTATTGACTTTTTTATTATTATTACTTTTTTTTTTTTCATTTAATAAAGGATATTGCCTGTCTATTACAAGTGAGAATGACCTATATTGGGAACTTATAAATTATATTGGTTTTATTTCACATTTTGTAGATAGTAATATATTTATTTAGATATTTAATACTAATATTAACACTACTATTATTGACCTTAATATTATTTTTATTCTTATACCTACTATCTGGATGTAAAAGTAAAGATCAATTTAAATTGTTAAATTTGATTGATTTTCTTTTATCTGATAATGATATTTCTTAAATACTTATATGGTCCTAAAAAGATTTTATTTTTAAAACTTTTAGATATTAATAAAATAGATAAAATAATAAAATATTAAACCTTTATTTAGTGTCTTCTCCATTAGTATTAGTATTAAAATTTCATATTTGATGAAAACAGTATTTTTCTCAGTTTTTCAGTTTATGGTCTTGTGTTCCATGTCAAATTGCATGTGTTCAGATTTTTACTATTTTGGTTTAAAATATTCAATAGGTATCTATTTTGTTAAGTCATTCTTAGTATATCTACTTGTAGTTTATACTAAAGTAGATAACTATGTACTTTCTATGTTAATATCTTAATAATTTGGATCTTCTATTTCACTACATACATAATTTTTTTCAAAATAAACAAACACCTTTTTCTAATTTAACTTTAATTTATTATAGCTTATAATTTAAAATATTACAGAAGAACAGTTAGAGAGAATATTAGGTAGAGTATAAAATAGTGTTTAAGGAAACTTAGAGGGTTTGTGATTATAGTAAAATTAAGAGATGATGAGATATGATGAGATATGATGTATGGTGTATGGTTGTATGAGAAATTAAGAACTAAGAAAGGTGAAAAAAAATTTATTGATTGGCTATGGTTAGAGAAAAAGTCTGGGGATTAAGAGTATTAATGAATGATAAAGATATAAAAAAAACGTCCTAGAATAATGGGGACGGGTGCAGCCACTATTATAGATTATTTAATATATACCTTTAAGTAACAATAAACTATTGCTTACGAAAAAATGATTCTGAGCGAAGTTCAGTTGATAGTGATGCTTTGTTAACAATATGTATGTAATTTTACAATAAAATAATTAAATAGACTTTATATATTTTTTTTAATAATAATTGCTTAATTTTTTCTCAATTTTCTACATTTTTTTCCCTTTTTCCCATGTTTTATCCCGGTTTTTCAAATTTGATGAGAAAATTCATGAGAAAACCGAAAATTTACCTGTTTTAAGTACCTCCTTAGTGAAATTTCCATTTAGAAACATTGCTATCATCAAAAATTGGAGCAAAATTGTTGGTAGAAAAGTTGTGCACAGAAAAAAAAAATAGTAATATTTTAGTAATATATTACATACATTTTCCCATTTATTTTTGGTTTTTAAAATTTTATGAGAAAAATCTTGAGAAAATGGGTGGCTTTTATAGATTTACAGATTCATATGACAGAGTACCGAGAGAGGTTCTAATGTGTGGGTGTTAATGACAAAAAGAGATCCCAATTTGTGTATTAGTTTAATAGAGGATATGTATGAAGGTTCAAATAAGAGTGTCAAAAGTTTATATGGAATAACAGAAGATTATGGGATTGGAGTGTGCATCAGAATTCGGATTTAAGCCCTTATTTATTATTTGTTATCATTTATGAAGTTTCAAATTAAATTCAACGCAATGTTTGCAAGGGATATTAGTTTTGATAGGAGAAAATTTGGAAGAAGTCATCAATAACATTGATAAATGGAGAGTATTACTTGAAAGAAAGGCATTAAGAATGAGTACAAGTTAAACAACGTGCAACTTACATAGAGTATGAGTTTGAAGAAATAGGATAAGAGATTCACTGAAAAAAGATGAGTAATAACAATAAGCAGAGAAGTAATAGGCAAGATTGAGAGTTTTGAGTATCTAGGTTCTTTTGTATAAAAGAATAATGACTTTGATGAGGATGTGATACATAGGATTGATTGTGGTTAGATGAAGTGGAGAGAAGAGTAGAGTGTTTTATTTGGCTAGAAAATTCCAATGAAACTTTAAGGTAAGTTATACTAGAGTGGTGAGATTAACTAAATTTTATGGTTTGGTGAGTTGGACTTTAGAAGAAAAATAGAACAAAGAAAGAGTGTAGTAAATGAGAGTACCTAGGAGGATGAGCTGAGTGACAAGAAAATATAGGTCAAAGAATAAGTTCTATGTATGTAAAAAGTAGCATAGACGTAGCTTTGATAGTTGATAAAATGAGAAAAAACAGACTTAGTTGGTTTGGGTATGTCATTAAAAAGGAGAAATTATAAGCAGTAAGAATGACAATGAAAATAAATGTAGGACGAAATAAGGGAAGAGGAAGACCAAAAAAAGAGATGATTGGGACGATCAGAAATGGTAAGAGGACAAAACAGTGTATAAAATAATGGTGTGGCAGATCAGGTTAAGAGGAAGTTTAGAATGAAGATAGTTAATCCTAAATAGTTCAAATAAAGAAGAAGAAAAATAAGAGAAGAATATAGCTAATAATAAATAAAATATATCAATAGGTTTAGGATAACATTTTTTCTAGAAATAAAAATTGTGTATATTTTATGTGACACTGTTAAAAACAAAATATTTTTATTTTTATTTTTTTATTGTTTTATTAATTGTTTTAACATATTTATGTTTTTACTATGGTAATTATAGTCATTAATAAAAAAAAAAAAAAAATATTTTTAGGTCTGTGTTATAAATTTACAATATTGTTGATACCCTGGTTATAGTGATCTTTTTTTAAGAATTAAGCACCCTCACATTTAAAATTAGCAGCTTTAATAATTATTTTTATTTTTATCCAAAGTTGTATTAATTATTAAAATAAACATGTGTAATTAAATGTAATGAGATTATTAAATAATTAAATATTCTTAATTTTGGATTGCATTATTTTAGATAAAAACAAATTTTAATTTTAATTATTACCTTTTTGATTTTTTTTTTTTATTAAATATTTTTAATTATGATTAATATATATATATATATAACTTAGTAAACTTAGGAAGGTATTAACTTTTTCCAGAATTTATTTTCTAGAATATTTAAGAAATAATTTAATATTTATGTTATTTTTTGTCATTCTTATTTTTAGAGGGAAAACCTCTACCTACTTTTGATTTTCAAATGGAAAAAAATATATTTCATAAACAGATGGAGTATTATTTAAAATAAATTTTTGATTTTCGTCAATCCATTGAAGAGATATTTCATTTTTAAGTTTAGGTTGGGGGAGAGCGTTGGTGAATGATTAACACACCGCACGCCATACCGCCACACAAATGATACTCCACTACATTCCTCCAACCAAAACTTAAAAGTGGAATAGCTCACCAATGTATTAGTAGAAATCAAAAATGTCAACATTAAAATTTATTTTAACTAATACTTCATCTATTTATGGAATTTTCAATATAGGTTGCCATTTGAAAATCAAAAGTAGGTTGTGGTTTTAATCCCAAAAATAAGGGTGACAAAAAATAACATAAAAATGAAATTATTTTAGAAAACAAATTCCTGAAAAAGTTAATACTTTCCTAGACAACGAGTGTCTAACGATAGATTGATCACCTTGTACATAGAATATAATTAATTTTATCATATGATTTATTTACTTTAGTTAATAAATATTTAATTATTTTTTAATATGTAATGTATATAAATATCACATATTAATTATAGTAGTATTATACATTTAAACGTGTTGATCTTAAATTCAAATATTTACAATTTTAAACGATATTTACCTATATAATATTTTATTAATAGGTCGCCATATAGTGGACTACAAGATACTGAAGATCGACTGATCCGTAAGGGATCTCACACAAAAGTTTCTAGATCCAAGTTTAATAATCAACCTTCACAGTTGCCAATATCAACTAAATCTAAATCTGAATGTATTCTGTGTACAAAATGTGATTCAGTTCAGCGAACTAAAAGTTGGAATGCTACTGTCGATACTGAACCAATAAATGATGTGAGTTTTGAAAATGTTATAAATTATTACAAAGTATTCAAAACCAGCGACAAATATGTACGTTCAAAGTTTACCAGTGATCAATTCATTAAAAAATTAGACGAGAAATTACGAGAAGAAACTGATAAATTTTCAAAATTTTCTCAAAGTTTATCCATACCATCAAATTTAAACGAAGAAGAAATTGACAATCAATTAAAAGCTAAAACTGAAGAACTTGAAAAACTCACCAAAGAAGATATTTCTTATTCTTCTTTAGATAAAAATGTGTTACGTTTGGGAAGTGCTGAATTTGAATCTTTTAATGGTCCACCAACTCGTATTTATCGTTTTCCAAGTACAGGCATTGGATTAGACAGAAGTGAAAGAAGTGCAATAACCATGACTGTATCTGGACAACAATCAGCTTCCTCGCTGTTGGCCAAACATTGGGGTCCTCAACGAGAAGTAACTGTACAGCGAGATTCAAACAATAGCTTAGGAATTAGTATTGTTGGAGGAAAAGTTAGATAAATAATTATTTTAAATTTTAAATCTGTTATGTAATATAATATTTGTATTTTAGGTAGATTTCTATAACAGTATCAATACAAATAATAATGTGATGGGGATATCAGGTATATTCATAAAAAATGTCCTTCCTCAAAGTCCTGCCGCTCAAGACAATCAATTAAAAGTAAATATTTTGTCTTAAAAATATTCTTATGAAATAAAAATAAAATGTATTTATTTACTATTTTGTAACACTAATAGACTGGCGATAGGATATTAGAAGTAAATGGAATTGATTTTCGACATACTAATCATGAGCAAGCTGTTGCAGTTATTCGTTCTGCTGGTAACCCAGTCATTTTTCTTGTACAATCTCTTATATACTGGGTAAGTTTTCAACATTTATTTTTAAAATACATTTTAATTATGAGTATATTTTGTTTAGTCTGAGGATCAATATGAAAAATCAAAATCGCCTGCTGTCATTGAAGATTCATTAATGAAATCACATGAACCTATTAAACCTATTAAACCTGTCAATAGTGTGAAGAATGTAAATAAAAAACTTACTCTATTATGAACAGTGCAATTTAAAATGTTTTTTATGTTTTAGAGAATTTCACAATGGACACAGAATAGTGAAGATAATGTTGTTGATGACAGTTTAAAGTGTCGTAAAAATTCTTTAGCCAGTATTAAAGTTCTTACTTCATTTAATCGTCAAAAGTCTGTCAAATCTAATAAGAGTGAAGATAGTGAAGATGATGATGATAATAGAGATAACGAAGGACGTATTAGAATTCATACAGGACAAGAAGTAAGACAATTATATTAATAAGTTAGTGAGTATACAGATCTTGAAAATTGTTGATTTAGTTATCAAATTTATACTTCTACCTTGCTATTATTTTATTAAAATAAATCTGACAAGACAATTAATTAATTAAATTATGATGCATATACAAGGTGATAAGTATCATAAACTTGCCATTTTCTCAGTCAGTCTTCATAATTTTGCATTATTTTTTAAACCATATTTTAATTATTTGTATAAAATAATTTTATTTTTATTTTCTTCACCTGTATTGTTTTTTTAGTTTAACATTTTTTTTTTAAATTTTATTTTCGATATAAAAACAAATATTTAAGTTATTGATGTGGATAAATAAAATATGATGATTCTAATATAAGTTTTATCTATGTTTAGATTATGATTATGCGATCTAGTGCTGGTAATGTTAAAAGATCAAAAGCAGAAATAGATGCTGATCCAGAACAAGAAGATGATTTTGGTTATACAACAAGTGAGTATAGTTTTATGAATTTATTTTTTTTTTAGGAATTGTTTATCTTTAAATCCTTACTATAATATATGCAAGTATTATTTATTTACTATTTGAAAAATGTCCAAAATTAATTTGGGAGTTTATTATTAAACTTCATAAGAAAAAGAGGAAGAACAAATAATGTAAACAGAATTAAATATGTTAAGTCAATGACATGATATTTTATACTTATATTGTTATATTGTGAAATATGACAATAAATTACGCTTTTAAATATTTAAAATAAACATAAGATTATAATAGTTTACTAATAGAAAATATTCAACACATTTATTGAGTTATATATTAACCTAAGAATTATACTAGTACAAATTCCAAAACAATATTTTTATATTGCCTTATAGGTAATATATTATATTTTTATTATTTTCTGACTCACTGTAATAGAATTTAAAGGTATCAGGTTAGTCTATTGTTAGTATACAAAAAAATATTTTTATGATTAAATCTAAATTTGAATGCTAAGAAAGATTAGCTAGGTATTTAAATATTATAATAAAAATAATATATTTTAGAAACGCTCAGTAATTCTAAGTAATACAATTATAAAAACATTAATCACCTAAGAGAGGATTTCAAAAAGAAAGAATATTTTCTTAGAGATAGTAATGGGTCCTTAGGTATTGCAGATAAAGATATAGCCAAATAATGGGAAAGATACTTTGATGAACTACTGAACTGTGAAGAACCAGAAGAACTGTTCACTTTTGACCTAGAGAATGTAAATGTTCAAATATACTCAGAGTCAACTATGAAGAAAATAATAGTAAACGTAAAGAATCTAAAAAACAATAAGTCTTTAAGCGAAGACAGTTTCCAATCTAGCTGCTTAAAAAGGGGAATAAGTGACAACATGATAGATCTAGCAAGTGATTAAAAATTATAGATAATAAAATTTCTGGAAGATTGGAAAACTGCTCTAGTCTGTCTAATACATTAAAAAAATGTGATAAACGAGACCTAAACAACTGCCGGGGGTTAACCCTACTGATTGTGGTGTACAAAGTATTCTTTATGTTGTAACTAGAATAAAGGAAAAGTTGAGCAAACATTTTGGGAGCATTGAGGTGATTTTAGGTCGAGAAGATCAATGATGAACCAAATTTTTATTATTAGATAGCTATATCAGAAGACATGGGAATTTGATAAGAAGATACATATGTTATTTGTTGACTTCAAAAAACCGTGTGACAGTATTCACAGGGAGAGTCTCATAAATATCTTGAAAGAGTTCAAATTTCCACAGAAATTGATCAATAAAGTCTCATTCAACATCATTGAAACTGTGACTAAAATCAAAGTCTGAAACATGAAGTCAAATTCATTTACAGTAGTGTCTGGCTTAAGACAAGATGATTCATGTCGCCCATCCTGTTCAACCTGTTTTTGGAAATAGTAATAAGAGAGATGAGAATTGAACCTCACGAAGAAATACTAATCCGAGACTTAGCTGTTAACTAGTTGGTATATGCAGATGATATAGTGCTGATGGAAGAATCACAAGCCTGGTACTATGGCTTTTCAAAAGACTCAATGGCGCTGCACAGAAGTTAGGAGTACACATCAATAAATAGAAAATAAAACTGAATATAGGATTGTTGGAAGACAAGATTGGACAGATTATGAATCATGGAAAAGAACCAATTTGAATTTATGAAGGTAGATCACTTTGAATATCTTGGCACAGTTGTAAGTGAAAAAAATGATACCACAAAAGGAGTAGCCGTGAGAATTCAAGCAGACAATAAGGCCTACTATGGACTGGTGTTGCTATTAAATACAATATTGTTACAAAAAGAGATAAAAAAACAACTATTTCCACCCTGATACAACCTGTAATATTGTTGGAAACGAGATTTTTGGGAAAATAAGAAGCTACAAAAAATGTATAACGAAAATAACGTAGTAGAGACTATTAAGAAAAGAATACTGCGCTGGACAGGAAATGCAGTGAGAAGTACAAAATTCTCAATTATAAGTGGTGTTGGAACAGAACTGGTAGGGAAAAGACCCTCAAAGAGACCAAGGTTATAGTGGGAAGATTCAGTTAGGAAGCACATAGAGCCGTTAAAAGCTAATAAAATTGGAAAGCTCTGGTAATGAATAGAGATGGTTGAAGAATTGGTTGTGAGATGGTCCTAGTAGCCAGATAACCCCTCCTCCCTATAGGGAGGCCCCCCAAAAAAATACACATACATAACTTCAATTAATGCCTATAGACTATAGAATATTTGTAATTAAAATATAATTAGTTGGTTTTTAAATATCAGTTTTTTTAAACATTAAAATACTAAAAGAAAATACATATTTATTAATATTATGTAAAAATAAGAACTTGAAAGTCTTTTAAAAAACATTATTTTTATTGTAATTACATTAATGTTTTTGGCAAATCAGTGAATACATAAATTACTCTTGAGAGTGTAAACAAGACTATATTATATTGAGATATTTTTAAATAAAATAAATCTTGTAAGGTGTTAAAAATTTGACAATTATATATTCTTGTTAGAAAGTATTTTCATAATTCTTATACATATTAATATATTAATTATACTATCTAATACAAATAAATTAAAATCCATACTGGCCATAGTTTATGTGCTATTGAATGTATACATTTAAGAAATAATGAGTTAATTACTCATTATATATTTTTGAAATTTAATGTATATTACATAATTTAATTATTATACTGGTATAAAAATATATTATTTAGTTGCATGAGAAATAAAAAAAACTAAAGAACTAAAACACTTTTTCAATAATCGGGAAAAAAAACTTATGAAAAACTAGAAAATGTATGAAAAGAATGCTTTTATTATTTTTAATTTTGTTTTTTTGTTGTAATTTAGTTAAAAATGAAACTTGACATTGTGAGAGAAATTTTGTATTTACCTTTTCTAGACGCTGTAATGTTCTCAAAACATTTGAGCAATTTTTAGGTTATTTATAATCATTTTAATTTTACAAGTTTTTTACATAATTTTTATTTGATAGGTACTCTGTAGATAAAATTGTTAGACCAAACAGAATTGCTTAAAAATTTAACAGGTACATGATATGTCGTACTTGGTAGTTACAAAAAAAAAAAACTAGATAAATGTATTTTTTTTTTTTAATAGAATTTTAATTTCAAATTTTGACGAAAGTTGTAAATATTATGTGGCCTTTCAAAACACATATAACCAAACTTCTTTCTCCGAATCGTTTTTCGTTAGCAATGCTTTATTGTTGCGTTCAGATATAAATTAAATTCCCTTATATATCTTATTACCTTCCCAACTTCATACCTACAACAGTCAACAGACGTGCGAAGCATGTTCGTTTTTTTAAACTTCAAACTATCACCACCGTTTCTCTTGGTTATCACAGCGGTAGAATTAATTTTTTGTAAATTCGTTGATTTCATATTTTGATAAACTTAAATTAAAAATTGTATAAATTAGAACTACAAAATAAATTACTATTGTCTGTGTTTTTTCGTCTTAAATTGTTTATGAAGCTTAAAAAGTTTTATTTACATAAATTGGAAAATCATAAATATACGATTTTCATTAAAATTTGAACTTTTAACCCTCCGATAAAAATAAATAAAGCCACATAAAATAAACAAAATATCGCAAATTTCTAATAGCTATATATAAATAACACAATCAGATTATTTCTGACATAATTGACTTTAGTATTGTCACCACGTCATGGAAGTTCCACTCAGAATATTCAAATATTACGGACCATGGTTGTGTTATAATTTGATCACTGTTTTAATACATACTGTAAATAGGTTTTCCTCCGATAACCATTTACCTCATTGTTCCAAAACCTCTTTGCATTGAATAACGTTCGTGGAAAATTATCCGGCATCTTGTCTCTTCCAGTGTTCCACTCTTCTCAGTTTTCATCGGGGATCGCGTCGCGACTTGCGAGTGTTTGTGTGTGCGCGTAATTAAATTATTCAGCCGGTTTTTTTCCGTGTCAAAGTTTGTTATTATATTATTTTTTCTTACCGAGCTCGGTGTCAATTACACAAAATTGATCGAGGAATTAATTAAGTGTCATTACGATAATCGTTGATAATTGTCAAAACAAAAGCGGCCCGCAATGGTTGGCATCGTCGGTCGTCGGTGAGTACTTATTTTCTTTTACCGCGGTTTTTTGACATTTCACTTATGTGTTTAATTAATTACATACATAATGCTGCGGTAATTATTATTATAAGTATATTATTTTATTCGTTTGAATTTATTCTAAAGTCACGTTTTTTGCACGAAACAATATTGCGCGTTGTCCACAATATTGAGAACTTGATTTGTGAGTGTGTGGGGGGGGGGTGCTTCACTGAGTTTTTCGGGGCTAATTTCCCCCTATTCGCGTCGATTTGTACTGGTATGGAAAGAAATGTATGCACAGTTTTCAACGCTACGAAGTATACGGTATACATAATATATATCTCGTTCAATTGCCCACGTTTTTGCCCGGGTTTTCCCGACTTGCGGTAGTTGTTCGACGTGGGTACCTATAGGTAGCTATCATAGATATATAGTATATTATAGTAGGTATCAACGCTAGGAGTCTATTTTTTCTGAATAGTACCTTTACCGCGAATCGATTTTATAGTTTACTCAGTCACATAGGCACACAGTAGACGGCCGACAGTTTACGTCTAACTTACGTCCATCATCTTCCCATTTTCATGGAAAAAAAACCTTGATTTTTCACTTCGGTGACTCGCCCGGTTTTAGGTACCGTTTATTTTCGTGCGTTGTTTCGGTAACGGGCGAGTTCACCGTCCTAATTTAATGAATTATTACACGCCTGTATAACATCGGTTACCCAGCAAAATCTCGCAAGTCGATTTTATTACATTTATGGAAAAAACTATGGTCGACTTAAAAAGTTTACACAAAAAAAAGTTCAAAATGTCCAACTTACGAAGTTTTGCTGGCTAGCCGACGATAAGAGAAATATTGTAATTATTTAGACAACGCCATTTATAGTTCATTATTAAGTTATAAGTACATTAATAAGTTATCACCAATAACAGTAATAACCTAGGGACTACATAAATATTAAACATTTAAAAATACATTCAGCTATAAATATTTATACAAATTAATTATGACGAAAATGAGCTGGATGTCACATTGATGGGTAGGTAAATGTAGTGTTAGAGATTAGGTACTAGTTATTTCCGAGTGCATATATCGTAGGTATAGGTAGATAATAGGTAGTGTAAATTTTAAGCATGAATTCGATACAGAATTTGTGTATCCGTTTATTACATTCATCAATATTAATTTAACACGATATGTATTAATCACGTTTAGAAAATATTTAAAAATAATTAGCAAATGCATAATTTATGGAAATAATTATCGTTGACAGTGTATACCTGTCTAAAAAAAAAAAAAAACCTCAATTAAATCGTTTTAAAAGAGTATTTTTATTATTATTTTTTTTTTATATATAACCGCAAAATGCGTGATTAATTATTTTTTCGTTCAGATTACAAGCAGCTATACGATATCGTCGAAGAATTATAAATAGGTAGTTAATATTATTTGATCCGTCCAAAATGTTGTAGTGTCATCTCGAATACTCAAATTTTTAACGGTACTTGCCTGTAGATAATTACACCTTGACAGAAAGCAATTCATTAAATTTGTCCGTATAGTATATTTACAACACTTCTACACGGAAAGTATATTTTTCTTGTTCAGTAGTCATAGGCATGCATATCCCCTGGCTCCCTCAATAGACTATGATTAATTGTACATTTTACACGCTAATAGGTGCAGTTGAGTTCTTAGAAATGTATTCAAGGCGATTCAGTATGATTTGACAAGTGAGTTACAGAAACTCTTGTTCTATTTTGAAGTTCAATTTGTTCAAATGCGCTAGTACAATTAAAACATAATTATCTTTTTCTTTGAGGAGAGAAGAGGGAGCTCAAAATAATAATAAAAAAAAACATTTAATTTTACTAAAATATGCAAAATTGTTATTTCGTAAATTTGATTTTTTTAAAAAAAAGTAATTGGTGACCATAGTCATTAGTTTTACTAAGGTTTGTTTTTCGATTAGTAAAAATGCTCAGATTTGTTCATGCTGTATCATTGTAACTACAGTGGAACTTCGATAAGTTTTTTGGACTTATCAAGGTTTTTGACTTACTAAGGTTTTCGAGTTATCAAGGTTTTAAGGGAAAAGTTTGACTTAAAGAGTTTTTAAAATGTATGTACTTATTAGAATAATAGTTTCTAATTATTATATATTTTATATGTACAAATAATTACAGTGTGTATTACTACTATTATTATTATTGTATTAAAATTGTAGTTCTAAAAAATTATGATAAAAATGTTATTAAATAATTAATATAAATAAAACAATTATTAAAAAAAAAAATATAATAAAAAAATGTGTATAGTGTTGTAACTTTATAATCGTTAATTTGTTATCTTAGTTTGACTTATAGTTTGAGAGCACATGCTATTATCAATAGCATTTTCTACTACATTTCGAGTAGAGTACACTTTATCGTGTACATTATTGATAGTTGGTTTGATTATGCTGAATGTAGTGACAATAAACCGAACGAAAAATACGATAATAATCAAAATACTAAATACAATAAACGCGATTTGGTTAAATTGTGGGACTATATTATACATTAAAAAAGTAAAAAATAAATTAACATACTATTAAAAGTATCTATATACTACATAAAAGTTTTACCGAGAACTATCTAAAAATCAATTTTACACAATACCTAGATATGAATTATTATTATTATTATTTTTAAAACTAGAAGAATTAAAACAAAATATATTTTAACCACCCGCTCCATGCGTCCAAAAAACTATAGTAATTTAATCATAATAACTATTTAAAAATATAAAAAGGTGTTGTAATGAATCACTCTGTAGGTGTGTTTTAAGATAATATACATAAAATGGTTGGTGTTGCTAATGCAAAATTTGCTTCTGGATATACTTTCGTTCATTCTAGTTAGGATTTTTAGTATTTATAAAATTGATTCGGAAATTAAAAAAATCCTGTGTGTTATACATAATGTTCAAGATTTTAAGAGTTTTTATTCGTTTACACGATACATATTTGAATTATATTGGATGATCAACATAACGCAAGGCACTAATAGTCATTATTTTGAAAATTATTCATTATTTTCGGAATTTGATTTTAGACAATTTAAAAAGTAAACGGTTACACTATACCGTTATTTTTCGCTACCCTTATTATTGTTAATGAAACCTGTACTACCCAGGGGTGGAAAGGCCTATCGAGAAATCGGGATTTTCCCGGTGGGCCTTCTCCCTCATTGGTGAGCCCTTTAATGGGATCGTAGTAATGAAACTATTAAACTACTAGTTTAAATAACGGATCCAGGTATATGTATAGTTCGTGTAAAAGACAAAAAAAAAGTCAACAATATTTTTTTAAAGTATTTTATTTAAAGGCCCTTTTTTTAAATTTCCCGCTAGGTAAGAATTGCCCTATCCGCCACTGGTACTACCTATATTTGATATTTAAATTGTAACTTCTAAATTAAATGTCCCATAAATAAATGGCATTTTATTTTGGATACATTTTGGTATTGGAGTTTTTAATTTTTGGTATAATGAGTGTTTTTCGTATGTTTATGTTGATCACCCTGTATAGGTGCCCACGTAGTAATAACCTCTAACCATAAGTTCGATTATCGTATGGTAATAATCAGGGTTTTACTGTATAATACGGTATAATATAAAATATGTATTATACGTACATGTAAAACCCTTAATATAATAAATATTTTGTAGGTAGAACACTTATAAATACCGCATTAATTTCTACCAAATATACTTATAATACCTACATATTATATTTGAGCAAGTAATAGGTGGGAGGGGGGTGGTTCAAATATAAAATTAAACACCAATTTATTGAAGACTATCGATAATTTATCTGGAGGAAAAAAAAATTAAAACGCAATAGGTAGAAAATCAGAATACCATCCGATTTTTTGGTGAAAAGCTTAAGATCCATGGACCCCCTGTCTACATGCCTGTAGGATACACCTATATTATAGCACTTTAGCTGTATATCTTATAAATTAATCTATTTTAATATGTTTAATTTCGGGATAAAGTTTTATATGCATATGCAGCTTGAAATAAAAATATTGAATATCAAATCGTATTTCAATTAAATATTAAGCACAAAACAAATATGTACCTACGTTTTATACGAATATATTTTTATTTTTGATAATAATCAATAAGCTTGATTCAATATAGGTATATTGGACTTACGATAATTTGTTTGAATTGTTTGTTAATTTTCTTATTAATTTAAACCTTACATATACATAGTATAGTACATAATATTGTATAATTAAAGTAAATTCGTGCTCGTTGAAACGTTGCAAATTATTATTATCCGATGTTTGGAAACACTACTTTCACAGGACTTTGAAAATATTATATTTCGTTTTTTTATTTAACGATTATTATCATGACGATGACGTGCAGTATCTCTTTGAAACGACGATGTATAAATATTATGTTTAAAAATCTTATCAGCAGTCGCTCGTGTATTCGATATTGTTATTGTTCTGATTAATTATATTTTACAAATATTTTTTAATCAGAAACTGACATAAACATGATATACTCTTCGTTATATTGTACAACAATTAATTTTATTTAATACTAAGAGAGATGGTATTATTAAAATATTATATTGAACTGGTTTGACTTCTTATTATATAGGTAGGTACACGTTTCAACCGTGTTCTATTTTTTTTAATGATTTTGTATAGTATCACTCGAATAAATTATAATAATATATTGTGTTCGACCGTTTTAAATTATTGTTATGATGTGTACCGTAAATAATGTAATAGATTAGGTGTACCAAATAATTTGGAAACTCGTTAGATAATATAATTTTAATATAATATTATGTGAATTCTTGGTGGACATAAACCGTTTAAAATTTAAATAATCGAAAGAAAATAATTGTAGATACTATCGTGTGCAACTTTACGTGTTGTAACTTCATCAAAAATACCATATTTATTCATAACTTTTTTTGGAAATACTTCTATAAGGTACCACATCAATAATAGTAATAAATTAATTTTATGTATCTATACAGTGTTTTTTAAAATAAGAACTATAAAAACTGAGCAATTTTTAAAAAATATGTAAAATGTTTGAAATAAGGAGAGTGATTTAGTGATGACGATAAAAACTCTTGGAGAGTAATAGAGTCCGAAAAGAAGAGAGAGAGAGAGAGAGAGAGAGAGAGAGATAATAAGTGATAAAATTGTTTTGATTTGGCACGAAAGGGTTAACTTTAGGAAATAGTATAAAAATATAATTTATTTAGGAAATGATAAGTTCTTCGATAAAGTACCAATAACTACGAGTAAACGTTTCAATTTTTAAGTACATCGGCTTGTTTTTAAATTGTGAGTGCGTACCTTTTGTAGTTTCATTATAAGATATGTTCTTTATATCTTGTAAAACATTTTTTCGGTTAGTAAAATTAAATGGATTTTTTCATACCACACCTTCTAGCATAAGATGAAAACTTTTTGTCCCGTGATACTCTATTTAAATAAAATATCTAAATTCCTAACCATTTTTCTAGACAATTTAAAAATCTGCTAACAAATGTCGATTCGTTGATTATATTTTTAACGGTTGATCCAGTTGTATGCCGGTTAAAACCTTTATTAATACTACTCCTCTCAGAATCATTTTTTGTTTGCAATGTTCAGTGTAATATAATAGAAACTAAATTACTCTGTATTCTAAGTATTAATACATTCTAAAGTTCTTACTCATAACAGTCTAATATACAAATAATGATAATGTTGAAAAACGGAAAATCAAAGTAATTCTAAAAAATAATATGTCGATAGTAAATTATTTAATAGAGTTTTAGTTTTATGGTTTTTATTAATGCGTCTTTTAATACGCCATTCGTTGCGACATAGTTACCTATAAGACTAACGACGTGTTAACTTACGATATAATATGAGACTTGTCGTTCAAGATGATAAAATATTTTTTTTGAAATGTACAGTTTAATTTTACGTATTCTACGTAGGTATATATAAGTGTAAAATATATTATTATTTATCTAATTATAGATGGCGTTTAATAAAACAATAACTTTTATACTCTTGACATTTATATTGTATAATTTATTGAAATCAAGGTAGTTGGGAAGTCGGTATGCACTTTTGTATGAATGTAAAACCTCCCTAAAATATTATCTTTACTACGCCACTTGCGTTCGAAATTTGGATGTATGCGTAAACTATATTCGATTCAATTCGATTTGTTGGTTTATTTTTTTTCGGAATTACGAGCATATAACTCGTAATTTCGGTGTTTCACTTTATGATTGAAGATACCTATAAATAATTATGTTGGCGAGTTTTAAGAATTGTCTACTTGGCTAATATACGCAAATATTATATGTACATTTTACAGTGTATACACCCCAGATGTGAATTTGTTCAATTTGTGAAAAAAATAGCTAATGAATTGCCCATTTCACGAATTGAGCTAAATTGGTATACACAAATATTATCAAAGTGTATAATAGTTAATACGATATTTTTCATAAATAATGAATTATTACGCATTTGCTAATCTTATTATTGATTATTGATTAGTTTTTAAAGTGAATTGAGTACAAAAAACATATAATTAATCTATAACTTCATAGGGCTATACTTGAGGCTATACCTCGTACGTTGGATATTGTAAAATATGTATAAAAAAAACATATAGAATATAATGAGTAAGTCTCCCATAGCCGTAAAAACTTGATCGGAAAATGTAATATTAATAACATTTTTAATTAAGATGATAGCGCAAAAAGCGTCGTTATCTGAAAAATTAATGTGATGAGAAGTGAAGGAAATTCTTAAAATTATAACTATTAGAAATAAGAGCGAAACAAAACAAATTTCCAATTTTATTATAAATGTTCGGCCGGCGTGTTTAGTATTGAGTCATATTTTTAGAATACCAGTTGTCTTTAACCATTATATGAATTTGGCAACTCACTTGACCATTTCACGGAATGGACTACAAAATTATCCATTTCATAGATTGATCTTAATCGGACCTAATTGAAAGGGCGTGCTTTGAATTCTTAGTTTTATTAAGAAGTGAAAAATTTAGTTGTAGGCACTTTATCGTAGAGTTGTCTTCTTGTACTTTTTCTTAAAGTTTACATTTCCGTACCAAATCAAACAAATTATACCATTTATTATATCTTTCTCTCTCTCTCTCTTCCGGGCTCTATTACTCTTCAAGAATTTTTTCCGTCATCACTAAATCACTCTACTTTTCTTTGTTTTTCACTATATCCTTCCAGATGTTGTTCGACCTTTATATAGGTCTTTTAGATTTTTTTCAACAACTTCGATCCACTTTTTCCGAGGACAGTCCTGTATTATCATCGTCACTATATACACTTAGAATCTAAAAAGAAGCCGATATACTTAACGAACAAATTTTTTTAAAAAAATGTTAACGTAATTTCGAGTTTGTTATCCTCTTCAGCTGCGTCATTGAACGTTATCGCTATCTGCTATCAGTATTAATAAATTTATGACACTATACATTTATAGCAAATGTCTTTATTTTATAGTTTACTGGAAGACATACCTTTCTTAGTAAACAGTCATATAACAATGAACTCAGTTTTGGAACTTAAATTTAGTTCTTTTTTTCACTTTTGTTTTAAAGTAATTTGTTTCTCTTATACTTAATAGTATTTATTTAAAAAATATTATTTTTAAATCGGCTGTACGCACGTAAAATATAAAATGTCTCCTTTATTTTTAGTTGTCTATTATTATAATTATAATTTTTTATTTTTAATACCAACACGTGTCATTTGGAATTTTAAATATATTAGCGAATCAATTTACTAAGTATATGATATGTTTAAACAACTTAAACAACTTTTCTTCCAGAAATCACGCACCAATCAAAAACATTTATAGGAACTTTCGTGTAGAATTTTTTATCCATAGTTAATGTATCATTATACATTGAGCTTATTTTTTAATAAATTGAAAAATCTGGCAATTTTAGGTATAATTTTGAATGATTTCTAGGTTACCATAGAAACAAGGGGAAAAATACGAAAAATACGAAAAAAATACTCGGGTCAGAATCGTTTTTCGGTAGAAATCGTTTATCGTTGCGTACATATTATAAAAGTCAGCCCGAACAGTGGCAACCCATAAGTATAGTTTTATCCTTTCCAAAAGGATTTTTAGTGCTTAAAACATTTACTGTCCTAATAAAAACCTAGGGCGAAATAAACCATTTATTTCGCCGTAATGTAATAATAACGAACGGCGGCGAATAAATGGTAAACAAAATATGTGACGAGTTGAACGGGAAAAACGAAAAAAAAAAATAATAAAAAAAATAATAAAAAAAAAACCCTCAACTCTAAAGATGTATCCAATATCATTACCAATAAAATTGCCATTAGTTTACCCGATACCATTGAGGTTATTTTGTTTCGCTGTTGTTTGTCGTTGTTTCTTACTATTATTATTGTGTGTACTGTGTACGACGACGACGACGACGACGCGTACGTTTTGTTCGTGCTGAATGGAATGAAGCAAAGCGGGTTTTTGGTCGGTTTTTTTTAATGAACAGTCAAAAAGGTCCGTCGCGGGTTGGGGCGGCAGGAATTTATAGTAGGGCTGCCGGCTCGGACGCCGCCGCCGCCGCCGCCGACACCGCCGACTTCAATAAAACTGGGTGACCGCACGACGGCCAGATCTTTTCTCCGATCAGTGAATGGGCTGCGCTCGGGTTGTCCGCATCGTCGCTGTCTCGCGTCCGTCGCCGCTTCGACGATTTTTCCGTTCTCCCGGCGTGTGTATTAGGGTCGCGTAATACGCTCACGTTTGTCGTTACGGGCGGGGAAAGCCCGAAAAAAAAAGACTAGCGTTCACCCCCTAATTCTCTTCTTCCTTCCCCCCCTCTCCGTAGATATCGTCGGGGTACGCACGCGTACGTGTAACACCCATCGTTTTTCGGAACGTTAAACACGTTAAACACCGTCGCGGTCACCCGGTCACACGGAGAACACCCTCGACTGCGCTCCAGCATGGCGCGATTACTACGACAACATCATAATGGTAATAGCCCACTGCCATCGCCGTCGTCGTCATTACGCCGTCACTAACGCCATCGTCGTCAAACTGCCGCCGCCGACGCAGTCGCCTGACGCGTCGCGCACAGCCGTATCGTCCGCAGTGACGCGCGAAAAGAATGCACCACCGTCGCCGCCGGCCGGTCGAAAACCGTCGGCAACCGCTGCAGCAGTACGCGTTCAGCGACCGCCGCCGTCGGCGCGATAATGTCAATGATCATTAGCGGCGGCGCCACGGATCACCACCGCGATCATCACCGCGATGTCAACCGTCCCCGCGGGGGTCCTGAACCGATACGACGACATTGTGATGATGCACGACGTGACCGCGGCGTACAAGAGCATTGACGGCGATTTCGAGCTCGGTAATAATACCATCACGTCACCTATACCCACGTACTTCCACGGTGTAGTTTCGAGCATTTTCATAATTTTTTTTTTCTTTTTATATATATATATATATTTATTACGTGTATAAAAAAAAAAAAAAAAAAAAAAAAAAAAAAACCGAGGTCTTTTCGCAGTTATTGTTAATTGATTATTGGTACCGGGTTAAAAAAAACCGCAAAGTTGGTCGTGGCGAAAGGTCGTCGGTTTTTAAAAATAAAAATCAATATATATGCTCCGGGTCGCGCGCGATGTGATTTTTGAATTAACATTTTCGTCTGTTTAAGTGTTGTTGTAATATCTAATAAGGTATACTCGATTATGTTGTACGCGAGTCCGAGGTGTAAGTCGCACGCACGCAACGTCGTGTACATGACGTTCAAGCTAATGAAATAAATTATTCCTACAATAGGTCAATATAAATTGGCCTGTGAAGAGAAACTCGTCCGGGCAATTTCAACGGTGCAATACGAATATTGTGTCTATAGAAGTTTTAGGGATCGTGTCATAATATTTAGTTCCTGTATAGTGTACGGTTCAATTGTTCCCACTACGGATCGAGTCATTTCCCCGTGTCGTATAACAGTGATAAAACAGTAATATCGTAGTTTTAATCTGCAGAAAGTCTACACGATCGTGTGGGCTCGAGCCAGTGCATGGTTTTTCTGGTGGTAAACCAATCGATTTTTCGCTGTGCTTATTCGTTGTTAATGTTTTTTTAGTGCTATTTAATCACGACGAAACGTCGGTTTACCGCGTATATATATATATACTTATGAATGATTTTCAAATTGAATTGTTAAGTTTTTAAATTAAAAATAATAAAATTAATATCCATTCAAATGTGCGTATGGTATTAAAATAAAATTCATGTTATTTTTTTCGAAAAAATGATCCGATACCTATACATATAAATATAATAATGCGTATATTTTTTGAGATCATTTCATTTTTACCATGGTCAATTATAGTGTTTTGGCTCTTCGATTTATATTAAAACCGATTTTTTTCTTTTTTTTATAACATAATTATGTTTAAAGTGTATAAAAAATAGAAAAAAATATCGATCCATTACCTTTTATATATATAAAAAAAGCGCCAACACCGCCATTGAAGTATAAAGTAATCGTTGCGGTAATCCCGCGAAAAACGTTAGAGACCAGCAGCAGCGCGATTAAAAACGTACTCGTAACGTCCAAAATGTTAAACACGTAGGCTATTACGTGTGAAATATTGCATTATAAATTAAAATATAGTGATAATATAAAATACAATTTGGTTTTTAATAAAAGTAAATAGACATAAGTACTTTGTCCCCAATAGTTCAAAATCCGACACTGCGCGTAGCACGTAGATAAATATAGGAGTATAAAATAATATAGGATTTTTGGAGTTCAGAGTATATACAATATATTCTTCTTGTTTTCAATCTTTCAATTGGTTAACTGCAACTCTCCATGTTTTTTTTTTTTTTTTTAAAAGCTCAGATATTTCAATTCTCTGCCACTTTTCATTTGCGCGTCTTTAAGCATTTTCGGTGTGTATTCTATACTTAAGGCCGTTATTACAATTTAATCTCCCTCGTTCAATTTCAAATTCTAAGTAACATTCAGTAATCAACTTAAACAAATTACCCTACGCTAAAAGACAGTAAGTGATATTGTGATAGTTTTTGAGAAAAAAAATTCCGAATTTTCTTGTTTTTTTATTTATTATCAATATTAAACAAAAATACCGTATGTAACCCAGTACGAGAAGAATGATCGTACTTGAATCGTATTCTTATCACTGAAGTACCTAGATAGTTTTATATGATCATCAATTATTTATTATTTATACAGGGCGTTTTGTTTCTATGCCTATACAGTACGTGTTGAAAAATTTAAATATGTAAAATTATATATTCCATTTTAGATATACCTACGAGTATTATAATATTGATTTCGTCAACTATAGGTCGTGTAAATTATTAAGTATTCAAAATATGACATCGAAAAAAAAATATATATATTGTTATTATTATTATTATAAACCACATATGAAATAAAATTTTAAAAAATAGCTTTATATGGAATTGTATTTGGAGGACGACTGGATATAATAATATTATATACCTATACTTATAAATATATTATGTATTTTTACTATCGTAATTTTCTGTTCGATTTTTGATGCTATATTTGAGTAGCGTGCATAAAACGTGAAAGTCATTCATAGTAAAACTATCGGGTTTTTTTCCATTTAGTTAGTACCTGCCTACATAATTAAATACATAATGTATAATAATGTTGGATAATATTTTAAAAATTAAAAAAAAGAAAAAAGGGCACTGCTATAGAGTTATTTTTTTCTTATTTTTTCACACTAATCAACCACGCGAAATATATCAACAATTTCATTTTGTTTTCCAATACATAATATGTACAGAGTAATATGATACCTTTTGACTAATGCATTAATAAATTATTTTATTCAATAATATTGTATGATACTGCGGTACATATAAGATATTATAAGTAAAAAACTTGGGCGGGGGCAGTTAAACGAATATATTCTGTATTCTATTCTTAAATTATTTTCGTAGTTAAATTTATATACTTTAAGCTCCCTTCGAAAAATAAAACTTTATAATATTTAAATTGAAACGCGGGATTATAATGATTAGTTTTAATAGTAAAAAAAAAAAAAAAACAATAATTATCGAATAAAATACAATTTTGGTGCCCACTTACTTATATGCATTTAACAAATCATAGGCATGATCATAATATACATATACCTATAATACATGTTCGAATCACCCCGTATAGGGTCATAATATTATGCAGTATTATGCACGTTATATTATTATCGATATAATGTTATGTTATCGTGATAAGAATTAAAGTTCAAATTCTTTTCCAATTAGTATTAAACCCTAGGTGCTACGGTGGACATTATCAGCTCTGTTAAAAGTGTAGTGTGTGTACAGTCTTTGCACGGACAACAATCAATCATAATATTTCGTTGTATAATCGCGCTGTTTACATTCCTACGATGTAGACCTTTATACCTGTGTAAAAACGTATAGACAACTTCGAAAAGGATGTTTAAAAAAAAAAATTCTTTTAACGGCTAGTATTGCGAATTTATAATTAAAATCTACGGTGTTGTATGCGTATTTCAGGGCTAACAGACCTGTATTATAAACATTTAAAATCAGTATAACGTAATACTCGTACATTTTGTTCGAGGGATGGCATATTTTATACATTATACGTATACGCGAACGCTAAATTTATGTACACCCGGGCGACCGTGCTAATTTTCAAACATATTTTTTAGACCTATACGCGTCGAAAAACACCACCACCGGACGAATATCATTTCAATTCCTCTCTTCAATACATATGTACATGTATTATTATAATATCATCCCGAATTCCCGACAGCTCGATTCGTATCCGTATGCCGATATTATTATTATAGTGTATTTGTACCGTATCGTAGACTGATTGTTGCAGATTGTTGTGCACTGATTGTTCCGTATTTTAATTTGGGACTGTGTGTATTATACGGTATTATTATTCGAAAAAAAAAGTCTGTCCGCTATTCCGCGTTTTCCGCGGTCTGATAAAAAGCTATTCTTTCGCTTTGCTCGTCTCGTGGCACGCAATTATCACTTATACGATCATAGCCGTCTAGCTACAGTATACCATTAGTTTTACTATAAATTGAACGCTACAACAAATAATAATAATTGAAACCAACTATAGGAACAAAAAAAAAAAAAAACGTTACTGAAAATTATAATTATAATTTGATTTCTTCAAACACCACAGTTTTAGATTCTGAACGAAACGAGGAATGTATATTATTTTAAGTTTTTACAATATATATTTTTTTTTTATCTGTAAAAAACATTTCTACAAGTAATTTTCCCCCGATTTACAATCGTCACATTTTTATTGAAATGACATTTTATATTATTTTAATAAATTCACGAAATGTATTATATTTAATTTTGATTTTTGTTGCAATTCAGTTAAAAATATTTTTAGGGACTTGAAATTTGAACTGAAAACTTAATATTTGCCTTTTCTCGATGTGGTAAAATTTTCAAAAAATTTGAGCCATTTTTGAGCAGTTTATAGATATTAATTTTGTGAGTTTTTACGTAATTTTATTCGGTAGATGGATAAAATTGTTAGACGCAAACAAGAAAAATGTAATGTAGTTTTTTTTATAAGAATTTTAGTAGCAAATTTTGACAAAGATCGTAAATATTACGACCCTATCAAAATATGTATAATACCGAACACCTCTTAGAATCGTTAGTAATAATTAATCGTTGCGTATCCTGTAAAATACATTAAATTCCTCTTTATACCCTTCCTACTCAACTTCTCGCTCACAACAGTGGCCCACCCATCGTGCGAAGTATGTCCGTTTTTTCCTCCCTTTAAATTTTTTTTACGATTTTTAAAAAAAGACGCCAAACTGAGACATAATACAGATAAATTAAGTGTGACTTCTATGCTTCCATGTTGCTTAATACGTTTTACGTTATAATAATATCATTATTGTATCTACGTCATGTCTAATGTAAAACAACGTGTTTTACATATTATTTTCATAATCCGTTTTGCTAAAAATTAATCTTGTTATAACGCGTATTATTAATCGTGGCGTGTAAATTGATTTACTCGCAGACATAACGCAGATATTTATTTAACAGCGTTTTAAGAGTTTTATGTATAGGTATATAGACTCGGAGGATATCTGCCAAGTCTACTGTGAATATACAGTTTACTGTATTCTATCCATCGAACGTGACAAATGTAACAAATGATATAATACAATCTAAAATATAATACTAACCTTTTCTCGGGTAAAACATTTAATTTTTTTTTCAGTATCTTATTTTTACAATATATATATATATTATACCTTATTATAACATACGAAATCACATATTTCAGAGGCTAATTTGGCCGGTCTGAAAAAAGAAATTAGTCTTTCATTTAAACATTTATCTTTTCGATTATACATACAATATATTATACGAGTATGTTTCAGCATGCCCGAATTAGTTATTTCGAGTTAAAAAATTAAAATCGCTTATTATTATTCATTCAACCGACGGATTTTACGTTTCATATCCAAGTAAAAATATAAACTATACAGTGTATATACGTATAGATAAGATATGCATATAATAATTGAAATGTATAAAAAACGTTTGTACGATACATATCCTTGGCTTAAGTTAGGTAAAATAAAATTATTGATATATCCAGAAGTAAATCGTTGTTCGTACTGTTACAAACAAATCGATATAATCAATATCATTAAGAAACAAACAATGTATAGTATTGTGGAAAAATTGTACACGACGCGATTTTATATGTATTAATAACAAACCTACACTTATACAGTGTGTTTCACTAGAGTCTCATAATTTTATAAGAGAATTATTACGAGTTACGACTTATATTTAAATGGGAGGAGGATGATTTTTTTCTTTTTATTGGAACATCGGAGTACTGGAAATAGGTTTGAAATATACGATTTTTCTGAGTCTAAGTCCGGCTGATATTGCCCGTGTTGTGTGCAATAACACACTGTATATTATTTTCTAGCAACTGTACGCAACTGTTTGACTGCAACCGAGGCGGGTTTAATCGATCGAGTTTAATGATTATTAACTGCAACGCTCTTTATAGTTGTAAATTGTTTCCGTTTAACAATAATTATCCCGTAATAAAACTGTTTAATTTGTGATCTCAGAATTAAAAAAATTAGCGGTCGTATAGATATATGAAAAATATTTTACGGGGTGTTCAAGACCGGTCGGCGACGAGTCGTTATCGTTGACAGTGCATAATTTTCGCGTCTTCATTATCGTATAATTATTGCATGCGCGGAGAGACGTGTGTACGTTTGACAGTTCGTTTTGTTTAAAAATCAAAAAAATAAAATAACGCGAGTATTATAGTCTGTGAACGTATCATACTGACAGTCGATTCCACGTATCACATAGCATTGACGTATTTATTTGATGTTTAGTAAATGTTTTAAAAAAATCTAAATTTAACTTTCATTGACGATGTGTTTTTTCAATATTTAATTTTAACCGATTGACCGGGTTGGGTGTACCGTTTTGCATTTTCAAATAAATTTTGAAAACTAAACTATCATTTAATAAGTAATTAATACTAACGACGGTTATCACTTTTTTTGAAATGAAATCAGCGTGGGAAGAGGTAATTTTTCGATTTTCCTAAGAGTTTTCCAGGCAAATGTGATAAACCGGAATAAAACATGGGAAAACCGGGGAAAACGTAGGAAAACTGTGAAAATCGGTACAACATAAAACAAATATTATTAAAGAAAATATAGAAAGCCTATTTAATTATTTTACAATAATATGGCTTATATATTGTTGACAAAGCAACACTATCAACTAAACTCCGCTCAGAATCGTTTTTTTTTGTAAACAATGGTTTTACCCTCAAAAATAAGGGTGACAAGAAATAACATAAATATAAAATTGTAGAGCTGTTTATTTATTAAATGTTCTAGAAAACCAATTCCGAAAAATGTTAATACTTTCCGAGATAATGAGTGCACCAACTTAAATGGATTACCCGATGTATATAATATACAGAGTGATTCTTACATCACGAACTTCAGCTGAAAATCCGTAAACCTACTGCGAAGATTTCGAGTAAATTTTATTTTAGCTTTCACAGATATATTATATAGTAGAAAACAAGCTCCATCATCCATATATTGGAATTTCTACTCAACGATTGTTATATCGTAATCGCAACATTTTCATTTGTACACCCTCCCAAACCCTATAAAATTGATTTTCTAACAGCGGGTTTTGGCGTGATGTCACGCATTCGTGTAATGGACACAATTTTAACCATTTTGTAAAATGGAAACCGTAATTTTATACTTTATGTAATTTTTTTATTTTTTTAAATTACACTATTTTCCCAAGGTTTTTACATTTATTATGAAAACCCTTGGGAAAATCAAAAAATAAGCTCCCTTAAGTACCACCCTAACCCAATTTCCTTTCAGAAAGAGCTAGACTTGAAAATCTGAGCAAAATTTCTGTTAGAAAAGTTGTTTACAGATAAAAAAAAAAAAAATAAATAAATATTGTAAGACCAATACATTTCTCGCTTTGCTCAGAATCTGAAAATGATCAACATGTGTACAATAATATGCAAGCGTTTTTTTTTTTATTATATCAAAGAATGTACCCACCGATAAAATTATAACAACAAAAATTAGACTCGTCTACTGTTTAGTTTTATGTGCAAGTGTATGTTTTTTGATATTTAGTTTGTATACTGAAAACTATACTAAACATACTTAAGTTCTCTTCTTCTCTAGGACCAAAGATATATTTATATACCATTTTGTCGCATGGTGCTTACATATTGAATAAGGGAATACATTGAATGTAGGTAAAATTTTAAACATATCGCAAGTGTAAATGAAATTCGTATTTAACTATTCTACGTAAGAAATGGGAAAAAATCGAAATGTACACTTGACATTTTCGCTTCAGTTTATAGTAAAAAAGATCGCTCTGTACACGAAGAAAGACGCGAGAAATTCGGTCGGTGTGCTGATATACTAACACGGAAAAACAATAATATATACTATAATTATATACATATATTATATTACATATGATGTTTGTCTATGTGCACGTGTATACTTAGCTTAGTATGTACGTGTGTTTGTGTGACTCTCGCCGACTGAACCACGAAAGACGTGCGTGTGCGTCTGCCGCTCGCGTTTACCACTTTAATTAATGGCCACTTGACTACTATTTAATATTATTAATAATACAATCGAAAGCCGCTATAATGACCTAGCAGTCCGGGCGTGACGTCTAATGGTGGGATATATCATAGTTTTGGGTTGCCAATAGTAATCATAAAAAATAAATAAAGGGGGGGGGACAAAATGATTTATAATAAAATTAATATTGGTATATATGTTCGTCCGGAAGAAATGAAAATTGAATGAAAATTTTCTTCACCGAGGATCTGACTTGTAGAACATTTTGGATCTACTTATTAGTATTATTGTAAAGGGTTTTTTTTTTAGTTTTTTGTCGATAACATATTTTCGACCACGTATAAAATACCCAGAAAATTTGATATACATGTTGCAGATAAATACAAAAAGTTGAGTGAGATATTACAATTTTTTTTTTCTTATAAGCGTCTGATGAAAACTTGTTAAAAATATCATGAAAAGTTATACCATTTTGTAGTTTAAAATTATTATAAAATTTTAAATTTAAATGTATTTTATACCGTGGTTTACACCAAGGCGACAAAATTCATTCTGCAAACGACACAATGTTCGTGTTTTTAGAAACATTTTCATGTCCACTCAAAAGCAGAAAACATCAAAGGGTTTTTGTTTTGTTTTTATTTTCGGCAACATGAATCTTTTTAATGTAAACTAGTTTTTCAACAGCTGACAGATTGTATTTGTTTAAATTAATCAAATTAATTATACATTCATTATTGTTAAAATGATAAAATTATCATTATTAGTGAACAATCGGTTGTATTATCACACATAATTATTATAACTTATAACTAGGGCTAGAATTTATATGCAATAAAAAATGATGAAATATACTTTTGGTTTATTAAAAATATCTAATTAAAATATGCAAAAATATTATTAAATGATAAAAAAAAATGTTTACAAAATTCTAAAATCTAAAAAATATAGTTCTACATGAAACGATTACACGATGTTTAAAATTGTCAAAAATAAAATTCCATGACATGACTTAATTTTCGCTTATTTAAATTGTGTTATTTCTCCAGCTGTTAGATTTGGGAAACCTTTATCCGGATTATTTCTATTTAAAATATTGCGTAACACAAACACAGATTTTAGTCCTGAATTTTATTCTAACATATTTTTTTAATTTTTCGTTGGCCTTTTCAACAATTGTTCCTATTTGTTTTGGCAAAGTTTGAATTTGGTGTTTTCAATAATCTCTAAACTAATCAAGTGAGGTTTTTTCTAATTTTAAAATAGATCCACTAAACGCGTAAAAACTGTCAAACACATACTAAATTTTAGGCATATATTTTTCCAGTATACTTATTAATCGTACACTATAAAACCTTCGATAAGATAAAATAAATTAAATTGCATTTTGGATATTTTTGTCTAGCAATGAAGTGCAATATAAAATGATATACTGTAAAACATGAATTTTTGGCCTTTTTGTAATTGAAATATGCTATAATATGCAAAAAAAACACTACTATTTACCTCAACATGAGCTTATTCGTGAAAAAAAATGAAAAAAAAATTAACAGTCAAAAGTTTAAAAAAAAAATAAACCAGTGCATATAAATCCTAACCCTACTTATAACCTAATACGTAAGCATTTTAAGTTAAAATTGTGACGAAAGTCGTAAACATTACGGCATTTCAAAACTTGTACACCCGAACTTTGCTTAGCTTCGTATTTCGTTAGCAATGATATATCGTTGTGTACTGCAGATACAAATAAAGAACTATCTATCCAACCTCAACTTCCCACCTACAACATGGCACACCCATCAGCAGTTATAGCAGCTATTTTTTTTATATTTGGGATGGTTTATATCGATTAATTCAGTATACTATGAACTAAATTCACCCTGTAATTATCCTACCTTTTTATCTGCCCACCATTTTCATATTTTTATACCCTGCTAATATAAACGATTCTATTGTCTGTATAATAGTATTCTATTTATTTGCGCTATTATTTATTAGATATCTTGTTCTCATTCTCCTCCATTCCAACTATTTGAAGTCTTTATTATTATTTAATGTTATCAGAGTTTTATTTTATTTAATATTTTTTCGTCAAAAAATATTTCTTTGGATTTTATCCGTTGTTCTTTTTTACCTGGATTCTTTGTTATAATATATGTATAGGTTATATTGGCGTGTGTAGAAGGGAGAGGGGTTTGGGTCGAAGAAAAAGTTTTATGACTATCGGATCTCCGTATAAAATATTTTCGTTTTGGAGTTAGAACTTTTGCGACGAAAACATTTTATGTTTATTACTGAATATTTGCCAATTTATGGAAATTATAAAGCAGACGGTATACGAGTATACTAGTATAATTTATTCTTATGGCTTTAATGACAAATTAACATTTCAGTAAATCTAATTTATAAGTAATAATAATAGTGAAAATTTGAATACAATTACATAAGTAAATATAAAATATATAATAGAACAATATCACAATAATCGGTTATTGCACCATAGCTGCTTTGGTATAGTATAAAGTGATTGGTTCACAGATGCACGTTCAACTCCTTTATCCATTTTATTGACTCCGGTGTTATCGCGTGGATTCCTTCGATGCCCTGGTTGAATTTCCTCAGTTAGCATTCTGTTCTACGTTTTATTAGTATGATATATAGTCTCGTTATAGACGACAAATTGAAAACGCTTAATCGTAAATCCAGTACTAAAACAGTATTACGATTTACGAGTATATACAGCCGTGCTTATTTTGTTTTCGACGTTAAATAATATTGGTGATTTTTTTTTTTTTTGTTTTTTAATCGCACGTACTACAAACAAACGTACGTCCTACAATCGAAATACGTATATAATATTAGACAACGTCCTGCAAACACCTTTCGTCACTACGAATTATATTATGTCGTATCATTATATTATTATTGTGTTTATAGTATTTATACCGTTATTATATTATTATTATGCTTATTGTTGCTACAGCGTATGTACGAAGTACCGCCTGTGCCTTATTAAAATAGTAATAATATATACCTGTATATTTTGTGTATACTCGAAACAGTCGAAACGCACACGTGTGCGCGAATTAGCGGCGCGGTGTAATATATATATAATGACGGATTTCCTATGAAAAAAAAAAAATTCAAAAAATTATAAAAATTTAATATACGTTATGGCGGTGTGCGCAGTGTAGAAAAACTCTGTGCGGATAATCTTTTGATCGAAACCTCAGAAGGTTTTTTGAACAAGGTCACATAATATTATATATTTCATTTCGTCATAATATATCGTTCTTATTGTAATTTGCTCGGAGATATTTCCACCTCCCCCTCCCAAATTTTACTTTCCGGTTTTACTATCAAAAATTGTGGTTGCCCCTGCCTCGTATATTACGTTTGACTACGCCGCCACCATATCTATATCCTAAATATCTATCGTAATATAACATTACACTCGCGTACAAATCGCTCAAACCGTGTTCGCACGATGACTAAAATAAAAACGTGAAAAAAAAAAAATCCGTCGCGATTTCCATTAGTTCCATTATGTATTATAATGATTTCGTTGTACGTCTCCGGGTGTCAGCTACATACATATATTTTTTTTTCTAATAAACTGACAAAAATAATAATAATTATTATTAGCGATAACACGATATTTTCACTATCACTATTATACCATATTATTATCGTACCTACTCGCATATGCTCGTATGTTGTAATTTTCAAATAGGTAGTGTAAAAAATAACGACATGTAAGCTCGTATAAGTTTCGTTTTACGATGTAATATAGTACCTATGTATTATATTGTGAGTGAATAAATAATCAAAATAACAATACTATTATATATTGTCCTTCGTTGTGTAAAAAATATATTTGTACGAGAACGTACAAATGAGATAATTAGTGTGGATCGTGAGCATTACAAAATATTTTAATGTTGCAATTTTGAATTTGTGCTATCGTCATCATAGAATCATTAATAATATTATAATATTTTTGATGAGTTTCGATAAAATAAATGTAAGGAGTATACCAAATTACGCATTTTGAGCCGATTTTCAAAATGTTAATCCTTTTGGTGCGTGCATGCGCAATAAATCTTTTATTTTCTCAGACGAAAACACTCGAGTCACTTTATTTTGAGAACGGGAACATGTTCACTTTTTGACGAGATTTTACTTGATTTATATTTGTCTATCTTAAATACGTATTTTTTGTAAGACTAAAGCTAGTCTAGGAAATATTTATGGAAATATCAACCGCTAAAGTTTGTGTTAAGTGCAGAAATGGAATAAATCTATGGTTCAATACAAAAATACGTTTAAAGTTATTTCAAACTCCGTTAATATGTTTTTACTCGATATTATAATTATCTTCGCTTGAATCGGTGATTATAACAACTATACTTGTCCAGGACGTCTATAGTTTTTACAACAGTGGTGAATTTTAGACCTTATTTAAACACACAATGAAGAGTTGGACAAACGTGGTTTTTTCACACAATAACATGTGTCTATAATTACATAGTTGACTAAATAACAAACATAAAAAAAATTCGTCAAATTTGTAACAAGTGAGGTTTTTACAATTACTGATTCACTTATAATTCCCCTCCCCATAAAACTAGTCAAATTGCTTTAATTTTAAAATCATAAGTTTTAATTTTTTTTTTTTTTAAAACAAGAATATATTTCAGATGGTTGTATGTTTGGAAATGTTTGAGATAGAAAAAAAATCGTGTTTTAGCCAAGTCGTTCGTAAAGAATATTAATGCTATTTGAATCTGACGGTACAAATGTGTATTTATTGGTATACTTCAAAGAAAAAAAAAAAAAAAACTCTATTTCAGAGTTCATCCTGTAGCTGAAATATTTCGTGTTAGGTCGTTACCATTTGAGCAAACCCATCATTGATTATGTATTGCACATAAATAATAAATTCGATTAAATTAAATTAAAAAAAAAAAAAAAAAAATGTATAGGTACTAATCTATGTTATTTGGTTATTTTCGAGCGACCGACGTTTGGTTTTGTCGTTTGAATGGTTTATGGCTGTCATTGTTTGGGAAATATTTGGAATAATACCGGCAAAATGCCTTTGTGTGTGTGTCTATGGGTACTCTCTTACTTATTCGCTTAAAACTACAGCATCAACGGGCACATAATAATATGACTATTATATTATTCATATTATCGAGCAGCTTCTAATAATAATCCCGTTCATTTCTCCTTGTCGTTTTTTGTTCGTGTAGTACATATTATTATTGTATTATGTACCCTGTTATACAGTGTGTTCACGTTTTCAGATAACACCGCGGATACGTCGACCGGATGACCTCGGATTTAGATTACGTTTTCGGTATTTGATAAGGTATACTACAGAAATACAAACTGATAGGTTCCCAATTATTAACCCTTTCGAAGATGTCTGGTGTTAAAAATAGGTTTCGATATTAAAAAAAAAATTATATTGTACATCCATACACCGAAGGGCTTATAGAAACAAGAAAATTAACTTAAAATCTGTATTTCAGTACTTCTTATACTATTATCTCCCGAAATATTTAACTTTACTTAGAAACGTAAACATGTATAACGTGCACTGTAACAAATCTAGAAAATATTGGTTGATTCATGCATTCGTGATTTTTATGCCGACCAGCGATTATCTCCAAGTAGTATATAAGTACAAAGATTTCGAGGGAATCGTACAGATCACGAATGCTTTCAGTTATATATGTTATATTATAATATATACAAGTGCATATTAATATATGAGTATAGCGGCGAGAATATTTTTCATGGTAATAAATTTCATATATTATCCACGTTAAACTCCGTTATAACTCATGAACGGTATATAATATCAGATATTAAATTTATAATGTTATCAGAGTTTAAAATATATGGGTCACTATTTAAAAATCAATATCGTGGATGTATAATATATAGTAGTATATGTGAGTGTTTATATTATGGTACATAATATATTATATTTTACGGAATAACGGTAAACTCTATATATATTCGATAATGTTTGTAAAAATCAAAATCAAAATTTATTCAAAATCCGTAAATAATAATATTATAATCTCTAAGTCACGGTAAGTGAATCGCCCTGTATAATGCATATAATATACATTATATAATAATATGTAATATGACATTATGTCTGGTTATATTTCGCCGGTTATATTTTTTTACTCTTATTTTTATTCGCAGGCTGTCTACGCAGCAATAGACATCATAAGTAACCGCAACCCTTCCCTCCCCAGCTACTAACTACCTTCCGAAATGTTAACGATACGATATTATAATAGTTTTGAACAGTGGTTTTCAACTTTTTACGAATTTTCTGATCTCTTTTGGAGTTCGTATACATATTGGCGGGATTCCGTCATGTATGGTTCGGAACTTGTGAGATTTGCATATTGGGTTTTAACAGGCCGAGCTATAGAAATGGATTCTGTGCTCTATAAGGGTGAGTTAAAAAAAAAAAACGAAAATTCAATACGCGTATTTTAAAGTCATACATTTTTGTACTACAGTACTATATTGTATGCATATTCAGAACAATAGTTTATTTGTTTGCATTTAATTTAATTCGTTGGCGTATTTTAGTTTTGTTTTTATGGATATTTTGTTTATTTTATAACCGATGTAATTTCTGACTCCTAATCGCAACAGTTGTTACTATAAAGCGCGGAAGTTGCTATATTTTGCATTTTTTTTTCCGGATGATATTTCCTACCGGAAAATATGTTTCATTTGCACGAAACGTAACCAATTTTTATCTTGCATTTTTTTTTTTTTTTGCTTCCAATTCGTGTCATTTTTATTCGTACATTAATAATACGTATGTAAATACAGTACACGTATTTATGTATATTTTTGCATTTTACACATTCAAAGTGTATTATTCATTATTATTTAGTTATCAACACCTTATATACAATTCATTGAATAGATAGTCGAAAAATGTTTTTTTCTAAAAAAATCACCGTCGTCAATCGTGTCTGCAAAATAATATTATATACATTGTACATGGTGATGCAAGATAAATTCAGATTATCCGAAATATCTGGATTTCGGGTTCGAGATTCTAATTGTTTATTTTTTCTTGAAGATACCTACTTGTTTTTTCAATTTAGTTATTTATATTAAATAAGTTAATCGTTACGAATTGTATAATATTAAAAACGCCTAAATAAAGACGGACATACTTGGTACGTGAGTGGGCTACTGTTGTTGATGGGAAGTCGGGAAGGGAGACATAAAGGGGAATTTAATTTATATCTGTACGCTTAACCATTGCTAACGAAAAATCGATTCTGAGCGGAGTTCGTTTAATAATGTTGCTTTGTCAACAATATATATGTTATATTATGGTAAAATTACATATGCATTATATTGTATTTTCTTTGGTAATATTGTGCCTATTTTCCCGTTTTTCCTATTTATCGAGAAAACTCTCTGAAAATCAAAAAATTACCTCTTTAAAGTACCATCCCAGTCAGATTTCCTTTCAGAAAAAGCGCTATCATTGTAAATCGGAGCAAAATTGCCGGTAGAAAAGTTGTTCATATAAGAAAAAAAAGCAAATAAACATTATTGTAAAACCAATACATGCAGGGCTCCGCTCACAATCTAAAAAAAAAAAAAAAACATCCAAATTTCAAAATCCGGATTTAAAACGAATTCCGGATTCCGAAAATCCGGCTTACGGAACGTCGGCAAATCCGGATTCTTCTCACCGTCATAATAACGCATATACGGTGAACGCGGCGCGGCGCGGAGGCGGTGTTCTGCGATCGAAATGATATTATTACGTATAGTAGGTAGACCCACCTACCTATACTATACGTATACCTACTATACCGGGTGGGTATCGTACGCTCCTCGTTCGTTCAACGGATGATTGTATACGGTAGCCACAATACGCGATTAGGGATAGACCGCGGCGGTGGCGGCGGCGGCGACGGCGGCGACGGCGACGACGACGATCGCGTACAAGGCCGGCCCGCGGGAGTCCCGTTGATACTCAATGACACGGCCGGCGGCGTAAAGGGTCCGGCGGCGGCAGGGACCGGGTTGCCGTTTGACGGCGGTAAAAGAGTGTATGGGACCGAGATAGGCGGCCGCGGTATTATATGTACGCCGTGTACGCGCGCGTACGGTAGCGCGCGCGGTATTTTGTATAATCGATACGTTCGGGATGCGGGTCATTCATGCGTCGTCGCGTCTTCTGAACCGCCGCCGCCGCCACGCCATCCCGCCACGGCCGTCACGTACCTATATACGCGCGCGCGTGTACAATATTTATACACGTACCGATGAACCGGGAACCGTCGCCCGCGGTCGGAAGGGTGCGAGAATTTCACGTGTTTAAAAAAAAAAAAAACCCAATTTAACGGACGAATGCTTTTACAGGTACCTGCGATTTTTACGAAATCTACCCTTATATCCATTCAAAAGCGTATTAAAATAAAATCCGCGACTGACGGTGCAGTGGATTTTCGATTTATTCGTAATACTTGTATCGTAAGGACATTATTCATTACGATATGAACCTCGCATTCGAGTTTTCGAGCATCTTTGAAAACCCCAAAAAAATAATAAATAAATCTCGATAATTTGAGAACAAAAAAACCACCGTAAAAACGGTATAAATCATAAAAATTGTATCGCCTTTAGAAATGGCTAATATAAGTATATGGTAAAAGTTTTGGGTGATTTCGATTTTTTTTAACTTAATTATTACGATAAAAAAAAATATACATATACAAAAAAAAACAAAATCCAAAATCTAGAAACCGTTTTCAAAAATATAAAAATACGTTACCACGTATTTACGTATTTTGTTTTCCGATGGTTTTTCCTGTTAGTAATAAAACTTCAAGGAAAATAAAAAAATATTTCTTTTTAATTATTAATAAAAAATTTGATCGGAACTCCTGAAGTTGAAGGTCGAAGCAAGGACGTATACCGTAATTACGTATTGTCCACATAGATCGAAAATCAATGAAAATGTTGTACTTTATATAGTTTTTGATGATTTTTACGAGCTTTGTTAAAATTCGACATTCCAGTTCTTATAACAAAATGTTCGTGATTACTTTTTTTCGATAAATTTTCGAATATTTGAACAGTAACAAAGTTTATTGGCATTGCGAATCGAAGAATACAAAAAAAAAAAACATAAACATTTCAAATAGGTATAAATATTTTGGAAATTTGTTCGCGTTTATAGAAAATACTAATTTAAGTAAGCATATTGTATAGTCATTGGAAATTGCATTTGTCTACTGACCGAGAATTTGTTTGCATCAGATTGCAGATAAAAAAACACTAGTCATCGTTATTGTGAAACCAATGCCTATACATTCCTCGACTCCGTTCAGAATCCGAAATACCTAACATCCCATTTGATGCACCGCGATTATTTGTACGATTTGTTAAATGGCAGAATACTTATACGATGATGTACCAAAAATATTATATTTATATTGACTGCTGAAAATTGTATTATTATTATCATGTACCTATATAGTCATGTCGTTTTAAGTAAATTTAATAACAATAATAATAATATATCTGTTAATAGAACAGAATTCATAACAGACTCATTGCGATTCGAATAAATACGTTATGATTTATTTGTGTTACAGTGGACATTTTATATATTACTTTGATCCAATTTAAACATTAATCAAATACGGATTATAGGCAACAAACATGATATAATCTAATCCGTACCTATATTTAAATGAAACAAACATGCGCATATTATACTTTTCCAATATTCGTTCGATTAGAAATATACTATTTGTTGAATTTCGCGTCGGAGATAAAATTACCAGTTGGGTAAATATTTAATAAATAATATGATTGAATGGTCGGTTTTTTTTCCATATATTAATTATAATTTGTAGACTTGTATATTATGTTGTATTTGTGTATATTATATGTATAATATAACACTCGAAATTATGAAATATGGGAGTTTTTATAATACTGTATTATAACGTATTCGTATTTTGTAAACTTAAAAAATATTTTTTTTTCTCCTAATAAGTAAAACACATAGCGAAAAACCAAACGCCTTATTAAATCCCTGTATTACCTATGTACATTTTGAAAAATATTTAAATCTACCGTTAAAACAATAATAACCTTGATTGGTAAAATAACGATTAAATTAGGTAGCTATGTATTATAAACCTACCTATTCTACAGTTTATCGATTCATTTGTTGCTAATTTAACATTCAATCATATTGAAATGTATTCTATAATACAATACAATATTAATTACAGACTGTAATTTACAGTCATATCGAGAACAATGTATATATTTACCGACTTCCATTTGGACGCTGGCGTGTTACGAAATAATATCGGAATGCAATTATTCCAAATAACAGGAAATTACATTGTCAAAATGATATTGTATCTATATCCGAAATTTGAATACTATTTTGCATACCTTGTCTATTTTTTTTTATCTATACCTATTCTTCTTTTCAAACGTTTATTCGAAAATTTTACTAAAAATCAAAAGTAAACAAATTGTGCTACCTTTATACTATTATGTGTCTATATAATACGCATAATACCTAACCTATAGATTAAAGTTTTGTTATTTAAATCTTTCGAACAAGTCATATAAAATTTAAAATAATAGTTTATATCGTATGTGTATTGATAATTATCACATCTGTACTGATACTGCGGTATACGGTTTACACATCTCGGACGATCAACTGATAGACAAATCGAATTTATAATGTTCTCATAAAACTGTTATACAAATTATAAAAACATGAAAATACATTAAGTGTTGTGAGATAGGTATCTCGGGAAGTACGTCTTTTCGTGGTTACTTGTACTTTTCAAAGTTTTTATTCTATTTCAAACTATTTATTCTTTATATTATACAATATAAAATAGTATGACATGTTTCGAAAAAAATTAAATGTTGTCATGGAAATGAAAATTATTTGGACTTTCAATACGAAAACAACACTACTAATAAAATATGAGTGATGACTTATATATTCTATATCGCTATAGTCTTGGACCACGATTGTACTTCTTTAAAAATATAATCGTTTAGATTAATTTATAGCTTCAATTTAATTTAATTTGTATTATTATTTTTTTAACTGGTGTTAAATATTTAAAAAAACAAAAATCATGTATTAGAATGGCTCTTAAAGTTAAATGTATTATTTTAATATTTGTCAAGTATTTTTGTTGTATAATAGTTTTCTTAAGCCTTTTTGGTATTATTTATTAAAGCATACTTTTTATTACTAGATATAAATACATTTTTAATTTCTAAATTAAATTAATTATATTCTTAATTATATTTGTCATATCACCAGTGTTCAAAATTTTCCATTCCCTTTTTAGTGCATGACAACAGATTTAAATTATATATATACTTGCGCCATTTCTATAAATTTTACCAGAGATTATGATATTATCCCTAGATTATTATCTTACTAATGTTTTGTCTGTCGATGTGTTTCTACCAGATTACCAAAGTTAATATTTATTTCATTTTTTTTTTTTTTTTTTAAATTAGTATTTTCCATTGAATTTGTTTGTAAACATCTTCCAGGCAATTGGATAAATATATAATAACGAGATGGATTTATAAATCTACCATGGTCAGAATATTAAATAAATATGCTATAAGGTAAGTCTATGATAAATTACATATTTTATTATTTTATTTTAAATCTATACCATTCAAATTTAAAATTATCACGATCGCTCACTGGATTACTGTAATTAAAAAAAAAGTCATTGATTATACTATAGCTTTCAATAAATTGAAACGTGAACACTAAACTAATTTGTTTTTATCAAAAATCTTTATAAACACTGACTACAAGAATTTTTTAGTATTCAAATCCAAAATGGAATTGTGATTTATAATTTTATTAATTACTGCTAACTTAATTTTTAAATTTTATCAAGTTTTAAAAAAAGTTTATTTTATAATTTCAATATACAAAACATAATAACGTAAATCAATGTGTAATTATTTGTGTTTTTTCACATGGTTACCTAATAATTAATTATCTTTTAAGTGAATATTTCGACATGTTCAGTATGTCAATAACAGTTATCTAAAAAATCAATAAGGTCCACACATGGTAAGATATTATTTGAAAAAGTCATTCTGAAGACAAGACCATAATACATAATACAGTAATAGTAATATTTAAAATATTATCAAAGGAGCACTCAAAAATAAAAATGTCGATGAATTAAAAAAAAAAAAATCTGTCAAAAACCATAATAACAATGATGAAAACCATGATAATAATATAATACAATGTACTAAAAACTGCAATTTTCATATAACGCTATTGCATCTGTATATTATCCTTTGGAAGCTTTCTTTATGAAACGGAATAACAAATCAAATCAAATGAATACATAAAATGTTAAAATAATAACATACCTATCTGATATAATTTCTATATTTTCACTGACTTTATAAACTTTACCAATCACTTTGAACCTTTTCTAGAATAGGTAATCTATTATTTTATGTGGTCAAGTGCCTACCTTTATAATTATAAAAATGTCTCTTCGAGCAGTATATTAACAAAATGCGATATTTTCTATTTTGACTTTAGTTTCATAACTCGTAAAAAAGGTTAGTTATTCGTATATTACATGGAATAAAATATCAAATCTATAAAATAGATTTAATGAATTTATAATATTGTTTGATATGTCGACTATTACCATCAAAATAAACATTTTTATTAAAGCAGCTATATTTCAGTTAAATATAAGACATGTATTCACAATATTTCGATGGTGTAAAGTGTTATTTTAATTTTCAATAATTAAAGAGATTTAGTTAAATTGTAAATTAATAAACTAGTGTGTTCTACACTTAAAAAATTAGAACTTTAGATAATTATATTCTGGTATTAATGAAAGTAATTTATTAATTATTTAAAAGTTATAATTTGATTAGATATAAAACAAAGTAATTTTTGGTACTAAATTAGTTATTTTATTTTATTAGATTTTAATATTATAAAAATTACGACAATTGCGTGATTATACTGTATACACGAGAAAACTGAACGAAAAGAAGATTGACATGCCGTAAAAATATTTAACATTATTAAAAAATGCACAGAAAGCCGATGAAATGTAAAACGCTTGAGTTTATTTGAATTGAGAATATTATATAGTAAAAAGGTAGTTGAGATAATATTATTAAATTGGTATATTTACTAATTAATAATTAGTAAATACCATTTCATGATGATGTAATAACTAATAGTTGTAATAAATGCATACGAAAAATGGTACGTTCCATATTATTATTATTGTTATTATTATTATGATTAAAATTGCTTTTAGCATTATATTGTTATGCTGTGTTCAGAAAAGGTTATAATATTTAAATACTATGCATGAGCAGAAAATCGATTATGTCCTTTAGTCTAAATAATACTTATTCTATATTATGGAGAACTAATAATTATTTGAGATCTGAATAGAGAAAAAAGATCATACCAAATTAGTTAATTTTAAGTAATTCGAAATTTTTTAAAGAAATAAACAACCATGTATGGCGATTATTTTATCAGTAATCAATAAAGATTTTTGATAAATGTGATTTTGATTTTTCAATCGTCATAATACAGAAGAAGCATTTAATGATATTATTATACAATATTCTCAACATTTTATTTTTATTCATGAATTTATAAGTTAGATATACGTTTTAAACCGGAGCAGTGAGGAAGGGTAATAATCTAATGAACATATATTTAAAAAATTCAAACATTCATATTTATAAATTCCTACAGTACATTACAATATTTGAAAAAATATTCTCTTTTCGAATTCTAGTCCGGCCACTGTTTGAAAACCAAAAGTTGATGTTTATAATTATGTATTTATGGTATATAGAATAAAAATAACATTTCGAAAATGTTGTTAACTATATCGTTAAACGCTTTTATCGATGTATATTGTCTGAAAAGAAACAAAATTAAATTACTCAGTATATTCGTAGATAATCGCTTGTTTGTGGTAAATGAATCATCCATACAGCGTAATTCATTGTGTGCCAAACAGATATGCAATAATATAATGTATACGTTACGCTTTATACGCCTATAGAAATTTTCTTAATTATACATTATATATTATACAGAAAAGTTACACTATACTCGTATATAATATATGATAAGTACTCACTTTATTTAAGTTTAAAATAATTGTTTTAATAAAAAAATATACATTTTATTCATTAGTTTTTATTTTTAACAAAGGTCGTTCAAACATTTGTATTGTTATAATTGTATAATATTTGTGTTGTACATACATTCAATTAATTATGAATATTCATTTTCACTTATAAATTAGATACCTAACTACTTAAATTATGTTAAAATATTATAGCATTTGTGTGACTTAACCTCATAAATACTATTTGAAAATACCTACAATTGTTAATACAAATATGCATTGCATATGAATTAATCTCATCGAGCGACCGTTAAATTTAAGAAAATAAATTATCAAATAATATGTTATTAAAAAATATAATCTACCAGTTTATATAATACATTATATGGATGTATACCTAAACTAGTCTATAAAATACAAACTTCCTTTTATGGATACCGAAAAGAAACTTTTATCCAATTTATTATTTCCTTCACCTTGAAAATAAAACTATTATGTATCTACTGACTATGAGTAATATAAAAAGTTGCGTGCTATAAGTTACTGTGGTTAAACGAAATTAGATAATATATTTTTATGACATGCCTGTCGGTATTCAATTAAAGTGATTATATATTTGTATTATAATACATATTTAAAAGATTGTAATAAAAAAAAAAAAAAAAATTATAATAATAATAACACTAAATTTGAATAACTCTATAATGCTAAAGTAATAATAATACTATGAAGTGCTGTTGAACAGAATATAGGTAGATATAAATAGAATCGAATATAAAAACAATGTTCAGTTATTATTTTTATTTGAGCAATTATCAATCAATGTCGAAAAAATATGAATAAATTGGGTATAACAGTTTTAAACTGTCAAGAATCATGTGTTGGATTTTATTCATTTATTCGTATGCCATATGTTGGATTAATTTTGATCTATTGCAAACTATTTTGAAAAATACAAAATGTTTAAGTACATTATTTTCTTTTTTATTATTAAATTACATTTGACAAATTTAGTGGGTATATTAGTATTTAATTTACGTAGTCAGGTAAGAGTTTTATTCCAAATATACAAGTTTGAAATGTTTAAATATATATTGTCATAATTTTATTTAGTTTTAATGTATAATTTCGCTTAGGATTGTATTAAGACAATTTTATAAATCAAACATTACTTGTGAATATAAATGTATAATAAATGCTGAAATTTAATTTTGTTAGTTAAAATTTCTCTGAACACCTACTTGTTTACAGTAAAACATGACCAATTAAATGTTCCTAATTTACCATTGAAATTCGAATTATTATAATGTATAAAATTGAAATTGTATTGAGTAGGTATAGAAAGTAAATTATATAGCTAAGACAATTTATATAAATTATTTGTATTGAAAACGAGCAAAAATGTTTTAAATAAGTCGTAATATATGAATACAATAATTGTTAATAATTAATCGTCTATTGTAAATTAAGTTTATATATTATGTAAGTATATGTATGTTGTATGTATTGTATGTATATCCATTTTACACGTGGGTAGTATATCATAATAACACGTTACGAATATATTTTTAATAATAAATCATTAGATATAAAATTTGATTTACTTTACTGATGGGTTTATTTATGGGTTTTATTTACAATCTTTCGTAAGTATCAGAGAAACTATAACCTTAATAAAAAAGTTTTTAGTTGTAACTTAAAAGCAACATTATAATTTTAGGTAGGTATTGATAGTGTGGTATAAGTGATGTTGTACTAGTACAACCATCAAAATAATATTATTGAACATAAATATAGTTATTATTCTTATATTATCAATAAACCGCGACTGGTTTTATGGGTTGGATATTCTACACTTTCGATTATAAGACACTTTAAAATGTCAAGTATATATTTTGTATTATACATCCCCCTACCACCGTCCGTAAATACGCAATAGAGTTTATGATTATATAACATTGTTTTGTAATGGGTTTTTTTTTTTCATTTTTTTATTTTTAGACAAAGCGAAAAAAAGGTATGGAAACTTGTGTGTTAGTAGCAGCAGCGAGGTGTTGTTGGTGATGTTGGAGAGATCGCCGGGTTCCGGTCTCGGCCTGAGTCTGTCAGGCCACAAGGACCGCACAAAAATGGCGGTCATGGTGTGCGGATTGAACCCCAACGGACCGGCCGCCAAGTCCGGATGTTTACGGGTCGGCGATGAGATTTTAGAGGTAAGTCTTATGATACCTAAAATGGATAAATTTCATAAATCTATGTCTTATATTTTTTATAAAATTATAAAAGTCTAGAAAATCGAATCTGCCTGTTGTTCGAAATGACGCTGAAAATAATATATTATTATATTGCAGTCGATGTATAAAAGTTTATGCATTATATCACAACACGGTATAACCTACTCAAAATCTCGCAGAATTTTAAAACTGTGTGTCGGTGTATGTGTGTGAATTTAAAACCGTAAAATTGGCTGTAGGTTAGGGTAAAATGTTTTATTTATTAATTTATGATTTGTTAGTAACGAGCATAGTTTTATACTATAATATCAATAAACTCGTATATCGCGGAGGTAAATCGATTGAAATAACGAATCAAACGAAAGGTATGATGGAATTTATTGTTGATGTAAGCGCCGAGGGAATATTAATAATATACTAGTATAGTGAATTGAAGGGCTGAACTTTCACAAATTTAAATTTTTTTTTTCTCGAACTTTTGAGCTTCTATTTTAAAAACACAAAAACACATTATATTTAGGTAAAACACTAAAATATATGTACATATATATCTATATCCATGAAGGGAATTAACAGGGAACAGTAAAAAAAGGGTATTTATTAGTCTTTATCTTTAATTTTGAAATAATGGTAAAATCCTATAGCGCTTCGAGTCTTTTTCGTATGTTAAATTTCATTCGGTGAAAAAGATTGCAGTAAGGTTATATTGAAAGAAAAATATTGAATATACTGGTTTAAAAAGAATGTAGTTCATGCTGTATAGTAGGTAATTTCTCTCTACTGAACAATTTTCAAAAATGGACTTACATCCTTTTTATACTGTAACTTTCATACATACATGTATATTGTTGTATCAAAAATTATATAATTATTAAATATTTTTCGAGGGGTTTTTTTTTACATATATATTTTCGTTTATAGTTTTAATATTAAAGCTCACACAACTGTATGTAATAAAATAATGATATTTTATTACATCATTTTTTTTTTTTTTTTTTTTTTTAAATTAATTTTCATTAAAAGAATCAAAATTGATTTTTCTCGAAATGTTTAAAATTGAACTCGAATAGTTCGATTAACATTTGCTTACTGCAATATTTAATTTTATTAAGGATATTGAATAATATATCAGGAATATCCTTTATATCTACTAGTTGAATTATTACGTCCGGCGTACTCAAGATGGCACGATGAATTGTAGATTTAAAGGCATTCATAAAATTATTTAGTACTTACATTCGAACACACGTGCCATCATAATAAAAATACTCGTATTAGAAGTCAAGGGACTAATATAAGAACGTTTTGCGGGTCGTTTGTTTTTATGTTGTCTTGTTACTTTACCCGCGGGAAATAATTTGTATGTGCATTTTGAAAGTTGTCCACCTATACGATTCAAGCGTGCTTGCAAATAAATCGTCTATTTGTACGTACTCAAACGTATATACTATTAAGTATATTATATAGCATTCCGCTTTTTTTATAATATTTTACTATTTTGCATTGTCCAAAGCTGAGCAAGTTGGTCGATTCTTTTTTAACCTAGTTTTTTCAGAGATTTAATAGAAAACGAATAATATTGAAAATGGGGATTTAAATTATAATCAAGACTTATTCCACTTAAAATCCTTAAAAACGTCTAAAATGTACTTAAAAAAATATATAACGCATGAATGTGGTAGCACGGTATCAAAGCCCCCTCTCTGACGGCTCTGACTCACGAAATACAATTTTCTAACATTAAAACGTTTTTTCGCAATTGTATTTGATAAGTTAGAGTCGTTATGTAGGGGACGGGTTTTAATACCCTACTACTAATTTTGTTTTTTTGTGGATTCGAAATATTACGCAACAAGTGCAATTTCCGATTGTAACGCGGGGGCGACCGGTGACATTTCAGGCACACGTTCACGTGTAAATGTTGTAATAACGGCTGTCGCGTATATTTTGCACGGCGGCGTGCCGTTCGATAATAATACGCGCGCCGGAATTCTAAATTGAAATCTGATATGCGGTCCGTCGCAGCAGTGTGCAGGACGAGGTATCTGTACACAACACATCAGTACACGTAATATACTCTCATCCCCGTGGCGGCCGCGCGGCGCAATACGGAACTTTTGTCGCCTCGCCGTCACACCGCCAGCCCCTCCCCCCTCCACTCTCCCGCCTCCTCGTATACCGGCCCTAACCCGACCTACCCCGCGCCGTTTTGCGGTCAGGACAATGATAATAATTCATTCCCGCACGGCACCGTTCGCGTAGCGCAACGGTTTTATGTAGCGCACGCCCGGTTTACAAATATTTTACACGTATGTACATTATGACGCCGCGGCCGAGTTATCTCCGCGCCGCGGACGACCGGTCCGAAACGATATTAGCAAATTTCGTCGTCGTTGTTGTTGCGCGCGGTGTTCACTCACCGAAATGAGATTGTCCCGAAGAAAATCGCGCTTAGTTTTATCGTGCCGAGATTAAATACCCTCGAGGCGCAGTCAGCCGGCGGCCCTGCTGAACACCGGCAACAATAAACCGCGCGTTATAGTGTGTGTGTGTGTGTGTGTGTGAGTGTGTATACGTCGTATTGTTATCGTTGTTCGTGAATTTCCGTTCGTGATTTCGCCGAGTCGTTACAATATTATAATGATAATTATTGCTGCGCATAGGGGTTTTATTAATGCAATCGCCTCTGGATCGTAGTATTTGCGCGTCGATTATATTTTGCGCCCGGAGGCCAAAAATTGAAAGTCCACTATGTTTCTGTATATTATTATAAACTACTCCGTTCTATCTGGGTTGACTTTTGGACCACTAGAGCCGAACACTAAAACTGTAACTGTCGTTACAACGCTGTTTTGGGATTAGAATATTTATACGTTTTCGGACCTATAGACATTTCCATACACAAAATGTACAAAATAGACAAAATTATACATAAACAAAATACACAACATTTTTTCGTTCTTAAGTCCAGAATTGTTTTCGTCAAAAACTATTAAACTGCAATATTCAATAACATTTAAAATATTTTAACGAACTGAAAGTAATAAATGATATTTTAATCCTTCGTACGTTTTACAATAACCGGTTGTAAAATCGAAAAGTACAATTTGTATACGAGCCATAGTATAATGTTTTAAAAATCTTAAAGTATCAGTTCTGTGAAATTTGGTGTTTTTGGCCTCTATAGCCATATCGACGATGTATTAGTTTCAACAGTCTATTTCTCCGGTTACTTACCTATCAATTTAGAGGAAAAAAAAGAAAAATAGCATATCTACTCTACCAAATTGATATGTTTATATATGTATATATTTACACACAATAGCATGGTGAATTTTTGTTTCCTATAAATGAGGTCGACAAAATTTGGGACACTCGCATTCTATAAAACAAAAATCTCATTAGCTCTTATTTTTCATAGATCAAATTTTTATCAAATAAGTAAAAACGTAGGAGTCTTTTTTACTTCAACTTTGAGATCAACTTGGTAAAATGTGACTGATAACAAATAGACACTTTTTGTTGCATTTCACTGAAAAATATGGGCTGTCTAGTATTTTTAAACAGTTTATAAACACCCAACAAAATATTTATTTTATGTAAGTAATTCGACTAGATCGTATACTAAAATGTTGTTTAACATTGTTACCAATACATATACATTTACTATGGTTTAACAATGTTGTTGTATTATAAAATCTAAATTTATTTCAGTATAAAGTTCTAATATACTAATATATCTATTTCTATATGGTGTTGGGATCATGGGTTTAGTTGACGGAATTTTAGCATGCTGCGTTGAAATTCCAACCGTCCTGCGCGAGCGGGTAGTGCCAAAAGTTCACATGAAAACAAACGACTTCGCCGTAATACTTTAGCTGTATAATGTATACTCTGTTTCATATTTTTCTATCGATTTTTTCACCTACATTATGTATTGTACACAATGCAAACAACAATTTAAAAATATACGAATATACGAGATCGCGCAGGATTTTTTTTTAAATTTTTTAAATTTGTTGAATATCGCAAATATTTTATATTATAACGATAAATCATTCAAAAAACGACTATTATATATATATGTAGGACATAGTTACTAAATTTAAATATTGACGCTCGTCGCTGCGGAGGATGTTCTTTTCGCCCGTATAAAACTACGTGGAGAACTTTAAAAAACGATCCATCCAAATAGTACCGTCCGTCGGTTGCCATTCGTGTTCAATTGCCCTTCTATAAAAAAAAAAAAAAAACGGTGGTACTGGACGAAGAAAACGATTTTTTTTCACCGCCCGAAAGTGCAGTTATCTGAGGAGAAAAATATAGAAATGCCATATTGTACAGTATTTGTACTATAATACTAGCTATATAGCCAATTTTTAAGGAGGGTTATTCGTGTTTAAATGGACACACGGACACGGTTAAGCCCAGTGGACAAAGATTTCGCATACTCTGTGTTCACTAGAAAAAATGGTAAATATATGGGAAATGTAAAATATAAATGATGTGTATATACTATATACACATTTTTGAGATTGAACCTTTTTTACTCGCGGATCTTTTTATATTTTTGAATGAAAAAAACGACAATAAGTGTCACGCAGCTAGTGTATATTCACTAAAAAGTCCAATAATAAACGGACAGATGGGTCCTTTTTTCATATAAATGTATATCCAAAACCACATAATATTATATTATGCAATGCCGTGCACAATACGTTTTATATATTACAATAATATACCTAATGTATAGTATATAGTTAACTAAATTGCTAGTCCCTAATCACTGCACGTACTATACCAAACATCAATGTTTAGCCCCGTGTACATGCTGTTGTACGTATTTTTAATAACATATGTTTTTGTGCACACAAAAAAGGTTATGTATTATGTTCGTTTATTATAAATACGAACACGTTCACCTACCCTTTAGCTGCGCATAAACTCATAACTTATTCATGGATACTGTACGGTTTACACCCTCGGGCTTTGGTATAGGTACCTAACGAGAGAAGGATATACCCTAACAACCAGCGCAGAGAGGGCAATGAAGGAGAAATAGGTTTAATTTAAAATGCATCACGTTATATTGGCTCCGATGTATATATATAGGTATAATATTTCGTGACTGGTAATCGTCTGGGAGACTTTTTTTTTTTATCGACTGTGAAACCCATTTTATGTTTATAAGCTCTTACGTAATTTTGTTTCCACGTGAGTGATGCATCGTAGTAATAATACACTGTAACGAAATTTTTTTTTTAGTTTTATACTACCGTTTTTGTTTTTGTTTTTTTTATATACATTTGTATGTATAATATATACATGTAGAAAAAAAGAAACAAAAACAAGAAAAAGTCCAAAAGTTTGTGTTTATTTTATGTAGCGATACTGAAATGTTTTATAGGTATACTTATATATGTATCTACATTTGTTGTTAAAACTGGCTTTTTTTGCATTTTTACTTTTTTTCTGCCGTAACAAAAAGGGCTCGGGAAAAAGCTGACATATGCAGCTGTGATAATAATAATATATAGATCGCCGCGGTTTTACAAGTTATATTGTATACAAATGGTAGTGGGAGTGGTTTCGGACAGAAACAGATGACCTATATTATGCAGCTTTTTCCGTAAGCCAAAAGGTTAAAGGTATAAAATAATATTATGGTTTTGCGGTTTTTTTTTAATTATTATCACAAAACGCGGGCGCTTGGTTTAAAGTATTATTTTATAAATTTTTTAATAAAGTATTATTAAAATTGTATATTAGGTAATTACACTTGAAACGGTATATGTACAATAGTACCTATACATTATACATTGGTATATATTATAATAGGTATAAGATTTATATTAAATTCGTGTGAAGGACAAATTAATATATGTATAGTTTAAAATTTTAATGATATCACGTAAATTCGTATTACATATTGGGTTTCTTTAACTGTATATAGTCTCTGACAGAGCATGTTTAGAAGGATGCAAGAGGGTGCTCACGCACCGGGCGATATGACCACATGCATAGTTCTGTAATTGACTATTTGTACGGTGAATGTATGAGTAAACGTCCTAAAGACAGGTTTAGCTTTTTTTTTTTTGCTCATTGTAATTTTTTTTGGCACTGATTTTGTTAGGCACGGCACTAGTCTCTGGTACCTATCTATAGACATATGTTGAATATATGATACATATGTACCTTATATTATACATGGATGCATAAAATGTATATATAATAAATGACAAGAATTTTTAATTTTTGTGTGATTGAGTTGTTTTCAAAATAAAAATTCTAAACCAGTGGCGTATTTGAGGAGAGTTCTGGAGATTTTTTTACAAAGATAATTTCATAATAAAAACAAAAATAAAAATATTAATTTAATTTAATTTTTAATAACTTTTCAACTAAAAAACTTTTTCCAAGGGTTGATTTTGGTTGACAATTCGTGCATTAGAACTAGTCCTTTTTTTCTTAATAGTGGAAGAAAACCGAAAACTTAGAATATTTATGAGAAAACGGTTTTTGTTAAAATTAATTGTTTTTTGCTGTAATTCAGTGAAAAGTATTTCTAGTAAATAAACATTTTAGGTCAAAACTTTATTCTAACTTCTAAACGAAATAAAATATCGACTTGAAATTCACACATAATATACGCATACTTATGTAAATATTTAAAAAAAATAGTTTAGGTATTAAACAATATAAATAATTTGTAAGTAGTTTACTAACATGCATATATTTATTGGAAAACATAATTTTTGTAATCACGGTTAAAATTTCTTACCGGGTATATACTTTTTAAAACTTTAATTTGACTGGAGCCCTAGCGCATGCGAATCCAACTCGCACTTGATTAGTTTTAAAAATATTACGGTCAATATTTATAAATAGGACTTGGATTTATATGCATTTGCGTATTTTTTTTTAACAATTCAAAAAGTAGCTAGATAAGCTACAAGTTTGATTAATTTAATTAATTAATTAAATTAAGTTTCCTTAATATGTTATAGTACCATCAGTGATGTCATCGCAAATGAATTAAGGAACATATGATATGTGTGCACTTAATCTATGGGCCAATAAAAATGTTAAACATAATTCATTATATTAGTTATATTCTTTTTATATTTCTAATATAAACTTACGAATCAAAACAGAATTTTAGACAACAAGACCCTTCAAAATACCCAAAACTCAATGGATTTATTTATAATGTACCGTTTTATTTGACTTACAGTAGAGAAAAGTGGGGAACTTAAAGGGAACTTAAACTTATTAAAGGCAGTAATGCTCCTTAGTGGATCAGTATGCTAATATTATGATGATGGTGTTAAAAATACTTTAATATTACTATATTTAAATGTAGGTTAATTTTCGAAGATGTAAAATTTTTTTATGTCGAATATGTTATTTTTCTTGACGTGTCGAATTTGAGCTCTGAAAAATCAAGCCAATTTTCCGTTTTGGCTCAAAGCCAACAAACACGCGTTTGTTTTGCCAAGTATACATGTATAATATTATGTTAAAAACCAAACAAATATTAAAACTAAAATTATGTACCTATTAGTTTTAGTACATACTCGTTTTAATTCGATGGAATGTCCATTCGAAAATATTATTACAATCACTAAAATATATTTTATTGTACTATAGAAATACAAACTACAAAGTATAAATGTTGAAATACATCAATTATAACGTAATTTAAAAATGTCTTGTTTTTATTTCTATGCCAGAAACCCCAGACGATGTTCCTAGTCCTAAAAAAAAAAAAAAAAAAAAAAAAAAAAAACATTTACTTAATCTTAGTTGCTGAATTCATATGGTATAATAATATTATTGCTCCATTATTGAACATATAAAAATAAAGAATAATACTAGTATATATTTAAATAAATATTTATACATTTATACTTCATACTTTATCATAGATATTATAGTATATACAGTTTCTAGATTACGTGTATTTATTTAGTATACAATTAAAAAAACCATAGTCACATATTAGGTGTTTTTTTTTTTATAGTGTTTTAAAAAATACATGTACATGGTTAATAAATATGTTAAAAAAAGAAAATGTATAATAGATTATAAACTGAATTACATAATGAATTACATTATCGCTTATTAACCATATAAGTTCCATCCAATATTCATGTCAATTAATAATAATAAATATGATTTCGATAAAATCGTTTAGACGTTAAGAATACCTATAATTAATGCTTGTATTTTAATAAAAAGTATTACGCAGAGAAAAAATTCTGTATAATACCATTAATCATTGTTGGATACCTATACCTAACAATCTGACATAATATATACTATATAGCTAGTAATATTGTTAATTAACAATATATTCAATAAAATTCAAAGCAAAGTAAAAAACTAAAATCATAATTATTGTACATAATCTTATATTATAAAATAAGTTACGTTTTAAAATGCGTATTATACTTAAAACCCGAGACAAAAGTAAACTTGTATGGTTGGTTAAGAAATTGTGAGGTTTTTTAATGTATAAAAATATATTATAGAATAAAATTACTTATTCATTTTTTTAACAATTAAAATTATTCATAGACAGATAATGTTTGGGTTTTTTTTGTGTAGTAACTATAAATGACTATACAATATGAAAATAATTAAAATTGTTTTTTTTTTCTAAATATAATTAGCAAAAGAAGAAAAAGAAATGAAAACTTTAAAGAAAAACGTATTTCGATAAAAATTATATTTTTTCCCGTTCATTTGTAATAATTATAAAATCCGGATAGCAGATAGCATTTAAGTACTTACATATTTATCCGATTTGTATGTATTTATAATAAAATTCCGGTTTGTATTTTTTGACCATTATGCTGATGCTATCCGTGTCTACTCTCCGATTAAAATATTTTGCTATCATTTTATTAACTATTCAGACATACGACAAGAGATTTCTATAATAATATATAATATATATATATATTTACATAATTTCTATTCGGTAGAATTTGACATTACAAATAATATTAAAGAAATATATCTGTTTACATATTATGTTGTAATCTGTCTAAAGTCTAAACGATAATAATTTGAAAATTGTCTCTAGTTATAAATGCATAATTTTTTAATACATCATTTTATTTAATCGCTAATTTATTGTCTTATAAACATATTGTTTTGATACTTTATTAATTCCATATAATATAAGATATATATTAGGTATTATCTATAAATTATATTAATACTCTGATAGTTAATACAGAAATCATTTATTTGATTTAAACAAAAAAAATGTATATATATATTCTATATTAAACGTATGTGTTACAAGTGTGTTTAATGAAAGATAATTACTCTAGCATACGAATATGAATTAATAAGAAAAATATACATTTTTTTTTTTTTTTGTGAGTAACATTCGAGTGTTCTTCTATATTTTAGAAGATACAACGCCAATATTAAATACATCACACTGGACTATATCGGCACTTCAATGAAATTAAATATCTTTGTGCATTACCTTGTGTAATAAATAAGTATAAAATATTGAAATTATCATTATTATTATTATTATTATTTTAAATAGTTAAAAATAACGAAAGGTAAACGCTAATAACGTCAAAATATTATAATATTTCGAGTTTTATGGTTTAGCTGCAATAAAAAAAAAACAACATTTAGGTTACTCGATAAATGTATTTAAAATTAATAAAATGAAATAAATAATAATATTATGCTAAACGCATAGGCACAAAAGTATTATGCTTATTTATTTATACATCGTCTAATTTGTGTCGTAAATTTTTAAGTGACAATTCTATGTATCCAAATCAATAAAAATTAATTAAAAATACAAATATTTACGAGGTGATAATAATATTATATATGGTTAATTTTTTGTTCTAGGTGAACGGAGTGGTTTTGCACGGACGATGTCACCTAAACGCCTCGGCCATAATCAAAGGTATACCCGGACCGATATACAAAATAATCGTATTGAGGTAAGCCGTTATTGTTTTTTTTTTAATATTTGATTTTATTTTTTTTTAATTTCTTAACGGAATTCAAATCTTATAAACATTTTACTTATAATTAATATTATAGTCTGTTAACAGAGTTCGGGCTATGTAGTAATATTTTGTTTATTTCTTTTATTGACATTAAATTTAACAGAAAGCTATGGAAATGCACGTAATATTGTAACGAGTACAAGTTTAAATATGAAATTGGAAAGTGCTTTCTTAAAATATTTTTAAGTGTTTGTTTCAGCACTTAAAGGGCTTATTATGCTTTTTAAAGACATATTATGAAGTTTTTTAAAAAAATATTTATGTTGATTTTAAATGTTTTAAGTCCCGAACCCTGTTTGTTAATAATAATCTGTTGACATCATATATAACGATTCAGAGTCGGAAATGATGTTTACTGCAGTAATATTTTTTAATATAATATACCTAACCTAGCTAAACGCGTTTTCCAGGAAACCTACGGCTCTTGACGAATTAGCTGTACGACCGATCACTCAGTTTCCTATTACATTGGATGACGAGGTTAATATACTTTTATATATATTTTTTTTTTTTGTCGTTTTCCGATGACTATACAGTATTAAACACATATTAAAATTAAATAATGTTGTTTTTGGATGTCTGCAGACACCTGAGGAGAAGTATTCCACTTACAAAGGTTTACGGGTCGTTACTATGAAAAAGGTGAGTTGATGTGTCGTATATTATCATAATAAACATTATTATAATTATTATAAACTAATATTATATGTATACGTAATGACCTTGTAAAATATTTTTAAAAAAATACTCTCCTGTAAAAAACAGCCATTATAATATAGGCACTTGATTAGGTAAATATTATTCCTATACATTATTATATACCTACTGTCTGTAACATTGATAAAAAAAATAAAGTAAAAAAAAAAAAAACGTTTAATTTTACCTATCTCAAAAATATTAAAGTATTAAAATGTATACAGAGTGATCAATTTTCCTTAAAACTATCGGAAAGTATTACATTTTCTATAGATTTTCTAATCGAATCATTTTTAAATATACGTAGTTTTTCTAAGATGTTACGTTACTTATTTTTTTTTTTTTTTAACGAACGCTGATTGCTCATTAACTTTTGAATATAATAAGAATAGCAACCTATTATATTACAAATGCGATAAATTGTCAAAATGTTTGTAATAGAAATCAAAAGTCATTTAGCAATGGTTTCACCACCGGATAGCATGAGAATGAACATAATTAGAGTATTATGTTACATATTTTATAAAACTGCTCGTGTAAATTTTCCACAAAAATAAATGAACAAAATAATAATATTTCAAAATTTCCCAGGTAAATTTCCGGAAAATTGATCACCTGGTAGATATTATTTTGCAACACCTACATATACAGTTTTTTTATGTACCTATATTAAACACGCTCTCACCTAACCTCTCGCAGGATTATAATTTATAACCATCACTTATTATATATAAAATGTCGTGTAGTATACAGTTGATTTGATATGTTTCCTATATAGCCCTGTATCAATTTTGCATACGAAGGCCAACTCACAAATTCACCCACACACCAGGTAAAAGAACAGCACATCACTGGATCGTTGAATGTTTTTTGTTTTTGTTTCGTTTTGATTTATTTTTAAATTTATATGTTTTTTTTGGTAGAAAAAAAAACCAATAACCAATATAATATAATATGGATCGTAGGAGGGCAACCGCAAAAAAAAAAGTGAAAAAAAATACGTTAAATATAGCATTTTTTTAAAAAATACACGTTCATTATTTTTTTTTTTAAATTTATGTTCAAATTTATTCGGCCGTATATGTATAATATAAATGCTCGACAGTTTGATAAAACGATCAAAATTACGCTTAATATCACAATTAATTTTTATATTTCTTAAGCATTTGAAGTTCAAATTTCAACGAAGCTCACAAAAAATTATAAATTGTTTTTTGTTTTTGTTTATCGTTGGCCTGCTGTATTCAATACAACGCGCGTTATTTGCAATATTTAATAATAATTTCAAATATATTATGTGAACAAATTATATAAACCCCCCCCCCCACGAAAAAAAAGATACGTAAAAACTGTCGTATAAATATTGCAGTTGATATATTTCTTAAATATTATTTTGAACTTCGGCCAACGCCCGACCACAGTCCCGTTCTTCGCGCGTTGCTTATGTTATAATTTTCGATTCGTTAACTTAATATTGTTGTACAATATTATACTATCATAACGGTTTATCGTGACAATATTATATTTGGCAACAATTATAGAAAATTCATCGGCCCCCGTCAATCTGACACGTTCGGTTTACATACGATATCTTGCGGTCATGTACAGAATTCGTATTTACGTATATTTTCAATTATATGAATAGCCAAGTGTAAAAAGGGGGGGCACATGTTCAAATTTATACAATTTTTTAAGAAAGACAAACAACTTCTTAAGTGCCTATAGAGTTTTATAATAGTCCATAAAATGACGGTAGAAACTTGTACAAAGCACTATACTCTAACAGTATGACATTAGTTCGTAAATATTTTTGTTGTCGATCTGGCGTATAATAACGACAACTGTTGTAACATAAAAACAACAGTCAAACGGTTTCGTTTCTGCAGTGTTCAGAAGACATGTATACGTTTTAGGATATCGACGATTTTCTGTGGTATTTCTAAACGTGTTCGCGTAAAACGAAAATATCAACTGGCCCTATTTTTAAAAAAAATGTTTACATTATGATATTTCGTGAAATGGATAAAAAAAATCTGCATTTTTATAAGGGACAATCGCATAGGCGTTTTTGAAATATATATCGTTATTATTACAAGAGCTAAATTTATAGTTGCTTAAAAAGAAAACAAATTACGTACATACAGTTTTTGTAATCTATGCAACTTAATATACTAGAGTTGATCAGGATTTTAATTTTTTTATTCACATTTTTTATTTGTTCTTCTCGTGATATGTTCGGCTGTATAAAAAAGTGTTTTCTACAATTTTTAGTATATTTAAAATGAATTTTAGAGATCGCGAGCATTAAATTTATCAAAAAAAAACTGTTTTATTATTAATTTTTCTAGTCTAAATTCTCATTTTTTTAAAAAAATAAAAACAATAAAACTTTACAAATTTAAATGCATGGATATTGTTTTGAAAAAAGAAGAAATGTACGCCTGTTTAACTCATAAAATATTAAATGGTTGAAACTTTTGATGAATCACCTATCAGTGTATTTGGTTTTTGTACTAATTGTTTTTTTATATCTTTGTTTGTTTAAAATTGCTCTCGACTTCTAGAAACCTATACAAATCATTTGAAAATTTGAGGGAAACTTTTTTTACACAGCTAAACATAATATTATCAAAAGAGGAGAATAAAAAAAATGGATAAAAGACCCTAGTCCACCCTAACCTGAGTACTAATAAAGGTCATTTGTAAATTTATTCGAACATTATCCAATCGATAAATTTGCATTTATTTTGTTCTCAAAAATGTCGTTAAAATTGCCTACGTGGAATCCCTTGAATATACAATATACGTCTATAACTGTATTATAACATTATATTATTATCTTAACGAGCTGTCCAAAGTGTTTGCCCTCCGGTATTCCGCTGATCCGCCTACGTATTATGTAATAGACTTCTGTAATATATATATATCAGGGGCGTATCTAGGAATTTTCTTTCTGGGAGGTCTGATCAGTTACATTACAATATAACGCGAATTTACTATTTTTTTTTTTTTTAACTTTATTTAAAACAACGGTTTAAAATTTCCTGATATTTTGGTTGGAGAGAGCTGCAGCCGCTTCAGCCTTCCTCTATGGATACCCTACTGATATATATGCAAATATAGAATACATGACGATGTGTTATAGTTTTTCGTTTTATAAAACAAGTATACTTGCATGCGTATTACCATTTAATATAATATAATAATTACACACGTGTAAGTATAATATATACGCCATCTGACTATCATATTATTACTATTATTATTATACTGTAGCGAGTATTTTTTTTTTTTTTTTTTACGTTTGAACATTATTATTATTATAATTATCTAGAGTTTTGACATACTTACTATATTATTGTACTATCTTTCATCGGTTTGTATTATAGCCGTCGAGAAAAAAAACAATAAAAATACTCCCGTAATACGATTACAGTATAAAAAAACCAACCGTGTTTTGATTTCAGAGTGCTCACGGTTTAGGCATTATGATTTTGGAAGGAAAACACGTGGAACTCGGCACCGGTATATTCATATCGGACATACAAGAGGGAAGTCCGGCCGAACAGGTATAAACGCGCCATGCGCAAAAATATTATTATTATTGTTATAATTAATAGTTTTCGTGAAAATCGTGATCGTGTTATTTTTGCGCGCTTTTTCTGTATGAAAAAAAAACGACGGTACCACGTCATTTCAGCTGGGTAAATATTTGTCGAGCGCAAAAAAAAAAACGGCGGCTTATCGCCCAACCGAAAATATATAACACGAATTATTTTATGAAAATTCTTCTCGCATTAAACACCGTCGTCATGTCTATACTTCCTTTGCAGGCGGGTTTGACGGTCGGCGATTTGATTTTGGCCGTGAACAAAGACACGCTCCTAGGAAGTACGTACGACGCGGTGAGTACCCTATACATTATAATATTTAGTTGAATTATATTAATACTTAAATAGGTATGTGATCGTGGAGTCGAATGGATTAAAAATTGCAAAATACTGTATCGTTGTTTTATTATAATAAAATCGGGGTTTTTGTTTCGTTTACAGGCGTCGTCGTTGCTGAAGAAAACCGAAGGGGTGGTAACGTTGATCGTGTGTAATCCACGCAAAGAAGACGGCGGGACGGCCTTGGAACCCAAGAGCGCCGATAAGCCCAAACAACCGGAAAAACCGAGTGAGTCGAATGTTTTTATGTTTTTCAAATATTAATTTTCGGCTATAAATTATTTTTATTTTTTTTTTCGCTGCATGATTTTGAATATTGTTGTCGCGCGTTGCATGGACCGTGTCGCATTTTTATAATATTATTTTTGTGAGTACAATACTATAATATACCTATGTTTACGTGTTTTTTTTTTTTTTAAATACAAAAACTGTTTTACTAAAATTGTCAAGCCGGTGACACGTGTGTAAGAAGCGTGAGATGATTAATATTGTGTTTTTTTTTCTATATATTCATATAAACCATTATTAGAATCGCCCGTCTGTCTGGTGGATCATATAGTCGAACCGCCGCCGGATCCGGCGACCGCTCCGATAAAACCGGGTATCGAATCGACGATCGAAATCAACAAGGACAAAGTTGGCTTGGGCCTCAGCATAGTAGGCGGATCCGACACTTTCCTGGTGAATTTTCTACTATACTTAAAATAACAAATACAATAACAACAATAATAATAAAACACCAAACAAATAAACGCATTACGGTATGCCGCGAGACTTCTTGCGGTTGGGCATTATCTCTTTTGTTTGGCTACAACACGATCGAGAGCAAATTTGGCGTATTGTCGACAATGACGAACGAGAAGTACAAAAGAAACTCGATTAAACATAAAATATGATTCGCTGAAAGGGCACACGTTCAAATTGTAAAATTGTTCAAGCAACACAAAAATACTTATGAATACTCCCTGAAAAAAAAAAATGAACACATCGTGTGTGTATAACTATTGTTGTATAGTGTTGGATAATATCCATACATTCCATACATACTTCTACATTAATTTCATGAAACTTGTATAAACCTTTATAGGTATTAAGGAGGTTTATTGTCTTCTTGATTAAAATGTTAACGTGACGTGCTCTTTCAGCATTTAGAAATTCATATATACTGTAGCGATGTTGCCGCTTACACAATTTTCTATAGCTATAATATTATAATCACTGAGTTATAGGTATGTAATCCAAAAAAGTTCAGTTATCATCATCGTTTGAACAATTTGATAATATAATAATTCCACAAATCTTATAGACAGTTACTTTTTCTGAGAAAAGAAATGCCAAAAACAAAAAATTCGCGGATGTGGCAACGTCGCTTTTTATAATTTTTCCCCAATCGTGTTATAAAAAAAAGTATATGCTCAATCCAGAGACTATCGTTTGCATCCAAAAGTCAGGTAAACGAAAAATTAAGAATTTCGATTACGTCCGGCGATCACCAATTGAAGGGTGGGTGGGAACAACGTGCTATGTACAAATTTGTAAATTGTTCAAGATCGGAGAAAACCAATTATTTAGACTACACGAAGTCTCTTAACACTTTCAATGTGCTTCGAAGCACATTATTTCGTAATAAAAATGAAAAAGTTTTACATAGTAGCCGTGTAGGTATAAAGAATAGGTATTTATAATACATAATATGCAATATTATTATAATATATCGATCAAAAATTCAATACAATTAGATTACCATTAAATTCAATTACAAAAACCAATTCACTTTTATTATAGATTTGTATGCTACATTGCGGATTGAATATTTGGCTGTATACCAATTAGAATAAGTACAAAGTCTTGAATAATTTACGTACAAAACGTACTATTGATAATACCAACAAAGTTTTAGCTCTATAATATTATATACAGTATAATATGAGTTATAGTAGTTAAAATAATATTGCAGTATTCAATCGAAATGTCAATTTTTCGTTTGGGATCGGACGCAAAGATTAAAAAGGTCAAAACGGGGCGCAATCGAATGACACTCGCTCAATCGTGTAGTTATAATACTTAATCGCGTCTGTAATATTAATACAGATGTAACGTAAACTCGAATAAATCTGCTAATAGTTTTTTGCCTTAAAGATTCGTTTTTAGAGTGTATGGATATTGAATGCATTTGATTTATTTTAAAACAAACTTAAATTATTATAATGGTTTTAAATATGCATAAAATCAAAGTTTCAAAATTCGGGTTTCAGAATTTTACGTCATAATGGTACCTAATTACGTCGTTATTTGTTATGTGACGTTCGCATATATTACCGAATAACCTCCAGCTGCATAATGTATTCAATATATTATAATATGTTTTCAGGAGGTGGTATTCATTCACGAAGTATACCCAGACGGCGCCGCGGCCAAAGACGGTAGGCTCAGACCGGGCGATCAGTTAGTGGAGGTAAATGGCGAAGACTTTAGGAACATAACGCACGTCAAAGCATTGGGAGTTTTGCGTCAGACACCAGCAAAAGTACGTATACATAATATTTTCATAATATACTGCACGCCCAGTTTTTAAATGGATCTTCAAAATATTATATTCTTTATTTTTTATATTATGTTTTTAACACTCGTCGGTGAGAGTGTGGACGTCCTCTTAATTGAAATCTAAAATTTTCCCCTCGTAAGCACACCTCTGTGAAACATTTTTGCATTTCCTGCGCCCCGGGGCTCTGTTTCTTCAGTGCCTTCTTATAAAAATATATATATTTTTATTTTAAATACTATCATATTTAGCTGCAGCACACAACATTTTTACTGCATTCTTTGTGCTTTTAAATACACTATTTTAGGCTCTGTAGTGTGTGGTGGTAAACTTTGAAAGGCAGAGCTAGGTGTGTTTAGAAAGAGGTTAGGTAGGCGATTGTCGTGGGTGGCATTTTTTTTAGGTACGCCATTTTTAAAATATATTTATACTCATAACGTTAACATCATTAAAATTTGTGTTCTCGCTTCTCAATAACTTTGGTTGGTAATACTTGTATTATCATTACTTTTTGTTATCTCTTTATCACACTAGAACTGATCAATGAAAAGTATTCAGTTGTAAAATTATATCATAGCTTTATATAGATAACATAAACGTACAGTATAATACTGAATGTATGAGTGAGTTGATGAATTATTAAATAATTATTATAACATAAATAACATTGTTATGATACGCAGTTCAATAAATGACTTTAAAAAAACTAAAGTATTTTTTTTTACCAATTGGAAATGTGTAAAATTTATAAAATAAAAACTAACTTTTTTTTATATTATTATTATGGAAGGGCTGCCAAAACCCAGAATACGTCTGGTGAGATGATGTTAGTATAAAGAAAAAACTACTATTTTACCTCAAAGTGATTATGACAACCCTTTAAAATTTAGCACCTAACCCCCTTAACCTTCTACTTCTGGTCTTAATATTCCGCTCTGCCTTTTAAATATAAAACTATTGTTAAAAAAAAACTGCTTCCGTATAAAGGTGACCATGGTCGTGCTGCGGGTTGAGTCGTGCGTCTCGAACGAGAACGGGGCCGTCGCAGCGACGGCTGAGACCGCCAATATTTCGGACGCCTTCGACGTGGAACTGATGAAGAAGCCGGGCAAGGGACTGGGACTGAGCATAGTTGGCAAGAAGTCCGGCCCGGGGATATTCATATCGGACATCGTAAGCCGTTTGTTTTTAAATTTCCCCCCCCCTCCCGGTCACCATCCGAAACCACTCGCCGATGTCGGTCACTATAATATAATCATATTATATATTTGATGTATGTTTGCTTTTTGTGTCGGTAGGTGGCGGGCGGCGCTGCTAGCGTGGACGGCCGTCTGATGAAGGGCGATCAGATATTGGCGGTCAACGGACAGGACGTGCGGAACGCCACGCAAGAGGAGGCGGCCGCCGTGTTGAAAACGACGACGGGCAGGGTGACTCTGAAAATGGGTCGACTCAAAGCACGTTCGTCGGCGTCCAGTTCGGACAAGTAAGCGTCGATATACCGTGTTTAATTGTTACTACTTAAGTCGGGAAGCTATTGAGTATACGATATAATAATATATTGTGGTAATTATTAAACAAATGCGACGATAAAACGAAAAACGATTCTGAGTGGAACTCGCGGGTTAATCATTGTTTTATTATATTAGAGATTGAAATTTAAAATGTTCAATAACTAGGTACCTGCGAAATAATTTACTTGACTTACGCATTTTAAATGTAATCGCAAATGTAAACGCTTCAAACACAAACAAAAAATCTATACAAATGACATTATATGCTCAACTTATGATGAAAACACATTGTATCGAATTGTGAAGCTTCTTATGGTTTCCTAGCCGAGTCTACACGAATATTGATTATTTACACCGAAAAATTATTGCAACAATAGAAAATAAAATCGATTTTAACGAAAACTGCCGACAAAGTTAAATGCTAAACATTCCAGTTTTCCCGGCGTTTTTCAAAAACCCGACATGTCCCAAAAGTCAGCGAACTATATTCGAAGCGCTACAAAAAAGCTCTATGGGCTCCTATTCAGTTCCTGATTTAACAAATCTTCCGGTCGAAATCGTGTTGACGACGATATCATCAGTAAAACCCCAATATATAGACACCTCGTTGTTCCGCTCAGAATCTAAACATTAACTGTGTTGTCGAAAACGCTACTGTGGTTCACCCCAGAGACGATATGTAATTGGCATAGAAATACAAATTTAAAAAATGGCGTCATACGAATAATATATAATACTTTTTTCATTGTAATATTCAACGGTGTTCGAAAAAAACGGCAAGTTTTAATAACGTCGGACCACTTGGTTTTTTTTTTTCATGACGCTAATCTCTATATTGGAATACGCATAGAAAATGATTTTCCGGTTCTGTAAGTAAAACACGCCTGCCTATAAAATATAACGTGCGGATAGTGTCTGCTGCCGGTAGAAGTATTTTAATATTATAATAGTAGTGAACAAATATTGTCGTTTGTGCGTTTTGTGTGTATTTAGTATACGTATTATTTTCTATTAATTTGTATTGTTGATAAAATAGTTACAACAAATATTAACGTCGTGCATCCCATTTATTATTATATTATTAGTGTTATTGTTGTTGCTATTGTTGATTTCCGTCGTCTTTGCCGTCCTGTTTTCGTCCCACTAATATTTTTTTATTAACAAACGTATATAACTTTTTGTTGCATGATCGTTTAGATTATTATTATTATTATTATTATTTGATTTTTTTCCCTCCCAATCGATTGTTACTACGATTACGATTGAAGTGATTTTTTTCGCGCGTAGCTAATATTTTGTAATAATAATATAGGTACTGGTTCGGGTCGGTTGACGGTCGCTACGTGCGACCCGACGGCGGTATAGACGGCCGCCGTCTGTGACACGCGCCGTTGCCTACGCCGCGGCGACCTCGCGTTAAACACAGAATTAACTAAACGGCCGCGGTTCACGCATTAAGGGCGGTGGACCATAAATCATAATATTGGGTAGAAGCTATTTCAGTTCTTAAGGGGCCACGCGATAAACTGATTATTTGCCGTCTCTGTCTTTCCCGCGTGCTTAATAATGGAACAAAACACGCTATACAAATCGATTTTAAAATTTTTTTAAATGACTAATCGAACACGTTCGACTTTTTCTGAAACATTATCAAACGAATAACAGTTATTTTTTTAGAATAAAAAAAAAGGTTATTATCTTTAAAACCGATTCTAACTGGCCTTTTCGTTTGTTGTACGGCGAATACGTTTTTGAGATATTGCTAGTTTTATAGAAACACGGCGAGACGGCAAATGCCACTGTAACAATATTATGTTCGACCGGAAAACGAAAAAAAAAAAAAAACGTGCACTTTTCATTGGAATCCGAACACTATAATATACTTATATCATCGAGATGACAATATCGTTTTGACAATTTCCCAGTGTATCGATTCGATACGCCGTATGATTTTTTTTTCCACGTGGATCGTTCGCCGTCCGCCGAGTAAAAGTAACGCGTCGTTCAGTCAGGGCAAAGGGTCGTCGCGACTCCCCGAACGATGCAATGTCCTTTCGTCCTGCTGCACGGCGGCACGGCTTACCCCGGACGACACGATCACGTCACGCGACCGTCGATGACGTTAACGGCGGCACGTGCCGCCCGTAACGATGACGTCGGACCATAACATTATATTATAGTATCGTTATTACGCGTTATCGGGTGAAGTTTCGCGGTGTTAACAACTATACTGGTAAAACAGCCATTTACAGTAGCCGGATAACCGCGGCGTGTATATATGTCACGACTTGCGGGCTATTATACCTATATTATAATAACATGCAGTCTTAAAATAAAACGCGCGGTTCCAAAACCCTATACGAATAAAAAAATATAATAATCGTGCAGTAGGTACTGTTATTTATTATCGTTGTAAAAATAATAAAATAGCATTAATAATATTACTGAAAGGAGGCGATAACTATGTTGTATAGTTTTACGTTACAACAATATACGAACAGAGTTAACTCTATTACGCGTTACTTTTTCTGCGGTAACTTAACGAGTTACTATTTTATCGGTTTAAAAATATTATATTCGAAGTGACGCGTGTTTCGAAAATAACCATTAATAATTTATGCGTCTTGAGATTAATTAAAAATATTATTAAACGTTATGTTTAAAATTGTTATAATATTTTCTACGCTTTTATTTGACGGGTACCTACGCACTCATAATCATATTTACGAGGAATAATAGTATAAAGCATTTAACTTGAAACATTTAATTATAAAATATTTTTATGAAAATATATTACGAAAAAAAAAATTACTTCTTATTTGAAACTAAATAGCCTTAACTAAGTTACTTTGTTCCTCAAGCTACTTTTAAGCTTAATTTATAGTTCTCTATTAAGCATAAAAGGAAAACAGGTAACTTTATTAACTTAGTTAGTTACTACATAAAATCGAGTAACTTGTCCAGCTTTGAAGTCAGTATAATAAGGAGCTACTGGCTTCGGTAAGTTTTATTCGGGGAGGAGGAGGTACAGTCTTAGAACTGTTCAAAATACTGTCTACTACTGTCTTCTCAAAATACAAATCTGAGCTTATAGTTTAAACGATATTCGTATACGGTTCTAAAGTTCTCTTAGCGCAAAACCTGCAAGTACGTTTGGGAATGTTTATAATAGATATTTTGGTTACCTGACAAAACAACAACATTGTGCTCGAAACGATAATATCGATAAGTATACTTAAATTGTTAACACCTCGAAAACGCGATTGTTATCTTTTTTTTACTCGTCCGCATTTATCCCGCGCAACACGCGTGGTCGGCTGCTTTTATTCTTGCCCTCCGCGTCTCCCCATCGATTTTCCTCGTCTACCTATATAGTATTATACACGTATTCTTTCTCGCGTTTCCCTTGTTCTTTTTCTTCTAGCCTCTTTTCCTCTCCCGCTTTTTACATCGATATTCGCCCTACTTGTCTCGCCCGTCTCATTAACCTATATGTATGTTGTTTTTTTTTTCTCCCGCCGTACTACAGCGACACGACATCGACGGAAGAAACGCGCACCGTGACGATGGTTCGCAGGATGGACGGGTTCGGGTTCAGCGTGGTCGGCGGCCACGGTCAGCTACCGGTGTACGTGAAGACGGTGTTCTCCGGTAGCGCGGCGTGCGCGAGCGGCCTGTGCCGCGGCGACAGGATCCTGGCCGTGGACGGCGTGCCGGTGGACGGCATGGGACACGACGAGGTGGTCGCGATGCTCAACGAGGCGACCCCGTCCGTGACGCTCACGTTGCGGTCGTAATAATATTAGTATATTTTATTATTGTCAAAGCGATCGCGTCGCCACTTACACATCATCGTTATGCCATTTGTACATACCATTATTATACTACTATTATTATAATATCAACCGGGGCCGCCTTAATCATACTACACACACACACACACACACATATATACATACACACACACACACACACATATACATACACACACATACACACGTTTATAATATGTTACGTATACAATATTGTATATTATTCGCGATAGTATTTTATGTTATCATAAACGAGAATAATAATATTATATTATTATCAGGGGGACCAGGTCGTTATATAATATAAATGTTTAATGTTTATGTATATACAGAGTGATTCTTTTATCGCGAACCTGCAATTTTCTATTGTAAATTTGATTTCTGATTTCCCCCTCCCCAGTCATTATGAAATTGTTTAAGAGCGGGCTCTGCTCGTGGTTTTTTTGTTTATACATTTTTAACAGCTATCGATAACAAATTGTTAATATTTACAATTAATGAGTCTTCTCAATATTCTAACCAGATAGTTTAATCAATTTTAATTTATTGTATTTGTGGTCTCTTTATTGTGTCGGTACGTTTTTTTGTGGCTAAAACACGCTTTGAAAGAAAAAAACAAGTTTTCTTGCATGCAGTTAAACTTGTAACCGAAGACCACAACAAAATTGGTTGAAAACATTATAAACAATCGGTCATATCCAAACTCGAATACTGTAGCGTTTAGAAATATAATATTCAAAATTCAAATCCAAGTAAGAAGTCTTCCATTTTGCAACAAAAAAAAAAAAAGAAAAAAAGAAAAGAAGATTATCGAAATCGATACAAAGCACAACAGTGTTCCCCCGTACAGCGTGTTTTTAAGCTGAAAAAACAGATCACGTGCTCCTGAGACCCTTTTAGTATTATTTAATCGACGTTTTGAAATGTTTATCCCTATACCTTAAACGATGTTTAACTTTTGATTTTCAAGCGACAGTCACCCCTCATCTCCCATTCAATACTATACAGATTCGAAAAAAAAAAAGAATTGTTCTTAAAGTTTCGATAAGTATGACACGATATATAACTGTTTATAATATTTAAACCGGAGACGCAGCCGCGTAATATGTATGCTCTGTACAGGATATTATAAATTGATCGTAATTAACGGTGATGGATTGCGATAAAAAAGTCACCATGTATACACATAACCGTTGTTGTTGTTGTTTAATGTTTAATTTCCCCGGCCCCGTTTTTTTCCTGTTCGCCCGTGCACGGACAAACGAGCGCGTCCGAAAAAATCATCTTCCGCGATGCTTGCCGATAATCGAGAATTTTTTCTTTCTTTTTTATATATATATATACATGTAATATGAATAATATAATATTATAGGTATCATTGAGATAATGAGATCACTATAGATAATATTATTAGAAAAATGTTCGTTATTAATACCTGTACCGTAGGGTTATGCTCACGTGATAGGTACCTATAATATTTTACCTATACATTTTTATTATATATAGTGTATTTTATAATTATTATTATTATGTAAATTACCTTTACGAGTTTTTCAAATGTATATTAACCCTTCGTTAGGTAGGTGAAAAAATGTTCAGAAAATCGTTTTCCAGCCGGCTTAAATGCTATTTATAATGAAAACTATAAGACTAACTTAGATAAAAAGTGGTTGATAGGTATGTTGACTACTACATTCATTGAAAATATAAACATTTACAGTGTGACTTTTTGGTCACTTTTTTTTTATCGGTTTTTAAAATGCTCTGATTTGATAGACCTGACCTACCTAACAAAGGGTTAAAAAAAAAAACCAATAACTATGTCGCGTCAATGCAATTTTTATTCAATTAATCGTTATAATAATATTATTGTTATTGTTATTGTTAAGCCAAGCGTATTGTATGCGCAAATAGTTTTTTTCTTTATTAATTAGGAGGCGGCTATTTTGCAAAATATAACTAAATCGCAAATAGAATCCCGGACTCTTTGGGGAAGAGTTAATCGCGTAAAAAATGGTTTCAGACAAAAAGACTAGTCGCGATCAGTCCCCTTATAAATACGTATAACACATAGACGGGGAAATTAATTTTCTGTTTTAATAGAAAAAGAAAAAAAAACAGAAATCCAGTTATATGTCACTACCTACAAAATATAGTGAATACCGAGTAGGATTTTTTTTGCACAGGGGAGGGGGTTTAGTTTCCGTGGTATCGGCACCCGTTTATACGGCCGTATCGTTTTTCTCTAGTTATCTCATATTATGATTAAGATTGTATTCGAGCGGCACGCCCACGTTTTATACAAAAAAAAAAAAATAAAAATATCGCACTTAGACGAAAATCATACAGGCAATACGCTGTAATCAACACGTTTAACGACAAAATAATATTATATTAATATTTTTTATAATATCGTGTACTACTAAGGTAACAGTGGACCGCTGTGGTACACGTATAAAACCGTGTATATTTATAGTCAGGTTACGTACCCCTATTAGATTTAGATCGTATTTTTATAGTGGTAGCTTATATTATACTATGTACTTAATTTGCACAACACGAAAAATTATTATTATTAGAGCGTTTTGTTCCGAGTGAATTATATATTATTATTAAAATTTTAAAGTATTTGTAAATTTGTTAAATTTTTATAATATTGTAAAATATACGAAACCGCGTTGACTTCGTTTAGTATTATATACAAAACATTTTATATATATATATATATATATGTATTTATGTGTATATATATATACATTTGTCTTTTGTGATAATAGAATTAAGACTGAACATAAAAATTAATCGTGTTTAAAAAAAAAACGAAGATGAACATTTTTATTTATTTATTTTTGGTCTCAACCTATAACGTTTAGGTGCACCTTCTTGACAGGGTCACGTTTCTTGCATAAACTTTGTAGAATATTATATTATTATTATTGTATAAAGGCACTTTTTAACATTTTTATTAAAAAAAAATCCGTGTGCCAACATTATTTATTAATATATATATATATATTACATTGAATTTGTTATTAAATTATTATTACCTATTATTATAGTGATACATAATATTATTATAATATATTAAATACGTTTGCATTCCTTTTTTTTTTTTTTTTTTTGGTAGCTTATAATATGTAACATAATAATTTTTTTTAACACATTTTATTAATTATGGTGACAATTTTTTTCAATATTTTATCTATTTAAATACATTAGTTTTTATTTATTATTCTTTAAATATTTGTATTAATTCCTATCAAAATTTTTGTCCGAATAAATACATAATTTAACATATGATTGTGTGTAATATCCTATATTTTGTTTCGTTTTTTTTTGTTTTAAAACCAGTAACAAAGCGGTGGTGTAAACGTGTGAAATCTTTGTTCGAATAAGTAGCTTTCAAACAAAAAACTTTACCCAATTTTTCTTTTCTGATATCGAATCATTAGTAAAATATCTGAAATTGCAGTGTGTACATTGTAATATACTATTATAATACAATTTTTTTAATGATAAATATGAAACATCACTGAAAACTCTTCAGAGTCCAAAACTAATTTATTAATCAACTAAAAGCAACTTTATATTACAAAACTTTAAACATGTATTTACTACTACTATATAACAAACTTGTTTAATATGTGGGTACTGAGACATATATTATATGTTGGCTTAATTATATAATATGTCATGTTTTACATGTTCTGATACTTATTGTTATATATTACATACTTTTTTTTCGTATTACAACTATATTTATTAATATTATAATATTGTGTTCTTACTATGTACATAATAGCAGAAAAACGTATATTTGAAAATAAAATTATGAAAAATTAGGATGTATATAAAGACAGGTGCGGACTAGCTGGAGTATTGGGATGCACCATATGTCAAAATGTACTTGCCATAATTTGTTTGAATTTACCTTAAATTAATACATCTCTTTAAAATAAATATTAATTTTTAGTAAAAAAGTTTTAGTTATCTGATAATAATTCATAGAATAGTTTGTTTATAATAATTCAATAAACCATTGATTATCTTACACTACTTAATATATTAGCACTTTCTATATGTGAAATTTTTAAATTATTTGAAATTGTCTATTTTTTTTTTTTATGTAGATAACAGTAAATTTTACAATCTACATTTATCAACATTTTATATTTAAGTACGTTTAAAAAAAAAAATGATTTACTACAAAATAAGATACAAATTTCAATTTATCGAAAAAACATATTGAACCAAACTTACTTTAGAATTATTTTTGTTTGCACTAATTTTTTATCGACTACAATGTACAGATATGAATTAAATAACTATATAATGTATACTCCGTTCGGAATAAAAACGTCCCGGGGCGGTGATTAAAATAGATTTACCGCCGCGCCGCACAGTGGAGAAAGTACAAGAAAGCTGGCCAAAAGTCGAAATTACAAAATGAATAGAGGTTCCTCGTAAATATATTTACATTGTAGCTTACTTATTGATTTATGAAACTATATTGATAAAATCTGGTTCATGCTCTTTCCCTTTCCATACAATAGGTCTAAACTCGATCATTTTAAAATTGAATAATTTTGTTTCAAGTGCCGTATAATATTGTTAAAGCTCGTATTCGTTTTATTTTTTGTTATTACCTGTTATAACGACACTTCTGATTTCAAAAAAGCTCGTCGTTTCTAAGTAATAAGTCTTGATCCCCAGTGAAAGTGTTTCGCGTTGTAGTCTAATAAACGAGTAATTTGATACAAATATTTAAAAAAAATGTAAAAGGAAAGAATATATATAATTATTGCAATAAGTTGACTAATGCGTGTTAAAAATATGTTAGAAAATATTTTTTATGTTTGAATTTTAATAAATGGTAACTAACAACTCACTAAATTAAATTAATTAAAATTGTTATTACAAAACTTATTACTTAAAATGTTAATGAATCTGAGCATTATTTTTATATTACAAATTAGGCTACAAAAATACTACACCAGATGAAAGAAATTGTGTCTAGTTAACTTGCAGCTCATTCAATTGGTGGAACACTTGGACTTCATCCCAAATAAGTTCTACAAAAATCAGTTATCAAACATGTGATTAATTATATTATTGATGAGAATACATTACACAATAATTGCTAATCAATTTAGTTGAGAATTAAAAGAATTAATTTCCATACACTTTATTCAAGATGCAATTTTTTATTCAGTGATTTTATTATAATAGAACAATTTTATTATTTCTAATTAATTAATCAAAAAGTCTTTTAATATTAAAATTAATCATGCATTTCTTATTAATTATTTAGTAGAATTGTTCAAACAATAAACATTTTAAATGAAATAAAAAGAAAGAAGCTGGAATAAATAAGTCATGTGTGGAGAAAGCAAGAATCCATGATTAAAAAAAACGATATGCCGAGATAATTTAGGAGCTTTGTTTATAAGGTTGTAGGAAGCAGGACTTTTATAGTATCTTAGGTCAGGAACAAGGAAATTTTGACTGGAAGAATATAGTAGTGGATGGAGAAAATTAAAGCTTATTCAGCAAGTTAATCCCAATGATAGTAAAAACAAATTTATTATTTTTATACTCAACTTGTATATAATTTCCTAATTACCACATGGTTTTATAAGTGTTCAATACTATCTATGCAAAAATTAAAACATACTATTTTAAAATGATTTTATTGATTATTTCAAAATTAATGATACATAAACAATAAAATGAGGTTAAAAAAAAGGTGCTTTTTAAAATAAGAATTAATAATAAATACTGTGGATTGTCTGTGGTAACCTAAAAGTATTCAAATTAAAGTATTAGAAAACGCTCAAAAATATAGTAACCAGGACATACAATATTGAGTTATTTACAATCAATAGAAAAATGTATAAAAAGCTGTTCTAAGATAATGGAGACCAATGCAACCACTGTTATAGGTGAGAAGTTGGAAAAGTAATAGAGGGGAAATTTAATGCGGATCCGTAAGTTACGATTATTCATTGAAAACGAAAAACCAATTATGAGCGGAGTTTGGTTGATATTTTCGGTGTACCTATTTTCTCGTTTTCATCCTGGTTTCTCATTTCTTAGGAAAACTGAGAAAATCAAAAACTGACCTCCCTAAAGTACCTCCTCAATAGTCAGATTTCCTTTTAGAGAAAGTGTTATCATTATAAATCAGAGCAAAATTGCAGGTATAAAAGTTGTCCACAGAATTTACTACTTAGAATTTGAATTTATGTGATACACTAACCTTTCCATATTTCTTCATGTAACTCCGTATCTTCAAAACTTTGATCATAGAGGGGTGAATTTGGTTCATCTGATGGATCAGCATATTGTTGCAGATACGGATGTGCAATAGCTTTTTCAGCAGTTATTCTTTTGTCAGCATCCAGTTCCAACATCTCTTCTAACAATTTAATTGCTGCGGATATTGTACAGATAAAAATATTAAAAACTAAAACAGCGATTTTAATATTTAAATTTNATTAATATCAAACAAGTGATAAATACAACACACAAACCTCCGAACTCTTAATTTTATCTAAGTATTCAACGGATGGTGCTCCACACAAAATTAATACACGATTTAAATGATCCACATCTAAGTTTTAACGCTGTTAAGGATTATAAGCTTAACTTTATAATATGATCATCTGCTGATACTTACCGAATCACTTGATATTTTTTTCATCAATTCACTCGATGGATTACCTAATATTTCCAAAATCAAACTCAATTGGTTTATGTCTTAAATTTCCCATAAGAAAAATATATTTTATGTTAAATTTTCTTCAACACTAACATAAAACATCCTAATTCTTTTAAAAGGATACGATCTATTCCTGGGAATAAAGTTCTTCCAGTCAAAAGTTCAGCCATAATACAGCCCACAGACCATATATCAACTAAAATTATAAATAGACAATAACTATTTATTTGTATAGTACATGGGTAACAATCTATATTGAAAACTTTAAGATAACAAACATAAAATTGCATATTGTGTTGTGCATTGTTTTATTTTAAGAAGAATAATAATTTTTATGATGTAAGTCAATGATTTTAGTCAATGTTAATTTCAATATTTATAAACTAAAACTAGAATTTATAAATTAAGATTTAATGAAATCAGGTATTAAGTTATTATATTATTAAAAATATGAATTGATAGTGATTGAAGTTAAGTAATTAAATAAGTCATGCAAACAAATGATACATATTGTTACATATATATATATATATATATATATATATATATAGATAATATTTTTTAATAATCATAAGTCATTGCAATTTAAAAAAAAAAAATATTCTAATTTATTGCTTTAATAATTAAAATATTATAATAAATAATTCTTATATCTTTAGGTAGTGAATACAAAAACTATACCCGTTTGGTTGTAATGCATCCAGTTTAACATGATTTCAGGTGCCCTATACCACCTGGTAGCCACGTATCCAGTCATTTCACTTTCAGTTGATCTTGCCAATCCGAAATCCAATATTTTTAACTCGCAATCTTCATTCACGCCAATATTTGATGGTTTTAAATCCTAGGGAAATTAGATAATCAGTATTAAATGATAATAATAGATCACTTTTATCATACCCTGTGGATAATTCCTGCAGAATGAATATACTTCAAACCCCGTAAAATTTGGTAAACCAGAAACTGGACATGGTCGTCAGATAATTTTTGTGTACGTATGATATTGTTCAAGTCGGCTCCCATTAAATGTGTAACTAAATACCTAACGCAAACAATTTTTAATGTTTACATTGTTTTATGTTGTTATACATTATAAACTCACAATTGTTTAAAATTACTTAAAGTATTTGCGGGTGTGAAAGCATCTAATAATCCAATTACCTAAAGATGAATAAAAAACGATAAAATATTAAATTATTTTAATAACATATTTGTTATGTTCATTAAAAAAAAAATTAACACTTTTAATAAAACACGTTTGTTAAAAAAAAGATTGTCATACCTCGCATGTGGGTGCCACCACTGCTCTAGGTGGAGATTTGGAAAGGCTGCATCCGAGTTCTGCCCCAATTACCTTTTTTATACCAATTCCGACCCCGGTGAAAAAAAGGTATATACCAATTCCGTTCCGAGTTAAAAAATAGGCATATACTAATTCCATACCGATTAAAACTGTCTTATTCATGTTAAAATACTTTAATGGTATACAAAATATTCAAACGTAGTATATAGTTTCATAAATAAAAATTTGATATTGGATAAAGTTTATATGGCATGAAAAAATAATGATTTATATCGACATTTTTCTTATCAATGTTAAAATACAAAAGAAATTCAAATAAAATTATGGTTTTAATATATTCAAATTCGATTATTTAGTGTAATAACTGAAAGCAATATTGTTTTACTTCTAAATAATATAAAATGTTACCGTAGCCGTAAATTGTATATACTATATTAATAAAGTGTAGAATGGGACGGAATTTGAGTGACTAAATAAATTACACGAGATGGAATCAGTATATCCATTTTAAAAAACCCGGACGAATTAGTATATCCTTAAATTCAAATTTTACACTTGAAACGGAACTTGGATGCAGCCGTTGGGAAGTTACGGTACAGAAAGAAATTGAATGTATATCTGTAAGCAACTATAAACCATTCCTAACGAATAACGATTCTGAGCAGAGTTCAGTTGATATTGATGCTTTGTCTACAATTTATATGTCCTATTATGATAAATAATTAAATAGGCATTATATATTTTCTTTAATAATATTTGTTTAATATTGTACCGATTTTCCCGATTTCCATATGTTTTTTCCATTTTTTCACATTTGCTGGGAAAACTCCTAAGAAAATTGAAAAATAACTTCCTTAATGAACCTCCCCAAGAAAATTCCCTTTTTAGAAAAGGGTCTAAATCGTATACATCATCGGAGTAAGATTTCTAGTAGAATCTTTGTACACAATATAAAAAAGAAAAAAAGAAATAAACATGTAAAACCAACACATTCTTCGGTACACTCAGAATCTAAAAGTGACGTACGTCACTTTTCAAAACATGTATAACCACTATAAACGAACTTCGCTCCGAATCGTTTTTCGTTATCGATAGTTTATCGTCAGTAACCGGTATAAAATAAATAACTTTGTTTCCATCTTCCACCACTAACCACCAATCTCCGTGGCAGTGCCAGTCCCTAGTAGCAGTTTTTTTTTCTGTCTGCATAATGAACCTCTAATCGAGCACCAATATGAGCAATTTGCCAGACAGCCGCCGCCACTACCATTACTATATTAAATCATTTTAAGTGATTTTTAATTTATTTATCGCACGCAACGTACGTGTAATCGTTCAAAATAATTAATCGTCACGTTTTCTTTTACTTCAATAAAAAATTGACAAGAGGTCGATTTTGTTCCTTTTAACACTAGCCTCTGACAAAGAAAGTTTGTTTTTTGATATCTAAAGTATTTTTCATAATAATTATTGAGAAAAACCAAAAAATACGAAGTATACGATTTTTTTAAATTATGGCACAATGGTTTCATTATTTTAAATTTGTATGGCTTATGTTTTCTACCATAAACATTGATCCCAATAGACAAACGACAACGACAAGAAACCTTTTCATTTTACATTTTTAATCTAGTTGGTGACCAAACAAATAGATTTTAATTTTCTGTGTAGTTTTATTAAAAATTGAACATAATTGAAATAAACCGTAATATAACAGGACATTTTACAAAAATAATATTTCTATTATTTTAAATTTTGAAAATTTTACGAAAATAGTCATAGAAAATACTTACCTTTTCTAGACGTGATAAAATGTTGAAAACATTTGAATTATTTTTAACCTCTATAGAAATTTTAATTTTGCTACTTTTTTAAGTAATTTTTATTTGGTAGGTAAGTTATAAGATAAGTAGAGAAGTTGTTAGAATTAACAGAAATGCTTGAAGATTTGACGGGAGGTTCATTAAAATTCGTACTTTACGGACAAAAATTGTCGAGTAAAAAATTATGTAGAACCAATCTAGTAAGGTGCATAAGGTCCATGCAAATTTTACAATTTGTGTGTAATGCAGTATTTTTTTTTTTCTTTTATACATTTTGACGAAAATCGAATTTATATTTACGGCCTTTATTACTTGTATAACAGAACTTTGCTCCGATTTGTTTTTCGTTATAAATGGTTTATCATTGGTTACAGGTATAACACAGATATCTATATTACATTAGATAAGGTACTTTTGGCACTTAACATTATGATTAGTGAATTACGGTGGTGCGTACTCATCCACACGTCCGCCATTTTCTCGAATGGCAAAACAATGATTTATTCTTATGAAATAGGTACGTACAAAATTAAACTTTTTTTTAATTTTATTGAAACTAATATAATCAAAATTTATGTAACGGGAAACAATTATTATTGTATTGGTTTCTAAAATATTTTTGTTACATTGTTAAGCAAAAGTTCTCACACCGCATCGACGTAATAAATTATGTATAAAATAAAAATAATATACCTTATATTACGTATTTTACCTGTATATCACGGCATAATTAATTAATCAATACCTATAGAGTATATATATTATATTATTTATAATACAATAATACTATAAAATATTGTACAATTATATATACATTAATTAATTTTATTAAATAAGTGTGTATATAATCATTACAATGTTTAATAGGTATAAAAATGAAAATAAATTATTGGGCGACTATTGTCAAATTCTTGTGCTTCGAAGCACAAATTATAATTACCTATTGGTTATTAAACAATATTCATTTAATGAGCACCCGGCGTTTGCAAACAGATTAGTCTGGTAATTTGATAATATAATGTAAACGTATTTTAAGATTTTGCCTATAAGTTATAGATATTGAATTTAATTTATGGTTTTCAAGGAAGCCATCATTTAAACAATTTAAATGTTTAAAAATACGAGTACCACTATAGTTTTTAGCATAAATAACCGTTTTAGAATTTAAACCTGATTTTAGTGATTTAAAATTATTTTTTTATTCATTCTCTTTTAAATAAATATATCAAAAATTGTAAAAATGTACAGTGTAAGAATAAGTTTTTGAAAATATAACAAATTAAACTAATACATACATTTTCATGATTCATATGCTTTAATATACGAAGCTCTCGATATGTGCGCATAGCATGGACCGCTGTCTGGAATGGCCGAGTCAGTTTTTTTATGGCAACTTTCAATCCGGTATAGCTATCAACAGCAGAACTAAAAATAATAAATTAACAATGTATATTGATCGATGGAAAAATAAATAAATTAATTAAGAGGTTGTAACTTGTATGCAATACCAAACTTGTCCATATGCACCCACACCAACGAGAGTCAGCATCTGGTACCTGTCGGGCACTTCCCATTCGCTGTTATTGATTTCAGTCATGTAATATCTCATTGTAAAAATATGCCTTTGAAAAATTTGTCGTAACTAAAACATAACAATTATAGGTACTATTAAACAAACGCGATACTCGAGAGTCGAGATAATTATTACGATTAACGACAATTATCGTATTATCGTTGTTATGAAGTTTCTGAGTTCGATTAGGCCACTGCCAACGCTTCTGCGCCTTGCACTTTTAGCAGTGCTTTTTTATATTCAAGAATACTGATAGAGCAAAAAGTCACATCGCCGTTACTTTGTTACTGCGACAACAGTGTCGCTGTTAGTAACCGTGACGTATAAAATTATTAATCGTGACTTTGTGATACGCAACATTCGGGCTCTCCCTTCCACAAATGTGACGTCATTCGTTTTCAACTTTTCAATTGATATTTATTATTATATTATCAACAGTACCAATTTAAATTAATTTGAAAGTCAGTTACTGAAATTCGAAGTAAAATGCAGATATCGTAGTGCAGTTTTTTCAATGTAATATGTATGACTAAATAGCCTTCCTTTTATAATAGTCTAAAATAAAATAAAAATTTCAAGAACCGCTAACATTTTTTCTTAATTTTAAACTTTTTAAAAATTCGAAAATAACCATTTTGTAGAGTTATTTGTTGAAAGTATAAAGAAAAAAACAATTTTGAAATCGGATGAATTTTGAATGAATGAATGTAATTTCTATTTATAAAACAATTAATCTATACTGCATAAATGTCAAAACTTATACTCATAAATTAAAGATAAATAGCCTATAATTATTACTATTTTGAATCGTTTACATTTAAAATTATTTAGATGCTGAGCGTAACGAACTTCCAGTTATAATATAAAAATTATTAAATTATTTTACTAAAATAATGTTTTTATATATATATGGAATAAAATTTTAAAAAAAACTTACCAGTATAGTAGTTCTTATCGTCGTATAACAAAACTGGGTCATACATTATAATAAAGTACACAGAAACAGAACGAACAACGAATTCTAGAAATACAACGTAATATTGTTCGACGTACAGTAGAGAAATATTCACTCCCATAAAGTTAACAGCACAACCATAACAGACACTTATGAAATACATCCAATAAATTTGTTAGTAACTTGTTGGACATTGTTGGGTTACTCCCAGAATTTGTTAGACGTTGTTTTTGCCGTTAGAGCTTTAAACACTTTTGTGCTGCTAACTACACTCTAACAACACAACTTTACGTTAGGACAATTTTACCATAATAAAAAATATCGAGCTTAATTTGTCTGACATTGTTGGACCGTTTCGAGATTTTGTTGGACTTTGTTTTCGCCGGTGGAGCTTTTTCAATGTTGTGCTGACAACAGTACAACTTTATATTAGCTAAATTATAATACATTGTTATACGTCGCTGGTTAGGTTATGCTACCAATAAAGATTAGATTTATGTAGATTTTTGTGTACAAAATAATTCGTGATTTTTGATTGATTGAAACATACTGCATTAAAGTTTTCTTTGTTTTATATTTCTAATAAATATATGAAATTGTATAATAGTTAAATATGTTTACTACCTACATGAAGTAATATGTGTTTACTATGTAAATTCATTGTATTCATTATGTATTTATTTTACAATATTATGACATTATTGAAAAATGAATACTATTTACAAAATTCCGCTCAGTTTTTCATAAGTTAGATATAAATTAAATTACCCTCTTAATCCTACCTTACCAATTACTCACCTACAACAATGGCTCACCCGTGAACAGTACCTGTATTTGTTTTTTTTTTTATGTAAGTGAAACTACTTTACAAAGGTACGAAAAAAGAAAAGATTGTCGCGCGTCACGGACCACCCCTTTTACATACAGCAACCCGTCACCCGTGCATCGGTTAACCAGTCACATACCAACCACAGTCACATACACACACTCACATAACACACAATGTGTAGGAAACAAATACATTTATTCATTGTTTATATTATCTAAACAGAGCCGGACTCGTGTATGGCCGGCAGCAAATAACTTTCGTGAGAAATAACGTTTTCGTTATCTTAAGTTGTTTTTGTACATAAACCTTGAAAAATAGCATTTTTGAAATTAATCCAAAATGTGGTCAAAAATATAGATTATTATTATTATTATTTACAGTTATTAATACTTTGACAAAAAAGTTTTTTTATCGAAGTCAGAATAGATCTATCTGAATAAATTTTAGAGTTACAAACATTCAAACGAGCCGTATTTCGCTGCGCTCACTTGGACAATCTTAATCAAAAATAACCCTCTCGATTTGTTTTGGAAAGTCACGTTGGCTAGGTAACAGGGAAAAGTTAAAAGCATTTTAGATGGAATTAGTGACCCAATATGGTCACTTTCGAGGGTTATTTTAAATTAAAATTGTCCGAGCGAGCGTAGTGAAACACGGCTCGTTTGAACGTTTGTAACTCTAAAACTAAGCCAGGAAACTTTGTTATCAATATATCAATAACTACAAATAATAATAATAATAATAAAAAAATGTCTATTTTTGACCACATTTTAGATTAATCCAAAAATGCTATTTTTCAAGATTTATGTACCAAAACAATAAAAATATGATAAGTAAGTTTTAATTATACTAATGAATTAAGCATTAAAAATATATAAATTTTGGAAAAAAATTCGCGTGGAGGAGTTAAACTAAAATTATGCCTACATTTTTTACATACACTAATTAAACAACTATGCTAATCTTAAAATTAACACTAAGATTTCTGGTAAAAAATAATTTTGGCCCGCTAGAACTCGAACTTACCTAGTTCTCTCACTACGACGTGGTTTTACATAACAAATCGGGATTTATTTTCAATTTTTTCTATTTTAAAGTTTTACTATTCATGGGAATTACCGAAGGTTTGTTAATTGGTTAAATTTGTAATTATTTGTTTTTTTTCTCTGATACTTGTCAAAATACATTTTGAAAAAAAAAAATCGTTATTATACTAAATTAGAATATTGTATCGTTTCATTATTTGTGTCTTGTATTATTTATAGTGCCATACCTATAACAGTCCACAAGCCGCTATAATTTTTAAAATAATAGTTCCCAGAAAAAATCTGACTGACCCAAATTAATTAATTTCTAGAAACAAATTGGTCATTCGGTTTACGGTTGGCGAAGTATGGAGTTTTTGGCCGAATTTGCTACGTTTTGTAGTACAACGCCTGTCGCGCCATCTACTTTTCCCATCTCTTCCATAAATTACACGTGCAATTAATATCTTATACTCATAGATACAAAATGTTATATCTATTTTATGTATATTTTATTTCTGTGCTTTTACCCTTGTGTAATGTGTACACTTTTAAGTTCCTTTTCAAAATTCCTAGGCGTTAATTGTAGTACTTAATTAATGTACTATATTAATTAATTAATTTATTCAAAGCCCCAAAAGAAAATTATATTTTTACAGCTTGGAACCATCTTATACCATTTTATTTGAGTCTGTAGTGTTAACACAGTTGTGATAACGGTAGATTTTAATATCAGGAACTCTGATATCGACTGATATGAAAATTCAAAATATTCCATCCACGTGCCCTCGTAAAAAATTATTGTATTTTTACGAATCGTTTATTATCTATAAGTTTTGGTGCCTGTGAAGAGTACTTACATTATTATGGAGGACAACTCCAAACCATCGGATTTTACATTGATTGACACTCATGGTTTTAAGAATAATAAAAAGGTATGTGATTTTAGAAACCATTTAGTAAATGATTTGTATTATTGCATTCAATTTATTTATTATATATAATATATTGTGTGATACTTCTGTGGAAATTAGGTAAAACGAGTTCTGCCAGAATGGCTAGCTAAGCCCACTATTGTATCAGTTGATTTAAATAAATTGGATGTGCCCATTGAGGGCATACAAGAGTTGGATCCTGCTTTAATTAAAAAATTGCGAAATAAAGGCTATACTCATTTTTTTCCTGGTAATAAATTTAACATCTCTTTTATTTCAATAGCCTTAAATTTTTGTTTTATTACAGTTCAAACTCAACTAATACCGTGGTTAATAAATGTCCAACAATTTTGGTATGACAGGTGGCTTAGGGATGTGTGTATTTCGGCACCAACCGGTAGTGGAAAAACTCTATCATATGTTCTTCCTATAATACAGGTTTGACTAAATTATTTAAATCTGTACTCTTTGTTTAAATTATTGTTTTAATATTTATTCAAATCTTTTTGTAGACATTACAAGAACATACTACACGTCAGCTTCGTGCTCTCATAGTATTGCCAACCAAAGATTTGGCTGTACAAGTATTCAAAGTATTTTCGTATTTTATTAAAAATACCTTTGATTTAAAAGTTGTTCTTCTGGAATCAACAAAATTAACATTAATAAAGGAAAAAGAAAAGATTCTGCGATATGGTAATTATTACACGGGCAATTTATAATATTATCTAAAATATTCTAGATATATTTATATTTAATACTTGATGACAGATAAAAAACGTGGATGGATAAGCCTCGTAGACATAATCGTGACTACTCCTGGACGTTTGGCTGATCATATATATTATACCGAAGGATTTTCTCTTAAATGTCTTAGATTTCTTGTTTTAGATGAAGCTGATAGTTTTACAAATATATTACAAAATGATTGGCTATATCTGGTTAACGATAGTTTAGGTAAACTAAACCATATTAAATTATTATCCATATTTTTATTTTTATTTATTACATCTATCATTTTTATTTAGCTTATAGTGGACCTACAATTTGCAATTTAAATGTACTAGAAAAATTTCCTCAAAGAACACAAAGATTGTTATTTTCAGCCACACTCACACAAGACCCTGAAAAGTTAAAATTTCTTAAACTTTTTGAACCTAAATTATTCACATCGATTATAAAAAGGAAAAATACTGAATTATCTGCTGGTAATATAAACTTTAAAATTATAAAATAATGTATACAATACACATTAAATATTGTGTTTACTTTAGTTACTGCCACCGATGAACCAGTACGCGGTGATTTTGTTGGGAAATACACAACACCCAAAGAACTCAAAGAATACATGGTATTATGTCCTGAGGAAAATAAACCTCTTACATTATATCACTTGATAAGAAGTAAAAGTCTTAAAAGAGTGATCTGCTTTGTTAAATCAAAACTAGAAGTGCACCGTTTAGCCAGACTTTTGTGTAAACTTAGTGAATTGGATACAAATAATTCACCACTAAGAGTAAATGAAATTTCTTCGGACGTATCTCAAAAAGTTCATTCAAAATATATTAAACAGTTTTCTGCTGGTAAAATTGATGTGTATGTTTTCATAGCTATCTGATTTTAATTATTGTTTGCCAATAATTACATTTATTTTACAATTTACACAGGTTAATTTGTACAGACTCATTAGCACGAGGTATAGATATTGACCAAATATCTTGTGTAATATTATACAATGTACCGAAGTATCCAAAAAATTATATTCACAGAATAGGTAGAACAGCCCGTGCTGGCCATAAAGGAAAAGCCATTACATTTGTCATTCCAGAACATGTAAACTATATTTGATATTTTTCATACTTATATTTATGTATAGACATTTTTTTTATTTTATCGCAGGAACAATTATTCCATAAAGTTTTATACTCTGCGGGTAAAACTAGTGTGAAAAATATAATTGTGGATGTTTCGAATTTAGAGCAATATGAACAAATGTATATTGATGCATTAAAATCTTTAAAAACTGAATTAACCGTAAGTCAAATTTGCTTTAAATATTGTAACTTTATGTTAAATAATTTTATTTTACTATTTCAATTAGGTGAAATCTAAAGTAATCAATAAAAAAGTGCGGAAAAAAAATAAACCAGACAGTAAAATGTAAATTTTATGGCAATTTGTATAATTTATTAGTTTTGTTATTTTCAAATATTATTGATATTGATTATATGCATATTTTTACAAGAATCAAATTGGTTTTTCATTTTCTTATTGATTTAAAGATTAATAGTTTAAGTCGGTGAAAATAATTTATTCTTAATAATTGAATTATAAGTATAATGACAATAAAAACTTCGAAACCTTTTTCTTGATACATAATATAATCAGAAAACAACAGTAATCGCTATACTGTTGCAGTCTAACAGGCAGCAAAGCAAAATTACATTACTCAAGTTCAAACTAGTAATAGGCACTATCAAACTATTTGAAAGTTGGTTTCATTTGAATAGTTCACATATTCAATATTTTCTATAAAAGAAATAGTTTTTATTCTAATGGATTAGTTTATATATTTTCTTTTGTGAGTAAATTTTCTACTAAAAATCTTATTCTAATTAAAAAACAACAATAATTATACCTTTTTTGTTGCATTTGATATCTAGTTGGTGAGAATGATGGTATTATTTTTTTTTTATCTTAATAGATTTTAGGAAATGGTTCTGGTATATTTGATTTTTGTTTTTTGTTGTTAAAGAGTTCAAATTTATCATAGAGAGCTGAAATTTCCACAGAATATTTATATTAGCATTTTCTAGATATGATGAATTTTTTGACACTAAAATGTTAAAAAATGTAATCATTGTATTAAAATTATTATAAGTGATCAAAAATGAAAAGCTGAGCATAATACAGTTATTTTTAATCATAAGCGTTTTTAATATTCAAATTTTGACAAAATTCATAAATACATAAACATAAACTTCACTCAGAATCATAACTCCTAAAAGATCAATGTGCCAATTATATATTTAGTTATATTGAGAATGCTGAGTGTCGGTTTGTATACAAAGGTAAGGTTATTTGTCTTCTAAAAATTAAAAATGTCTAAAATTTATTTCATAATTAAAAAGTGGTAAATTTGAGCAAATGTTATATTAAATATACAATATTATGCATAAAAAAAAATAAAAAATAACAGCCCCCAAAAATTATCCTACTCCATTATATGTAAATAAAATAGATTTTCCATAATAACATGATATATATGCTAATTTCTATACTTCAATAAAAACCAACACTTACTCGGTCTTATATTTTGATTCACTTTTGTTAAAAAAAAAAAATTGTGTGTAAACACAAAAATAACTTAAATGTATAAAATGTGCAGTGTACCTAACACTGCACATACTGAATTTAAAACTAAGTAATCTGAGTGAGCCTCATCTGTTCTTGTCTGTTTAGTACCTATTGGCTATTCTATATTGTGAATATATTTGTCATTGTCAGGTATTTGGTGATATATAATAATGGTCATAAACTTATAAAATTATAATCAATAATTGATTATTAGTTGTTACTCGCACACTACACATAATAATAACTTCAAAACTAAGTCTCACCACCAAATTCTGACTTCACCATTATTTTCAGTACCTATAGGTACCTAATTACATGTTTGTTTTTCAATAATGGCCGAAAAAAAGATTTTCCGATAGAAATATTCCTACGTTTCTTAAGGTGGAAACACTTCAAAGATACTGGAAATCACAGTGGAAAGTTTATTATTTCTAACTGAATAGGATTATACAAATTATTTTGCGTTAGTCAAGACATTCCGTTCGTTCAAGTTCTGATTAAAAATAAATTACGTGGGTACCTAAGTATTTATTATTATTGTCTGACTATTGCGCGAGTAATATTTTCTTGGCTTATTTATTGAAATCTGTTTTTATTACTAACAAATGAGAGATAAAACTATTGGATATTGAGTAATTTGGATAGGTAGGTAGTAACAGTGTCAAAAATTGTCATTAGGAAGGAATGTAGCAAATAATAATGAATAAATCATAAGAATCGTTTTCTCTATGAAACTTCATTATGAAAACTTAAATGCTGTATAACAAAAAAAATCAAGCTTTTCCTTGCAATATGAATGAAAATATATACATTTCATATTAAATAAATAAATACATACACATAGTTGTTGCGTTTTTCAGCTAATGAAGAAAAATAACCCCTAATAATCCCTTGCACACATTGCTAGCCATGTACAAATATGAAAATAAAGCGTAGCAAGATATTATGGTGATTATAGAGAGATAATACAACATGAGTAGGTTAGGTTTATATATTTGTTTGTATGTTCAACTACTTTATAGGTAATAGTTTAAAAATTAAATAAGTAATACATATTATTTTAGATAAATTCATACTATATTTTTATATTTGTATTTAGTAATCTACAATTTTTAAATTATAATACATTTTAGTGAATGAAACAACCATACATGCATTAACTCTAGGTATAATTCAATTTTTTTCTTGTAGCCTCCAACCACTGGTCTTCCTGATTGTTTTGATCTTTTAGCAAACTTAAAATCTAATAATAAAACAAGTATAATCACCACATCAATTTAGAAAATCGATTTTCGAATTCAACCAACTGACCTAAAAAAAAAAATGTGTATATATTATTAATAAATATAAATTAATTCTTAAATATTTTTCTGTTTTTTTTTTCTTTACTAATAATTTCTCAATTATATATACCTAACTTAGTGTAGAAGTTAAATATTAAATAAAATAGTAATTACTTTCATCCAAGTTAACCAATTGTTTATTGCAATTTTTTTCTCCAGTTCTCGAGTTTTCAGTTACTATTGTTATACATTTTTGATTTCCGTCTTTCAAAACAGTTACATGTTCAGTAATTCCATCAAATAATTGTCTAGTGGTAGTTTCTTTTTCAATCATTTTGCCATTCCAATTTCCAAAAATACGACTATACGATTTACTATTATTCTGTAAATTAAATAACATAATTCAATATAAATCAATTATAGTTTCTTAATTAACTAAATAATTGTATACTGTATACCAGACCTGTCTAACATTTGGTGATAATCTTGGTGATATTGTCTCACTAGCCACTGGTTCAACCAAACTGATGATATTTAAAATTATTAAAACAAATTAAGAATAAACCAAAAATTTTAATTAGAGTATTTAGTTACCTAGGAGAGAGAAAATAATTTCTTGCTATGAAATTTTTTTTCGGTACACCATTATAATATTCTTCTTTATTTGATAATTGATTAAAATTTCCTAAATTAAATACAATTAACAAATATATAAATATTGTTATATTAAAATATTTTTGACAGAAATCCATAAAAATTTACTGTTTTCAATAAAGTTTACATTATCTTCAAAGGTACTATCGTCATCTGGAATTTGAAAACCTCTTAACATTTCTCCAAGCATTCCTCCAAGATCAACCATAACGTTTTTTAGTTGCTCATCAAAATCATTGGTCATTTCATCAATAAATGAATCTATACATTTTATTATATGTGATTATTAACCGTATTCTACAAATACTTTTTTAAGTATATTACAAATAAGAAAAAATTCTGTTATAGTAATTTATAGAATTAAAAGTTGTTAATTTAATAATACCTAAAATAATGTAGTAATCTCTTCTTAAAATTATAGTGTCAATACAATAAATAGTGCCGAAGAAAAACTTACAAGTGTAAAAATAAATAAGAGTTGATTAATTAAAACACAATATAATTAATTGATTATGTACTAAATAAAAAGAAAAATATAAGATGTTTTTATTACAAATTAAAATAGTTATTTTGTTAGTTCTAAAACTTTAAATTTGAATGTGTTATAAGAAGAAAAAAAATGTAATTCTGTAAATATTTTATCGGGCAGAAAATAAAAGCTCTTGAAAAAAGATTGTACTATTCTCTCTGTAGACTTTATATTGTGGTGTTGTGAATAAATGTAAGTTTTTTGTTTTACTACAGGATATAAAAAAACAATTTCAGACAGTAGATTAGGACACACAATATGCTTGTTCAAAAAATTATAAATAAATATTGGTTCCTTAAGAATTATTTGTTGGTAGGTAAATTAATTATTTTGAAAATTTAAAATATTTCATACTGAAATATGGAGAGTAGAAGTTTTTTTTGTTGTTATATAATTAATATTTAGTAGATCATTAAAATGCATTCAAGTATATTCTGTCTGATTAAAAGTGTATTCAATACACGCAGGATTAATTTAATGATAATTTAAACAGAAGAAAAATTTACCATTAATATCATTAGGTCCAAAATTATGATTTCTGACATCAATATTTGTGTTTTCAGTAGGTAATCGGAATTCAGATGGCAAATCATTACTGAAAAAAAAAAACTTTTATATTTTAAATAGAAAAATGCTTGAATTATTTACCTAGATTTTGGATCGTCGATACCAAATACTTTATTAAACCACTTGAAAATACTCATGTTCGTCTGAAATAAATGTTAATAATTTGGCGTTAAATCAATAATTAGAATAAGTAAAATATAATTTTATACATATTTAGTTGTGAAATGGTCAATTCTAAAAATATCAAGTTAGCATAATGTATTTAAACACGTAACATTAGTTGAAAATAATAAATGCCAATATTATAACCAATTACATACTCTTATTAATTGAAAGGTATTTAATTAAAAATAATGTTAACATTAATTAATATTATTCATTGTTATAATCCGTTGTTACACAAATTATTCAACATATATAAACAAAATTATCATCACATGTTTTAAACTAAAATATTAATTTGTGAATATTTGCTAAACAAACACTTACATAGTTATTTCGATATCAACAATTTTCCAAATAAAATGATAATTTTCTATAACTTGTGCAAATAAAATTGAATTTCAATTTGTTTCTTGATTTTGGGTGTATTTAACGATCCTAAAGTTCAAACCGTAGATAAGAACTTTCAAAACTGAAAACAGATAATCAATAATAAAAACTCTTATTTTGTCCATATCACCAAAGAAAGTCTGAAAATGTTTTCATTTATCGCTATTTCGTGTTGGTTTACAGAGTACTAAAGTATAATTTTCAAACATATTATTTATACATTAATCACACCAATAAAATATAAACAGAAAATTAGTTTTATGCAGTGGTACATACAATATACATTGTAGTGACTAAAGACCATACATGTGGATCTGGAATCATTACATTTATTATATATAAATTACAAATAATTCATAATATTTTACTTGTCAGGATAATGCACAGATCTGTATATTGATATATGAATGATAACAAAAAGATGATAACATTGCGATCATGTGACGATCAAGGCCAACAATTCTTATCAAATCGACGAAAATATTTATTGCCAACTTCATTCCTGTGAGATAAAAATATTAGTCTTGCAGAAATAAAAATTTTTTTGAAAGTCCTTCAAAAGATCCAAAATGTCTTATAAATACTTAAAGAAGGTAAGCGTATATTATAATAATCATACAGGGATTTCACCATTTTAGTTGACAAGCCATTTAAAACCGTTTTAAATTTCAACACTTCAATAAAAATTACCTCATATATGGTGTACCAAAAGTAGCAGATTATAAATATAAAAGACTAATTTTCTTATATTAAATTTGTTAACGGTTTTAACTACTTTTAATGCATTTTCAGACGACTGGTCTTACAAGACTCAATGTAGCCAAAAATCCACAACACACTCTCAGTGTCTTATATGGGAAAATTTTGCGTACTATACAAAAAATGCCAGAGGATGCATCATACAGAAAGTATACTGAAGAAATCGTTAGTAACAGAGCCAAAATTGTCCAAGAAGTATTGATATTACATTATTAACAATAATGTGTTTTAACAATTACTGTTATTTGACTAACTGATACTTATCATTCTTATAGTGCCAAACTGTAGAAGATATTGAAAAAAAAATCAATTGTGGACAAGCTGAAGAGTTGATTGTACAAGCGGAAAATGAATTGATCCTAACTAGAAAAATGCTATCTTTCAAACCATGGGAGTCCATAATTGTGAGGCCAAATGCAGACCAATGGACTTGGCCACCAGGAAAATAAATAATTTGTGTAAATAATATGAAATAGTTTTATTTGAATTTGTTAGATAATAATAATAAAAAAAAAAAAAAAATATATTCTTTGCAAAATATTGGATTTTTTTATTAATAAAGTGAATCACAAAATAATATTTTTCATTATAATCATTAGCAAGTAACTTAATGTGTACCTACAGTAAAATATTTAACAAAAATGTGAAAAAAAATGTATTGCACAATGTGTGTTAAAAATATGTTAGAAAATATTTTTTAAGTTTAAATTTAAATAAATGGTAAATAATAATTCACTAAATTATCTTAACTAGATTCATAACCTATGAATTAATTTAACAGTAACAATAATTAAAATACAAATTAAAAAATTATAATTAAGTACAAACATTATTACTTAAAATGTTAATGAATCTGAGCATTCTTTTTACAATACAAATTAGTCTACAACAATATTACATCAGATGAAGGAAATTGTGTCTCAAGTCACTTGCAGCTCATTCAATTGAATAGATGGAACACTTTGGACTTCATCCCAAATAAGTTCTATAAAATCAGTTATTAAACACGTGTGATTAATAATATATTTATCAATGCAAAAATTATAATATACAATTTTAAAATAATTTTACAGATTATTGCAAAGTTAATGATACAAAAACAAATAACAGAAGTTGAAAAATAAAAAATTAATAATTAAGTACTGTAGACTGTCTGTGTGTGTAGAAGTATTCAAATTTTAATAATAGAAGTTGCTCAAAAATATAGTAAGCAGAAAACACAATATTGAATTATTAACACTTAATAGAAAATTTAATAAAAAGCTGTCTTAGGATAATAGACATGTGCAGTCATTGTTATACGTAATTTAATGTATACCTGTAAGCAAAAATAAACCATTGCTAGCAAAAAAAAAATCCTGAACAGAGTTCATATGATAGTGATGCTTTGTCAACCATATATAACTTGATTTTTTTTTATTATGAACCAGTAATATCTCTGAGGATTTTAAGGGAATTTGATTTTTTCTAATCATTATGGAATCATTATGGATTTATTTTAAAACCATTTTTATTTTTTTTACCCCTACTCTTTATACCTAAAATAAGTGCAAACTTTTGATTTTCAAATGAGTACCCCTCCCCCTCTTTTAGAACGCAGATTTGAATAGAGAATATTTCTCTAGAAATTTTGATATACATAACACTATATCAGATATACCTTTATGAGTTATAACAGTTTATTGTTGAGACTGGAGTAGTGAAGGGGCAATTTATTACCCTTCTCCGATCTAAACTTTAAACTATTATAACTTATAAAGGTATATCTGATATTAGTGTTATGCGTATCAAAATTACTATAAAAATATTCTCTATTCAAATCCGTGTTCAAAAAGGGGGGGGGGTACCTATTTGAAAATCTAAAGTATGCATTTACTTAAGGTATATGGAGGTATATGGAGTAGGGGTAAATTATTAAAAATTATTTTGAAATGCTCTGTGATAATTAATGGTAAATAATAAAAATAAATCACCCTATATATGTCATATTACAGTAAAATAATTAAATATTTTCTTTTAATAATATTTGTTTAATTTTGTAAATTTTTTCTTTTTCCAATTTTTCACATTTGATGGGAAAACTTGTTGGAAAATCAAAAAATAACATTTATAAAGTACCATCTCAGTCGGATTTTCTTTCAGAAAAGTGCTACCATTGTAAATTGGAGCAAAATTGCTGGTAGAAAAGTTTTCCACAGAAAAAAAAAATGTAAAACCAATTAATTTCTCGCTCTATTAAAAATCTAAAATTGTATAGTGTACTAACCTTTCCATTTTTCTTCATGTAACTCCATATCTTCAAAACTTTGATCATAGGGGGGTGAATTTGGTTCATCTGATGGATCAGCATATTGTTGCAGATATGGATGTGCAAGAGCTTTTTCAGCAGTCATTCTTTTGTCAGCATCCAGTTCCAACATTTCTTCTAACAATTTAATTGCTGCGGATATTGTACAGATAAAAATATTAAAAACTAAAACAGCAATTTTAATATTTAAATTTTACCTAGTGGATTAGCTCCTTTGAATACTTCACCAAAGTCTTTTTTCTCCATAACTGGTAAAGACTGTATATATTTCTTTGCCTGAAATAATATAAAATGTTTAATTCAAATGTAACGCATTCGATTTTGTAAATATGTATTAATATCAAACAAGTGATAAATACAACACACAAACCTCCGAACTCTTAATTTTATCTAAGTATTCAACGGATGGTGCTCCACACAAAATTAATACACGATTTAAATGATCCACATCTAAGTTTTAACGCTGTTAAGGATTATAAGCTTAACTTTATAATATGATCATCTGCTGATACTTACCGAATCACTTGATATTTTTTTCATCAATTCACTCGATGGATTACCTAATATTTCCAAAATCAAACTCAATTGGTTTATGTCTTAAATTTCCCATAAGAAAAATATATTTTATGTTAAATTTTCTTCAACACTAACATAAAACATCCTAATTCTTTTAAAAGGATACGATCTATTCCTGGGAATAAAGTTCTTCCAGTCAAAAGTTCAGCCATAATACAGCCCACAGACCATATATCAACTAAAATTATAAATAGACAATAACTATTTATTTGTATAGTACATGGGTAACAATCTATATTGAAAACTTTAAGATAACAAACATAAAATTGCATATTGTGTTGTGCATTGTTTTATTTTAAGAAGAATAATAATTTTTATGATGTAAGTCAATGATTTTAGTCAATGTTAATTTCAATATTTATAAACTAAAACTAGAATTTATAAATTAAGATTTAATGAAATCAGGTATTAAGTTATTATATTATTAAAAATATNTATATAGATAATATTTTTTAATAATCATAAGTCATTGCAATTTAAAAAAAAAAAATATTCTAATTTATTGCTTTAATAATTAAAATATTATAATAAATAATTCTTATATCTTTAGGTAGTGAATACAAAAACTATACCCGTTTGGTTGTAATGCATCCAGTTTAACATGATTTCAGGTGCCCTATACCACCTGGTAGCCACGTATCCAGTCATTTCACTTTCAGTTGGTCTTGCCAATCCGAAATCCAATATTTTTAACTCGCAATCTTCATTCACGCCAATATTTGATGGTTTTAAATCCTAGGGAAATTAGATAATCAGTATTAAATAATAATAATAGATCACTTTTATCATACCCTGTGGATAATTCCTGCAGAATGAATATACTTCAAACCCCGTAAAATTTGGTAAACCAGAAACTGGACATGGTCGTCAGATAATTTTTGTGTACGTATAATATTGTTCAAGTCGGCTCCCATTAAATGTGTAACTAAATACCTAACGCAAACAATTTTTAATGTTTACATTGTTTTATGTTGTTATACATTATAAACTCACAATTGTTTAAAATTACTTAAAGTATTTGCGGGTGTGAAAGCATCTAATAATCCAATTACCTAAAGATGAATAAAAAACGATAAAATATTAAATTATTTTAATAACATATTTGTTATGTTCATTAAAAAAAAAAATTAACACTTATAATAAAAAATATTCACAGCATCCACACTATCAAATGTGAAGGTATCTAATCTACATTAAAATGTGAAATCTAAGTTAAAAAAAAATGTGTACACTTTTTGATAAAATGAACAATGCTGTTATTAATATAAAATACCTATTCTCTCACAATAAACAGCAAAACACTATGCTTCTTTAAATTTAAAATATGTCAATGATTACTTCTATTAATGACCAATTTAATAATTTTCATTCAAGGTTAATAACATTACTTTGAGAAGTGTATAATTTTTATTTTATTTATTCTCTTTTAAATAAATATGTCAAACATTTTAGAAATTTACAGTGTGAGAGAAAGTTTTTGAAAATGTATGCTTAACAAATAAAAACTAATACATACGTTTTCATGGTTCATATGTTTTAACATACGAAGCTCTCGATAAGTGCGCTTAGCGTGGACTGCTGTCTGAAATGGCCGAGCCAGTTTTTTTATGGCAACTTTCAATCCAGTCTGACTATCAACAGCAGAGCTAAAAATAATTAATTAACAATGTATACTGATTGACAGAAAAATAAATAAACAATTTTAGAGGTTGTATTTTGTATGTAATACCAAACTTGTCCATATGCACCCAGACCAACGGGAGTCAGCATCTGGTACCTTTCAGGCACTTCCCATTCGGTCTTATTGATTTCGATCTTGTAATATCTCATTGTAAAAATATGTTACTGGCAAATTTATTGAAACTAAAACATAACAATTATAGGTACTATTGAACAAACGCGATATTTGAGATAATTATTACGATTAGGATAAATATCGTGTTATCGTTGTTGTTTAAAATAAAGTCTCAGAGTGCGATTAAGCAACTACCAACGCTTCTGCGCCTTGCACTTTTTATAGTGTTTTTATTTTTTATTCAAGTATATAATTAAGAAAGAAAAAGTTGTTAATATTTCCGGTTCGTCGATTGTGATTGGTCGATAAATGTTAAAGATCATGTAATAGTAATAGCGTGGGCTTTCTCTTGGCGGCCGAATCACAGAAAATTGATAAACTGATAACGAGTAACGTCTGATAAAGTCGAACGAGAAACCAAAAAAAGAAGGTAGGTAATTATCAAAACTTATGAGTTTGATGACGTGATTTGTGGTTATTTTACAAGAGGCTACGAATGACTAAAATGCCCTATAGGTAATGGCCAAGACCTCTCAATGATTGTTGGTTCTAATCAATAATTAAGAAACATTATAATAGTGTAATAATGACGACTGTTCTTGTCGAACATTTGTTTTTCTCTGTTTGTATATCACAATTCATAATTAAAGACATCGATTGCATGTATCGTTATTCAACCGAAATAATATCACCGACAAACAGTTGACTTTTCACGATGTGTCCTATAGAAAATATTATATTTACACACAAATAAATGAACCGTATGTAAACAAACACGAATAGTTATTGTTCTTCTATCAATTGTGTCAAGGGTCCATAAAAACACAATCCACAACTGGTTCAACAAACCATGTTTATACGTGTAATACGTATTCGCCCTTCTTTTTTCCTGTGAACAACTTTTTTACCAGTAATTTTGTTCCGATTTACAATAATAGTACTTTTCCCGAAAGGAAATTTAACTGTGAAGGTACTTTAGGAAAGTAATTTTTCGATTAGCCCAAGAGTTTTCTTAACAAATGTGAAAAACCGGAAAAACGTAGGAAAACTGGAAAATTGGTACATTATACAAATATTATTAAAGAAAATATATAAGCTTTTTTAATTATTTTACTATATGACATATATTGTTAACAAACCATCACTATCATCTGAACTCCGCTCAGAATTGTAAATTACCTATAACAGTGGTTGCACCTATCCCTATTATCCTAAGACGTCTTTTTTTCTTCTCTTAAACCTATTTCAATAATATGGTTCTTTTTAACTATTTCTGAACCTTTTACAAAAAGTCTTTTAAAATCACCAATATATTGAATTATGTGTCTGTGATTTCTATTACAGAATTAAATATTATGCACTTTTATTACCACAAATTGTAAACAAAATAAGTTTTAATAAGAAAATTAAAAAAAAAAAAAATAATAACTAGTAATAAACGGATTATTTTGGCTAAATTATTATTTAATTACTCTAATGCTTTCATAGCATCCATCTCCCTGTTGGTCTTATCATTAGTGTCGACTAGATCGGTACCTATAGTTCATCTTAAGTATACTGATCTCTGCTATAATTCCTTTCAATCGCGAATCGAAAATTTATTGAAGAGACCATGAACATAAGATACGTACATTCAATATTATTGGAACACGAAGAATACGTTAACAGATAACAGACTTCGGAGTGCAGACGCATCCTGAAGTGATTAGAATACACTGAGTATGACGTCACACCGCAGATCTGTATCACTAATCACAATATTAATATTATAACTGCTGTCACGGATCTGCCACAATCATGATTTTCGATTTGAAATTAATGAAATATTTACCCTTCCTGACCGGTTGTAATTTTCATTACACTTAAGTGTTGCAGCCGACGACGGCAGTGTATAGTACCGTGGCTTTACTAGTGACTGCCCAATACCTATGCGGTAGGTAAACCGCCCGTCTGTGTGTTTTGGTTTACGTGTTCGTTGTTATACGATTACCGACTTAGTGAAATGGCTTGCAACCAAGACGATTTCGTTCAGAGCATATTCTGTCCGCACGTAGCCGTCCTGTGTTCGGACATGGCACTAGAGATATGTCGAAAAAACAATTTGAACTTTTGCGAACTGCTGTACCCGTTCGCACTACTGACTGATGGTAAGAATAATTTACTACCCAACACCCTTCATAATAATTATGTTCTAGATGCTCGTATAGATTAGTTGTTAATAATATGTTGTGCTTAGTAAATTTCAAAGATGCCAATGGTAGCACAATAAACGTTCCCAACCTACGGATCGCATTTTCCAACATGAACAGCCAACCTTTGCCTATAACCAAGGAAAGAAGCCGTTTATACGATTCTGTAAACATTTCAACTGAAACAAACAACACTATAGTCAAAATTGGTGAATTAATCAGATATTGGTATTAATTTTCTGTTGATTGCCAGACATTTATATTAATTTACTCTACAGGCGGACGGGAACTTACAATACCTGAAAATACACCATGGTTTACAAAGTGGAGGACAACATTTTTACAAGTTCAAAATGTTTCAGACCATGAATATACAAGACATTTTTTAGGATGTATCCTTTTCAAATTTAAATTTACATTTAATTTTTTTCTATTCTAAAACAAATTTTTATTGCTACTTCAATAAATCAGGTATAATGGTGATAAGTTCTTGTGACGAAGAACAAGTCAAAGTTTTAACACAACAAGTGCAACAATCAATTCTGCCAAATCAAAATCAATTCCCTAAATGGTTTCACACTACAGTACTAAGATATTATGTAGTTTTACATGAGAGTTTAAATCCAGACTTGACTGTGTAAGTACATAATTTTCCATACATTAAACTGGTGTATATATATTGTATGACATAAAATTATAAAATCATTCTAATTTATATTTTAGAGCCAATAAAATTATTGAAACATTACAATCAACATACGGCCATAGTAGTTGTCACCTTCTTAGATTAAATTCTTGTAAAGATCCTAAAACGGAGTTTACTGAAGAAATTTGGGATTATTTGAATAATTCTTATTACTTGGATAATAGTATAGACCAAAGTCAAGATCAAAGTGGAGAATTTGAAAATAGTTTGAATTCTGTAGATAGTTCTTTAGTGCATCCATTAAGTCCACATGAATTTAACAAAAATGTAAATAGCGAATTAAAAGTGGACAATAAAAAAACGTATGGTGCTTATTTAGATGAAAGTGACTTTAGTAATATAAAAGAGTTAATCAAACACTTCGTTTCAAGATCGCTTATACCATATATTGAATCTCAAATACAATCATTAAATGAATCGGTATACTTATATATTTAATAATACTAACTCAATGTAATTAATTTTTATACCTCTTAAGTATTTATTTTACTTTTAGGTAACAAATAAAAAAGGTGTTAGTCGTTCGCTCCTGAGTGCCACGAAAAGATGGTTCAGCACAAATAAACCTACTGCCGCAGCCACTCCAGCTACAGTAGTGTCAGTGAAACATAACAGAAATTGTTTAAAAAATATATTAACAAAATGTTGTTTATTTAGTTATACTAATGATTCACCAGAACTTCAGACTAGGCGTTTAGCTGATTTATACATGATTTTGGGAGCCTGGTCTCTTGCTTTTCCATTATACCAAAGTGCAAAAAGAGATTTCAGTGCAGATAATGCTTGGTTGTTGTACAGTGGTGCTATTGAAATGGCTGCTATTTGTGGTTTAATGTGTCCTAGTGTATGCGATACTCGAAAAGCTATAGAATATGCTAATGAGAGTATATTGACTTATCTGAATACTTGCAGGTCTATAATACAAATAATGTTTTATTTCTTTAAGTGACTAACAGATTATTTTTTACTGTACAGGACTCCGCAGTTTGCCACTAGAGCTACATTACTTTTAAGTGAATTGCTTGTAAGTCGGGAAATGTATGGAGAGGCAGCAAAAATGTTCATTCAGATGACGAATGAAGACTCAGATTTACGTAGTGCTTTACTTTTAGAACAGGCAGCATATGCTTTCCTAAAATCACAAAAACCACCAATGTTACGGAAATATGCTTTTCACATGGTGCTGGCTGGACATAGATACTCAAAAGCGTCACAGAAAAAACAATCGCTTAGCTGTTACCAACAAGCTTATCAAGTATGATTTTCTTCATAATTTCAAACTCAAAACGGACTATTTGATATAATTATTATCATTGTTATAGGTATTTGAAGATACACATTGGTCATTTGCCGAAGACCATATACAAACTGCAATTGGTAGACAGGCATCATTTCTGAAACACATTAAACAAGCTGCTGAAGCATACTCCAAATTACTGGCCAGAGCTTCCAGTCAACCTCCAGAACACCAATCTACAATATTAAGAGATTATCTTAATATTAAAATGGTATAATAAACGGTATTTTCTGAATTTACATTATCTCCAATGGATTTATTTTTACAGGAATATGCTGCTGAGAAAAATGATTCATCGGTCATTGATTTAGCTTTACCACTCATTGATCAGAAAAAAATCAAAGTTCTATTGAATGCAGACAGCATTATCACTAAAGAACATTGTTTTGATGAAGACTTGTTGGACACTAGGTGGTATAAAATGGAAGAAGATTTGATTACAGAGGCTCGAGGAATACCTCCATTAATATTTAAACCGACTTTTGCCTTTTATGGTAGTAATGATACAATTAAACAACTATTGTATGAAAATGGTAAGATCATTTTTTCTAGTTTTTGGACTTAACAATTTACAGTTGTCATACTTACAGAATTGGTACAAGTACAAATGACATTATCAAATCCTTTAAACATATCATTGTGTATTGAAAATTTATCATTGACATACTTTTTTGATAAAGGGTTATCTTTAGTAGAACCTCAAGTGTTAGATGAACTTTTATTAGCACCTTCAAGTACAACTCAAGTAACTTACATTAATCCAAAAAAAACATTTTAGAATATTATTATAAAACCTCTTTTTTTTATTATTTTGAAGGTTATTCTTGGTTTGAAAACTAGAAGTATTGGGAATCTAACTGTAACTGGTGTTCAATTTAGCTTAGTGATTCCATCTGTTATGAGTGACGACACAGTCAAACGAATAATTAATGGTTGGCAAAGTTTTGAAAAGTTGAGTTCTATGCAATTTAATGTTCAACCACAAACTTCTTCTTTAAAGGTAGTTCATAATTAATTTACAAGTATTTAGCTTGGATATTACTATAGGGAAAATAAATCAATTTGTAGAACATAAGTTAAAAATGTTTCTTCCTGTAACATTCAAATTTGTATAAGAAATAATTAATTTGTTTATTCATAATTATAATGTTATAATTATGTAGTTAAGTCTGTAATCTATACATATTTCAGAATATAATATAATTGAAATATTAATAACAATTACTACATTTTTTTAAATTAGTAATTTGTAAATAAATATTTTTGACTTAAAAAGTTGATCACAATAATTTACAAAACATATTATAAATTATTATATTAGCAAAATGTGTAGAGTAATTACACAAATATATAAAGGTGAACACATTTTAAGTCAGTATATTTTAAATGTATAATTAAACTAACTTAATTCACAAATAAATTTTTCTTACTCAAAATGCTAGTCATGAACTAGTAATTGTTTTATTAAAATTAATTTTGTTATTATTTGCCAAATATTAACAGCCAAAGTAATCATACTATGTTTTATGTAACATTTTATTTATTTTTATAACAAATTCCATTCAATGCAAAATGATTATTGTTCATTTATTATTTTTTTTTTTTTACAGTAAAAATGTCTCATTTTTTTATTACAATAATAGTTTAACTTCACTAGCTAATATTAAAATTATTTAATATAAATTAATACATAATTATAAATTTGTACTGTACTTCGCTCTACGAGAGACTGCACCTCCATTGCACATCACTATTGGTGCTCATTGTGTTGTTATAGTTAGATTTTATGATGGGGCATGCGCAAAAATATACACTTTATGATCGCCTTTCTGGGTGAAGTCTCTTGTGGTGCAAAGTATATAAGTAAATTTACTTTAAAAAAAAATTATTTTCTCCTTGTAAATTAATACAACTGACTTCACTATTCTAATAATACTATTTTAATAATTTTTAATTATCCATGATTATTGTTAAAAGATTTTACCATTTCATTTTCATGATTTTAGGTTGATTTTGTGGGAAATCAAGTGAACACGTTGATTGGTGAAATGAATGTCTTGCATTTAACATTGGAAAATAATGGTGCTCTACCATTGCATAAAATATTTGTTTCAACTTCAATAGAAGATTCATTTTTCTCAGAATCTAGTCATTCTTGTAAAAACAAAAAAGTTCGAAGTTTATCATTTAAAATGCCACCAAATTCAAAAAAAACTGTGGAATTTTGCTTTAATAGCCCTGATACTGAAACATTTACTTTAGATTTGTTATTTTATTATGAATCTCAAATTGAAACTAAAAAACAAGAATATAAATTATGCAGGGCTAGCTGGGTGATGACAGCCAAACCTTGTGTTAGATTATCAGCATCTGCATTACTTGCAAACCAGAATAGTGAAACACTCAATCTTAAAACAATTGTTCATAATTTATATAAAGTAATATTTAAATTTAAAAATTCCATTCTTACCTAATAATTTTTTTTTTCTGTTTATTTTACAATAAATTATTTCAGGGAAATGAAGTCGAGCAAGTAAAATTAAAGCAAGTATTCTTGTATAGTCCAGAATGGAAACTATCAAAAAAAATTTACCCTCGAGGAAATATAAAAGATTTGGATCAACAACAATCGTGTCATCTATTCTTACAAGCTTGCCGAACAAATGAAAACAATAGTATCTCTAAAATTAATTTTGATAATGAACAGTTTGCAAATGATGACATGTGTGTGAAGTTTGTATCAATAACCAAATCTTCAAAAGAAAGTAAAATACCAAAATTTGATAGACATAAGGTTCACACAGAAGTATTAAAATGTATCGATCTCGTTTTAGCCATTTTATGGCAGGTAATTTGATATTATGATCTTTACTTTGATAGTTTTATTTTATAATCTACTATTCTGTTATATGTTTAGGTTATAATCAAAGATCATTCAAATCAATTGAGAATTATTTGTGGCATTCACAGGGTTTCTTTGACCAAATTAAATTCAACTGTTGCTTGGCCTGAATTTGGAAGCTTAGATTCAATGAAAAATATTTCCAAGCCCATAGGAAGGTTAAAAATATTTGGACCTGATCGTAATATACATCCATATGATGGGACACCTTTACTTAATGATACAATAGGATTATTAGAATCGCCCATGAATCGGTTGCTCAACATTGCTTTATCACATCCTAGTACTATTACACATTCCTTTATTAATAATAAGTAAGATTCACATATTTTATTGTTTTTAAATATTTATAATGTTTTTATATAATGTGCATTGTTATAATTTTAAACCAATATCGTTCTCATTTATAGAATGTGCATTGTATCGGTACTTATTATACTTAAAAACTGTGTGGAGTATATAATTGAAGTTAAAATTGATACGGATATTGGAAATTCAAAGTAAGTAAATTTACTATTTAGTTGTATTTTTTCGTCTTTAAAATTAATATATGTATAAATTATAAAAATAAGATCTTGGCTGCTGACTTGTTCTTACTGACTTTGTTATAATTATCGGCCAAAAGTAAAAAAATTATTAATATTAATTTAACCGGGTATTTTTAATTTTAATAAATACTGTGGACGCCTTTTCAAAGACTCATGGGTATAAGATTCAGTCCCTTATAAGACTCAAAATCACTTGGAACAGTCCAGACATATTCTTTCCCCACTTCATCTATAAGGTTCATTCGGTTATAAGACTCACTTTGTACTGGTTCCAAAGTGCGTCCTATAAGTGGTGCCCACTTTACTTGATTGCAATGTTATATTGTGAATAAAATCATATTTTTTGTAAGTCATAATTTCAAATATCTATTGAATCTTACTTACATGTTTAGTAACTATAGTATTCTATGCTCCAAAGCGCAAAATATAATACAATGCTTGTAGATATTAAAAATATTTTTCAATTTTGTGTAATAATGTATCGTAAGTTAAAAAAAAAAATAAAGAATTATTGAAGAGTTTTGAAAATCTTAATTTCAATAATCTGCAGATATATATATAAGTAAATCAATCAATCAACAAAAAGTTAAATCTTATATGATGATTGCTTAATTGAACAATTAAGCAATATGATTATTTAAAATTATTGTATATCAATGTATTTTTTAAATTAATTATTTTATATTCTATTTCTGTTAATTCATTTTTTTTTTCATTTAGGTCGGATGTAGACAATCAACATTTTTGTTGGATTGGAGTGACTAGTCCAAAGCCATTTTTATTGCCAGTGTCAGCAACTCGTACAATTCACTTATACGCTGCAGTTGCATCTCAAGGATGCTATAAAACTACGTCCAAACTAAGTGTACTAGCACGACCACATCCACCTGCTCAACATGCATTCCTAACCCAAATTGTTTCATCTTCTTCTTTGTTAGTCATTAAAGACCCTAAATCAGAAGTAACCAGTTAATTGTTACAACACTTCACTTAGGTCTTAACTATATATGTTTTATTTTTCATAAAAACAAACAAATTTATACATAATTTATAATACATATATATATATATACAAATATCATTCATAGATATATTATATATTTATAATATTATAAAAGAAAAAAGAATTATAACTTTGTAGAAAAATAATGATTTATGATTATTGTTTTGTCAATATACCGTCAATTGTGTCTTTGATCATACTGAATTTTGGTCTGTTGGCTGGGTTCAAATGCCAGCACGCAATCATGAGTTGGTACAAACTGTGACTGCACAAAGTGGGTCGAGGCATACGATAGCCTCTGTGTAATACATCATATATCTTGGAAGAACTTATCATTGGATATGGGCACTCGCCCAGCATCATGATTTCCCAGAGGAGCACGCCGAATGACCACACATCACTCTGTGTGGTGTAGATGCGGTACTTTAGTGATTCCAGGGCCATCCACTTGACAGGCAGTGGGTCACCCCTGTTTGACTTAAGGTAGCAGTTCTGTTCATAAATATCTCGGCTGAGACCGAAATCACATATTTTGATTGTGTGATGATCACTGAGCAGTACGTTCCGTGCAGCCAAGTCTCTGTGTACTATACGGTTCTTTTCCAAAAACGACTATAAACATCATATTTCATAGTAAATTATATTATTATTTTTAAATTAATATTTGAATCCCTGACAAATTATAATTTTTAAGGTGCCCAACTAGCCATCATTCGTGTAAATTACCTATTTAGATAAGATAAAAGGGCTCGAGTCATTAACAAAATTAACGTGTAGGTAAGTACAAGATAAGAAGTGATTGATTTTGATAGATTTTCATTTGATAAATGAATAGATGAATAGTTTTTATAAAACACATTTAAATTTATTGGGTGCTTATTACCCATTCTGAAAGTGGCCTGTAACTCGGAAGTGAATTTTCATTGGAAAAATGTAGAATTTTGGAAACTGCAAGATATTTTTATTTTTTTAGGATATTTTCGTAAGGTTATATAAATTACAGTACCTATGTATTAAACTATAATACACTGATAATAAATTGGTGGAACTCGTGAAAATAGTTGTTAAAATATAAAAACATAGGTAATAAATTTTAAATGAAAAGTAGGTAGTTTGATCTTTGGTATCCAACTTCTACCCTGAAACATTTACCATTTCATATTTTTTTTCAATTTTAATTTGACGATTTGATGTAATTTTTGTTAATTTTGAGCTGAAGGATTTGTTTGTTAATTTAACATGATCTATAGTATTCGCAGTAGTCAAAATATAATATAGGTTCATTGCCAGGTGAATAATGTGCATACGTATATGACACGTGGTAATAATCTCAAGTAGAAGAAAAAACATAAAATGACGATCGATTTATAATATGATTTTATATTACCATTCCGTTGGCCGTCTGACTGGCGAAACTCATCAGATCGTCCACGGTCAAGAATATGTTTTCTTCACCGTGGTACAAGTAACAGTTGTTGAATACCATTGGCGGCCGCGAGGACGAATTATTTCCCGCGTCCAAAGATACAACTTTCTTATCGCAGCTATCGTCCGCAATCAGTTCGGACGGATCAGTCTGGTCGACATAAAAATCGTTGGCGTACCACGACTTGATACTCACCTAGGTATATTATAAACACATTAGTCGTACACAATGGAGTACCGATAGGACGGCATGACGATAATCATTAGCTCATTATTACCCAAGATATTATTAGAAACCCCGCAAGTCATTATTTTGAGTGTAAGGACAGGTATAAGCGTGTGCGAGTCTTTTATTGGCAGGGGAGGCACCGATATTTGAAATCAAACATTACACAAAAAGTTCAAATATTTTTGGAGGGGGCTTAAGCCCCTATTATGCTGATTATGATGTACACTTATTATTTACTTGGTCAGTACTTTATTTTGGGGGGCTCATTTGAGTTTTCTGGGGAGAGGGACGAAATCCTATCCTTCCCCTGTGCACAAAATTAAGGGTACTACGGTAGAGTTTAATATTTAAAAAAAAATTGTACAGATGTACCTATCTAACATGGTTTTTTTAAAAAATATTCGACGGAAGATCTGATAGGCAGTTGCCTCTCCTTCCTTAATCCGTGTGCACGCTTATGCGGACAGATGGATAAAAAACAGGAGATGATCTTAATTTTTTTATTAAGTAATATGAATGGACGGAGAGGTGTCTGAAAAACAGGCGATGACCTTATTTTATACCCTTTAGCGTTGAAGTACTTCGGGGAGAACTGTGTTTATGGAAAATGTACTCATATGGAAGCCTAAAAATCTACATCTATATTTTCTAACATTAAGTGCTTTCTGAAAATGCTATGTATTATACCCATTATAACAGCAACAGCGACTTCAGAACGATTGTTCAGTTTATTGAAACGAATCAAAATCTATTTAAGAATTGGGGCCGGCGTGGCGGAAGGGGAAGTATACTAGGCATAACCGAACCATATCAGCAATAAATGGGTACCTACTCTAGGTGCTGCGTACATATTATAAGAATTAGAAATATACCTACGCTATAATGTTAAAGAACGTGGATTTATGTTCATTTTAGTAGATAAATAATTAAAATTTGACTCATTTTCCGTGCTCAAATGTCGGTGACCAATATTTCAAGCTCAAGTGTCCTATACAACCGTGGTCACGTGTCACGTCTCACCTTTCTTAGATAGGTCTGCAAGTCACCCAGTGGACAGTACTCAACTACCAGCATACACTGCTTGTTTTCGTCCAGACAACAGCCAACCATGGATAAGATATTCGGGTGTTGACCGACCTTTTGCATGAGGACTATTTCGCTGAGAAATTCCTCTAGGTCCCGGCTAGTCGGGTGATCCCTCAGCGACTTGACGGCTACTGGGCACTCGACGCCGTCGTCCGTCCTCAACGACCCTTTGTTGACCACCCCGAAATGACCATTTCCCAGTATCACGTCGGTAACGGTCACGTCCTCGTAATCGAGCAACAGGTCACCGTTTTCTCGCAGGTCTTTGAGCAGGACCAAATCATTTCTGTCCACGTTTTCCGTTGCCTTTAACTTTGTCGGCCAGTATACGTATTTGAAGCCGATGACCAGTGCCACGGCGCAGGACGCGATCACCGTAAAAAGAATCGCAAGCCACTGCAGCAAGTGGCCATCGTTGGTGATTATCGGCATGTTCTTATTGGGCCACCATAACACAGGAACCTCGCCGCTCCGGCCGAGCTCCGAGAAGGCCTCCACGCTGACGAAGTAATGCTGGTGTATTGGGAGCATGACTTCGAAGTACGTTACGCTGGCCGTGGCCGAGACGTTTTTCGCCTCGTTCTTCAACTTGACCGTGAAGTAGTCGACCCCCTGGCCGCCGGGGTTCGGGCTCAACCACGTGATTTTCAATTTGTAACGGTCATCGGCCGTCTTCGTTATCTGCGTCACAGTCACGTTGTATGGTTTCTCGGGAGCTACAGTGCAATGATGACAATGTACAAAGTAATTTTATATTTTATCTACGGAGATTTTGATTAAATTTTAAGTTATTTTGTTTTCATCCTATATAGACCCGTTTAACAATCCAGTAACGCACTTGAGTATTGATTTCCGGAGAGGCGATATAGTTCACACAGACAGTGGCATGTTGAACTTTGACGGGGAGCGAAAATTTATACAAGGTAACCACTCAGCCACCCCACTTATCCAAAAATTTTAAAGGAGCAATAAATGCTCCAAAATAATACATTCGCCACGCCACTGCACACAGATTTATACATGTACCTGACCTATCAAAGTCATGTACGGACATGTGTCTAGAAACCCTAGATTATTAAAACAAAAGATGACAAATGTCAGGAAAATTCTAATATAATTTAACAACTATATATCTACTCGTTAATTATGTGGGTACATAACTTAAAAATAACACAATTTTATCTGTATTGCAAAATCTATATTTATTTATTTTTTCTGTCGCATCAAATTTATTTATAACACCATCAACTGAAATATTTATTGACTTGTAAATATTTTGAAGAACCAAGCCTGATATCGAGTCTTGTCAAATTTGAGATCTTATATAATCACGTTTTTAATCTAAATAGTAGGTAATACGAGTTTAAAATTTAAAATATTTATATTTAATTAAATAAGGACATAGCGATAGGGATTAGATTTATTTAATAGTAAGATAAAAGAAAAGTTTAATGTTTATTATTAACTAAGACTGTAAATTCAATACACTGAAACTACTTTAAAAAAAAAACAAACTGTTTAAATCGTAAAAATCCCAAACAGCAACTCGAAATACACTAGAATAATGGGGACGGGTGCAGCCACTGTTGTAGGTGGGAAGTTGAGAAGGTAGGATACAGAATGGAATTTAATGTATATCTGTAAACAAAGATAAGCCAATGCTAACGAGTTACCACTTGTATGTAGGTTGTCTACTGATTAAAAAATAAAAATAATAATAACAATAACCCAAATTAAATTAACCCACTCAAAATCTCCGTGTATAGATAACTTCTACAAAATTGACTGCAAACGAGTTGTATCCCATAGTAAAGTATATAAAATAATTACACATTAAGAAAAAAACCATGTAACATGAAGATTTATTATTTTCTTTTTTTACGAAAAATTATTATCATTTAAAAAATAAAGTTTTGCTATTATAGTTTTGTTATAAAGTATTCGTAATCAAATTATTCTTCAAATATATATGTTGAGGGGAGGACTTCGGTCAACCGAATCCTACTATCATTTATCATAATATTTAATATAATTTTGTATTCTTATTGTGATAATTCGTTGAGTGATGAATGATGATAAATGATAATATTATACTTAATATTTTACTAATATATTTCGTGCATTTTTCTGTTTTTTCGGTTTTTCCCATTTAATGAGAAATCTCATAAGAAAATCGAAAAATGACCTCCTTCAAGTACCTCTCAAATCCGACTTCCTTTCAGAGGAAATGTTATCATTGTAAATCGGAGCAAGTTTCTGGTAGAAAAGTTGCTCATATAATGGAAGATTCTGCCCAAACACGAGAATGAAATAAAGTATAATTCATGACATAATATAATTATCCATTAAATAAGTTTGGGGGGAAGATGCTGTACCTTCCCGTGGTCCCCGCCGTAAGTACTGTTGTTTTTAGATCCTCTCGATATTTCTGCGTTTCGCCACATGAGATTATCTGATATGAAAACAACACGAAACCAAACAGCATCAAACCGGCGGCCGAACGTTGTAAAACCTCCCGGCCTAGTTGGTGAAAACTGCCCTTTTCAGGGCAACCCCTCTGACAGACGTTGCCATATGAATTAAAAAAAAAAAAAAGGTACGTGCAACATTGATATTATCTTCTTTTTGTCTTTAATAATAAACAAAATCGACTTTTATTATTGTGTATTGTACATCTATCTAAATTGGAATATTATTTTTACTGGCAAAAAACGTGTGTGACTAAAAAGCGTGACTCAACTTGTGTAACATTCTTTTATCTTTGGGATACAACGCGTGTATCAGAAGTTTCGTCGGGACACAACTCGTTGATTGCGGAAAAATCAATCACCCCGTATTACATAACATTATTATAAATTACAATAATTATTATTGTAGATAGCATGTAGCACACTTACGGCACAGGGTGTAGTTCTTTTTCATTTGGATACAGGTGGGCGTTAAAAACTTTATGGTAGTTTTTTCGGATCCGGTCGGCCGGTTTTTCGGTAGCACGGTCACTGTGTACTCCATGTCCAAGGTGAGTCTGGTTAAAACGGTAACGTTATAATTCGGCTGTCCGACATCCACCACAAGAGTCGTCGGTTTCTCTAGACGGTTCGGGTGGTATCTAACTGAATAGATACAATTTCTGTCTGCAAGTGCATAAAAAATTGTGTAATATTATTTATTTTGTATTCGGAACGCGCATGTGTACCTATCATTACAGATCTACGGTGAAATGTGTCTGAAAAGACACCTATGTATAACGGATATGTTTTTTTATGTCGGACAAAATAATAAAGTCCCGTCAAAAATGAAAAAGTTGAAAAAGCTTTACAATAAACCAACCATCAGAAAGTATCTGAAAGTAAAACGGTTGGAATGGGCTGACCATGTTTGGCGAGCGGACGGAAGCCTTATTCATAATAATATACCTACCGGTTGGAAACTTAATTAAAAAGCGACTGAGAGGTAGACCTCAGCAACAGTGAATGGACAGATTGATAAAGGATGCAAAAGGAGTGGATGATAGGGTAACAACGAAAATGACAAGAAATCGCGATAGATGGAGGAGACTTGGTGAAAGCGTGCAAAAGACCTTAAAGGCCTGTCATGCACAAAAAAATAAAACGTTTTAGAATAATACGATTACTTACCACTAGATAGTTGCCACTTGAGTTCTACTTCCAGTATGTTATTATTGGTCATATGGAATCCTAATATATGGAGTTCATTCACCGGTTCACGTTTGAGGGCCAAGTCTAGTGTCCTGTAAACAGGCGTTTCTATCACTCGTCTCGCGGTTCCGTCGATCAACGACCAAAATCTGGCCATATACGTGCCGTTAGGTTGTAAACCGTGAAAATGGACGAACGTTGTGTTCGTCTGCCGGACACAAATATAATATTAGTCACATGCATTTACCAATTTACAATTTCAATGTTTCGCAGGGAAAAACACCGAAAGTGTTAAGAGAACATCGTAGTTTGACAAAAAAAAATTGTAATTTATCAACTCAACGATATATTCAAATACATTTACAATTTGTTCTGTATATGCGATGGAGGATCACGAGAAGACGATGTGGGCTATCGTCTCCCCTACCAAAATGATATCATAAATATAAAGAAATTGCATGTGAAAATGGTCGATTCGTAAATTACAAAGTGAACATATAAAGAAAGACGTCCTAGGGTAATGGAAAAGGGTGCAGCCACTGTTACAGGTAATTTAATGTATACCTGTAAGCAACGATAAATCATTGTTTACGAAAAAACAATTCTGAGCATATATATGACATGTATATATCATATTATAGTAAAATATTTAAATAGGCTTTATATATTTTCTTTAATAATATTTGTTTGATATTGTACCGGTTTTCCCATTTTCCTTACGTTTTTCTCATATCTTTCCGGTTTTTTACATTTGCTGAGAAAACTCTTGGGAAAATCGAAAAATGACTTCTTAAAAAAAAAAAAAATATCTTTATAAAATCATAAGCTTCTTCATTCATTCAAAATTTAAAATATTTTGAAATACCATAATTTTTACAATTCTTCAACATTTGATCTTAAAACTCTTATAAAAAAAATATTACATATTACACTCAATTTTATTTTTGTTTTTTTAACACTAAGATGAATTTAAAATAAACCTTGTTTAAAATTATCCAGTGTTTTTAATAGGTCAGATAATTTTATCCGTATTATAACCATATTTATATAAAGAATACCAAATAAAATTTAAAAAAAAAACCTTTTTTTCTCGGTTTTGTGCAATTATTAATAAAACTACAAGAAAAATCAAAAAACAACCTTCTTACTCTCCGCTCATATCTATAATTCAACAAAAAAGTCTCGTATCGCTTTTGGTTAGAGAAATATTTCTAGTAAGAAATATAAATCGTACAAATTTAAAAAACATAATTTGTGTAAACTGTAATTGCACTGTATAATTTATGTCCATTGTATCTGTTAAGTAAACATATAATTAATCTTTATACGTAGTACAATTTCAAAAATATTCTAGTTTTTTTTATAGTTATTTGAAAATGTCGAGTAGGGATGGATTAAGTTAGATATCTATTTTTCGTTTTATATGGATACAATTTGTTGGTTTCTCAACAAATGATTGAACATTTGATAAAAAAATTCGTTATAATAATTATACTTCATGATAAGAAAAGAGTAAGTTTAAATAGTTTATTCTGTCATAAGCGTCGAAAATTGACTTCTCTAAATTACTTCCTCAGTGAAATTTCCTTTCAGAAACATCACAAACTATCATTAAAAGTCATAACTATGGGCGCCGAGTACAGTAGAGCAACGGGGCCGACCCACACGGATTACTTCATTTTTAAAAATAAAATGCAGTAATAAATTTCCCCCCTATACAATTTTTTAATCCTAGAGCCCATGAGCTAAACTTTTTTAAAAAGAAACAAAAAAACAACACGTTTTCATTTATAACTTATAATAATTATGTAATTAAATGATTAAATGTATTACAATGTTAAATTTTTTACCAGTTTTGAAAAATTTGTTCAATAAGTATCAATATATAAATTATTTAATATATCCCTTTCAATATGTAATAAAAATAAGTTTGTAAACCTATTATTTTGTCACATTGAGTTACGGAGCTAAGTTTTTATTAGTTTTGTTGTTGAAAGTGAACGTTCAGAAGTAGTAGAACTAACGGGGATAGTGAACGCAACTTTTAAAAAACCGGGATTGTTATTCCCATATGATTGACCAAATAGATTATAGTTATAGTATGTTCATAAAAAATTGACAATAAAAAAAATAAATATAATTTTTTGGTTAAGTATTTTTATCTTTTGATCAATTTATCAATAACCAATTATTTTTAGCTGAAAACAGCGTACTCTTGAATTATTTATTAAATTAAACGTATTTAGGCTCTCGTTTCTCAAAGGGGACTTGACACAAGCCCCACCTAAATTGCACCTATGATATCGATACACAATTTATTTCACTTGTTAAATATTGTATTTACATTTTTGTGTTTTTTAGATTCAGAGTGGAGCGAAGAATGTATTGGGTTTACAAAATTATTTATTATCTTTATTCTAATTTTTTTTATATGAACACTTTTTACCAGAAATCTTATTCCGATGTATACGACGTAGACTATTTTTGAAAGGAAATTTTCTTGAGGTGATACTTGAGGGAGGTAATTTTTCGATTTATTTTTAGTTTTCTCGTCAAATGTGCAAAACCGGAAAAAGTCAAATAAATACCCATGTCCGTTCCCCCCAAAAAAGAACGTGACCCCTTACAGAGTCAATAAAGGCGGCCGTGCCTATCCATTTATTTATTATCTATGATGATTGGGAAGGTAGAACATAGAATTATTTAATTCATATAATATTATGTATACGCAATGATAAATCGTTGCTAACAAAAAACTACTTTGTCGATAACTACTATATACAGTATCCAACCGTGTTTCATACGGATTTTTTTATACCTGTTAATTTACAATTTTTTTTTCAATCGGATTTTCTTTCAGGGGTACATATATTTCAAAAAAAAAATAAAAATGTTTTATTTGTAATAGATATTATTCTAAAAATGTTCATGTACTAGAAGTGACTAGAACCATACTATTTTAAAGCGAATCTAAATATCTTGAGCCAATTAGGACTTGAATTTTTTTTTTTTAAAGTTTCGTTAAATTCGTCCGCCAACTGCTTAGAAACCCACGCTTAGATACATTGCAGGTAATGTATACACAAAATGTACAGGTAAACCGCGTGCACTCATAGCTTTCAAAAAATATACCTTCTTAATTATTGACGCGTCCTCCGTCGATTCGCAGGATACCAATTCCACAACTATCATTATCCCTTTGCTGGTTGATAAATTCGCAGTGTTGTTCCAAGTTAACACCAACGAATCGGATTCGCGGCAGAAAATTCGTACGTCGTCAATCACGTTTGCGTCACCTGTTGTACAATGATATAATCGTGTCTGCATGTTATAGAAATAATAATTCGTATAGGTCGTTTGAAAAACATTACAGTATCTCAGGCAGTCCGGTGACACACGAGTATTCAGTGCGGGTACCGTATTGGTGTGTTATGCATTAACTATTTATAATATTATATATATGTTTATCTGTAGTTCCATTCAATGCGCTGCACTAAAATCGGCCGGTTTTGATTTGGTGCTTATATAAAACGACATTTTTTGTAATATATATATTACAGGTGCCAGATGTTTTATTCATTATTTGAAATATTTTACACAATTTCGTATTTTTAAAAAATTGGTATTTATTAATACCTATTATCATAGCATATATAGGTAGGCATTAGGTGCCTATCTGTATTCAGGCTACAGTGTCCTACATCTACTAGTTTAAGACTGCTATATTTCGAAAAATAACTTTTTTGAGGATAGCGATTTATAATTTCGGTGATTTACTTAGTCAACTATAAAACATGAAATTAATTTTACGTATGAATGAAATGTTTGGTGTACACATATTGTGTCGTTACTTCATATTTCAATTGTTACTAATATTATAAAAATACATGAATCAATTGCAATAAGTATGTAGGTATACTTGTCACAGTGACAGATCCAGAATTTGATAACTGTGGGTCAGCTGCTTGCGAAAGGCCACTTTTTAGGGTCAATATTATTAAGACCAAAGACTGAAGGATGTTTTTTTTTTAAAGTTCAATCATTTGGGGAGTTTTAAAGAACTAATTTATTATTTTGTTTTTATTATTAGGTTTAAAGTTATACATACAACCACTGCAGAACCATAGATAATAAACCATGTTGTTCATCAGACTCAGACGTTCTTTTATTTTCTAATTCACTCGGCAATAATGTAACTATTGAGTATTGCGGATTGAGGAATGCCCGCGAAAAAGTACGCCGAGTAGAATAAAGATATAGTTTTAATTTTACAATTAATTATTATTTCTCCGGTATGTGAAAATTAACAATTCGTTTTTAGAGTTCAAAAGAGTTCAGTTTTACCATCAAAAATTAGCTGTGGGCCAAAGGACCCCTGAAAACCCCACTAGATCCACTACTAATCCTTGATTCACTTTATAATTGGATATGTTAAATCAAACTATGTTATTCTAAAACGAAATAATTTAACTAATTTCTATTTCATTCTTGAATTGTAATTGTATTGAAAACGAGAAAAAATAGGTGTAGTTAACTCACTTTTGATTTATTTTTAAGTTGTTGCAGTCTTGAACGGGGTAGTCGAATTATGAGTGTTTATTTCGAATATAATACGGTTTACAGTTTATTTCATTTTTCAAATTAAAATTAAGTTTTCTATTTGAGGCAGTATACCTATAACATTTTTAGTCTGGATAAAAATTCAGAATCGTTATTGCATATTATGTTCATGTAAAACAACCGAAAGACTTTAAAACCGGTTTTAGTACTAAGACGCCTATATGAAATTTAGAAAGAACAACATTTTTATGACACATTTTCCAAAACCGTTTTTTTGAATAATTAATTATTAAAAAAAAAAAAAATGTATTCTACGGTTATGTCTTCCTATTTGAAATTTGATCGAGTTGAATTTGTTTTAGATAATTATACAATGTATATATAAAATGTATAGACGATAACACTTTGGACACATACACACACATCTTTTTATTTTTAATTTAATTTAATTTTTTAATTTTTAACTAATCAATATATATATTATATCGTCTATACATTTTAAGAGCACCAAAGTGTTTTATCTCTAAAATAAAATTTAAGAGTATAACTTTTTTTGGTTTTTACCAAACATTTTTTGACACACATCCTTTTATGCTG